ATAGACTAAACTCGAAACTTGTATAAAATTGGATATTTATGTTATTTAATAACGTTTAGGATATCCAACTATACTTGAAATTTCAGTAAAAATATTTGACCTTGAGTCTTCTAATCCTAGAATAAATTTTTTTTGGTCACTGAACCACTATAAATTGGTTTAGATGTGCAATACTCTCTTTAGTGTGTTCGGACATGTATCATACATATTTGTGTGAAAAGACCAATTTATATATTTTACATACTTTATTTCAAATTGTAAATAGGATTCAAGTTTAGACAAGGAATATTCGAATCACTTTGGCCAAAGCACCATCCTAACATTGGATGGATTTAAGCGGCTACACTTTTATTAGTCACTAGGACTCCGGACCCCCGCGATGTTACGGGGGAAAATATTTCAAAAATCGTTAAAAAAATATCAAACGAAAATTAATAATAATGATGGTAGATGATTAAATGTTATAACGATTTATAAAATAAACTTAAAGTTGCAATTTTTCGTGAAATAAACTAAATGTTGCAATGGTTCAACTAAACGGCTGCAATCATTTTATAAAAAATTACGATAAAAAGATGCAACCGTAAAAAATATTTACTCGGATTGCAACTTTCTCAAAAAACATAACGTAAAATAATTTTTTTAGTTTAAAAATAAATAAATGAAATGTTGCGATATATCAAAGGTTGTAGCGGTTCGTCAAGTTCGTCAAATAAACTAAAGATTACAATGGTTCGTAAAACAAAACCAAAAATTGCAATGATTGGTCAAATAAACCAAATGTTTCAACGGTTCAATTAAACGATTACAATCTCATTTAAATGCATTTTGGTAATTAAAAATTAAAAATATTAATTTATGAAAATTATACCGAGAGACGCGACGGTAGATAATTAGATGTTATAGCAATTTGTAAAATAAACCAAAGGTTGCAATTGTTCGTGAAATACAAAACAAAATATATAAATCAAAGGTTGCAATCGTTCGTGAAATAAACTAAATATATAAATCAAAGGTTACAATTGTTTGTGATATAAACTAAAGGTTGCAATTGTTCGTGAAATAAACTAAATATTGCAATAATTCGAATAAAAGGTTGCAACTGTTTATGAAGAGGTACAATTAAAAGAAGCAACCGCAGAAGATATTCGGATTGCAATTTTCTAAAAAACATACCCGTAAAATATAAATTTTAGTTTAAAAATTAAAAATATATTCATATGTAAACTATGAAATAAACCAATTTTATATGTAGTTTATTGGTTTACGTAAAAAGAAATTCAATAAAACAACATGACCGTACAAAAATAATTGTAAGAAAAACAACCATAAATATTTAAACGAAAGATTGCAATAAAAAGACACAATCGTTCAGATGTACAAATGGTATTTATTCGAAACGACATAACCGTAAAAAAATAACCGATTAAAACGAAAATTACGATAAAAAGACGCAACCAAAATAACCGTAAAAAATAACCGATTTAAACGAAAGGTTGCGATAAAAAGACGCAACCGTTCAGATGTGCAAATGGTATTTATTAGATTGCTATTATATATAGATTACAAGTACGAATACACAGCACTACAACAACATAAGAAGATATTGAACTCTAATACTAATTAAGATCGGCTTAAATAAAGTTTACGAGGAAGTTGATTTTTGAGCTTAATTAACAACAACGGCAACAAGTTCCCGGTGGAGGTTTTGGGCCTTCACAGCAGCGGCAAGCCGGACATGCCACTTTATCACTTCCCGTAACATGAGAGTCTACAAAGCAAAATAATAATAAAAACTTTAGGCATAAAATAAATTAATATTGAAAATGCTCTCATGATTGTTGTGATTATTTAGTGATGAGGTTTGTTAATAATGTTCTTGCCTGCTGGTTCGGTGGGACTTCCAGTAGCATGAACATCTTCAAATGCGAATATAAAAAACATTATAAAAACAAAAATTGGTAGGTAAATTCTCAAGTTTAATCAGTTAACTAAGCAGTTTACTTACCTGCAACACAAGAAATAAAACTTGTCGGAGATAAAACCATGGTTGTGACGAAAAGGATTAGAATCATTTTCTTCATAGAAGTATTAGTCATAATGAATTTTGAGTATGGTTTTTGGTTTCTATAAGCTTATATCTATCTTTTTTTTTTTTTGGTCAAAAGCTTATATCTATCTAAGTGTGTATTTATAGAATGTTAATGGATAACAAAGGAGATAAGAATTGACGAAAAATATTACATGTTTCCATGGCCATGTTCAATTTTTGTTGTTTGAATCTTGTTATTTTATTTTGAGATAATGTAGTTACTTTTGTGCATGGATTGTTTGCCACTTTAATATCTGTGTAGAGAGACGTCAGTAATATTTAGTATTCACAAAGGATGTTTGAAGTCAAAGCTACTATTAAATACTTTTTTGTTTGTAGTAATTGAAAGCTCGAAATATGTTATCGTGTAATATGACATACCAAAAAATTTAAATAATTGTTGAAGTTTGAACTTTGAACGATGAAGATACATTTTTGGGTGCTTTTTTTCTTATACGTTGTTTGGCTGCGTGTTACTGACTTACTGTACAAAGTGGACTTTTACCAAAATTAACATGTTTGTTTATTCGTCAGCTTTAAGAGATATTAAATATTTTCATTTAGTAAGCATTGATTATTACGTTTAAATACTGATAGTCAAGTCTATACATACACATACAACAAATATGAAAATCAATTTAAAAATAAAATAATGGGGGAAAGTCATTTGAGGTATTTTTTTTTTTTTTTTTTTTTTTTGGTAAAAGAGTCATTTGAGGTTGGTAAGTAAGTGACGAAGATGAAGGATATTGATCGGTTATGGGATAGTGAAGAGAATTTTTCCACACGATACTCTTGTTCTTTTTTGTTAAGACACCATAATTTTTGCATCTTCAACTTCTTTTCACATTAATATGATTTCTGCTGGATCGTTTTCCACCCATATATTTCGAAGAATCTTATTATATATAGTGTTCAAATATCCCACATTAGAAAATGACATATTTCTATACTAGTATATAAAATCAATATATAAAGTTTATGGACTTTTCCATTTATTACCAATTGGTTTTGAATTGATCTCATCAACATCTTGTAATCAACAAATAATAAGAAGAAATGATACAAAAATAAGTTCTCTAACGTAACTCACATTTTCACCAATGTGTTGAGTGACAAAAAAAAACCTCGATCTTCTTACCAACAATCTCATGTTTGTCATTTAAGACACTTTGTTCTGTAATTGAATCTTCAAGTTGCGCAAACTACAGAAGGGAAATTAATATGTGTAAGGAATCCAAAACCTTTGTGTTGCCCTGTTTCAAGGTCAAGCGGTAACTCAACAAGGTCAACAAGACCAAACTTCGTGAATACCTCTCTAAGCCGCAACTCTGTCACGCTAGAATCAAGGTTCTTCACATACAACTTCCTATATACTTCTCTAAGCTGCAACTCTGTCATGCTGGATTCAAGGTTCTTCACATACAACTCTCTAAAGCCCACTTTTAGTTATTCATATTAACTTTTTTCTCTATTAAAATCCGAAAGAACAAATTTTTAACATAGTTGTTAACTCAATAGGCTTTCAATATTTTATGGTAATTCATCACCTCTCTAAGGAGGACATAAAACTACCTTATAAACTTAAAATTGTTCAACAGAAACCAAGTTTTTCTTATTCAAACACACAATAAACTTTTTGTTTAATTATTCATACGTATTATATTACACATCACAATAGCTCATCTTAGAGCAGAAGTCAATCCTTAGGGACCGTCAGGACAACGACATGGGCAGCAAAAACCAGGTGGAGCCGGTGCACAACATTCACACTGTGGACACATGAGAATAGGTGGTGACGGTGCCATGAGCTTACGCACTCCACCTTTCCAAAAAAATATCACTTGTGGTCTAAGAAAAACTTAAACATAGAGCATGATAATAAGATTCGAGGAATTTTAGAGATGAATTAACTTACCTCCTAGAGGCATACCATCTGCTTGACATAGAAGTTTTGGAGACAAGACTAGCGCGAGAACAAAAACATATAGGGGGATGTTGGATCTTGCTGACCCTGTTTTCATCGCAGCTTTAGGATGTGTGAATGTGAAAATGTTATTGAACTAAAACGATTTGCTGTTGAAACTTAAAACCATGGTGAGAGGATGATTATATAGCTAGGGGAGCGAGAGGAAGTAAATTGAACAAGTTGGCCAAGAAGATGACTTTAGCAATAAAATAATTAAGAGATCAAATCTAGTTACCATTGACCAAAATAAACCATTAGTTTTGATGATGCAACTATCTTTTGATTTCACACGGTAATTGATATAACTATCTTCTGAATTCACTAATTATTGCTATTAGTTGACCTTTAGTGAGATGACTTTTGTTTGGGGAAAATTTATGAGAAGTAATCAGGCCAACAATTGTGTAAAGAGTTCATATTAAACGATGAGAAAAATTAGAAGAGCCTTTGCTAGTACCAAAAAAAAAAGTATTTACACGCATAGATGAAGAAACAATCTTGATGAGCTTAGAACTTCATTCTTTTAGCAGGATTTGATTTGAAGTGACATTTGTGGATTTGCTATTTTTAAAAAATCTTATGAATTTGCCATTTTTCAGGCCATAAAAATACGATTGAACATGCGTTTAGTGAAATAACCGTAGTCTAGTGGTAAATGATAAGTCCACTGAGAGCAGACACCATCACATCAGAGATCGAGTCACGCTCCCTATAAATGTAGGGATTTGGCTAATGGGCCGGCCAGTTGTGGCCCAATATTGATAAAAAAACGATTTAACATGTGTTTTACCCATTATGTTTGGATTTAGTCGTTTCTATTTATTCTTATGGTTTAATATTTGTTATAAGATTTTAGAGAATATGACAAAATCCATAAATGTCACTCCAATGGCAAAATCCGTAATAATCCCTATTTTAATAGTAGTTCATCAAAACTAACTTATAAACTTAAAATTATTCAGCAGAACCCAAAGGTTTTATTATTCAAAACACAAAATACACCTTTTGTTTACTTGTTCATACATATTATAAGGAATTAAGGATTACACAGATTTTAAACAAATCTAAATAGCACATTGGATAGCAGAAGTCAGAGTCTTCAGGGACCACCGGAACAGCCACAACGGCAGCAAGAACCAGGTGGAGCCGGTGCGCAACATGCACACTGTGTACACATGAGAATAGGTGGTGGCGGCGCCATCAGCTTACGCCCTTCACTTTTCCATAAAAACATCAATTTCTCCCTAAGAAAAACCAAAAGTAGATTGGAGAAATTTCAGAAATTAATTAGCTTACCTCCTAGAGGCACACTAGCTGCTTGACATGGAAGTGTTGGAGACACAACCAGTGCGAGAAATAAAACATATAGGAGGATGGTTGCGGTGAGATGACTTTCGAATTTTTTTGAGAAGTAATTAGGTCAACAATTGTGTAACGAGTTCAGATTAAACAATGAGAAAAAGTAGAAGAGCCTTTGCTAGTACCTAAAAATTCTATACATGCATAGATGAAGAAACAATTTTGATGAGGTTAGAACTTCATTCTTTTAGCAGGACCTTGATCAATAATAGGATCAATTTGAGGCGGTTGTGACTCTCCTCCCTGTGTTCCAAGCTCTTCCTTTTCTCCTAATGCTTCTTGGCTAACATAACCTTCAGGAAACGGTGGTGGTGGAGGTGCTGGCGCTAACTGCACAACGCAACACAAAAAAACAAGTCTCACAATCAGAAGAAAAGTATAGGAAGTAGAGTCAGCGACATTCGTCATGCCAACAAGAGTCTTCAGAGATCCAGAAAGTGGGTTTTCTCAGAAATACAAATGTACCTTGCGATATAATGAGGTAAGAATGACATCGACTCGCTTCATTTCCTTTAAATCAACTGGCTCACTAGCAGGCTTCGACTCAGAAGGTTCGATCTGGTTTTCAGTATCAACTAAAACAAATAGATAAACCAATATATTGATGAAGTAAGTTATCTATCTCAAGTGCAACAAAGAGTAACTAATACACAAGAACTTGTCTAAGCCATAAACTTGTTCAGCATTGGCCATGAGCTTGACAATCAACAAAAAGTAGCTTCCTAAGTTAACTAATAAACTTAGGCTATTTCAACTAAGCACACTTGCATCTACAAACATTTCATACAAAGAACATATATATTTCGCCAAGTTTCATGGACTAGCTGGCCGAGATGGCAGAAAGCTTTGAAACTAACTCCTCGTAACAGAAGCGATTTATGTTAACATTAATTAGGAACAGAACCATCGATCTTTTGGAAGAAAATGAAACTTACCTTGTCTAATGGTCTCCAATTTCGATGCAGCATCAGAAAAAGCCTTTGAAATATTATAAATAGTCCGACTCTGATTCAAACATACAAAATGAGAAAGAAAAGTAAAACAAAACATACCAGAAACTAACAACTTTCATCTAGTAGTATCATCTACCCTTTCAGCAACACACAAATCAAAGAGGAAGAAACTTACAACTCGAGCTGCAAAGACACTACAAAGCTGAGGAGCTTGGTATATAGAACCGTCCAAGATATAATATGTTAGCATCGGTGTGACTTTCTCAGGACCATCTCTCTTTTGCTTACGGAATACAAACAGGTTTGGTTCAGTAGCATCAGTAAGCATATACTCAAGTCCTGTCATCTTCCTGCATATATAACCAATGGTTTCATTAAACATTGTCACTCAATTCTCTACCTAAATCTAAGGAATCAAACAGAGACTAAATCCTAATCTGACCTAAATTTGAAACCTTATGAGATTCAACATGACTCTATAGAGCTAGGGTTTTCTTAATCCGGCGATTGAAGCAAATTGAATTCGAAAGGTGAAAAGTAGAGAGTGAGCTTACGAGAGGTGAGAGAGATCGAGAGGGTGAATGGATCTTCTCCGAAGAATCTCATTGTTGCAAGTTGTATCGTAGAAGGGAGACAAAGCGAAGTAATCGAAGATGTAGTTACGATCAAGAGGGTATGAATTGATCCAGAGCTGATCCCTGAAGGAAATTCCAGTCATATCCGTGCCCGGAGGTTGCGACGGAGGAGGAATCTGATCCGCCGCATTGCCGTTGAAGGTATCGGCCGTAGCCGCCGAGAGCAGAGAGGAGTCCATGGAAGAGTGTGACTCGCTTCGCCGTGAAGGAGAAGAGCCACAGAGAAAGAGAGAGTAATATGGTTCGGCCCATTATGTACTTTGGGGTTTTCGAATTACATTGGCCCAAAATCAAAGGAAGTAGACAAATTGATTTTGACAAAAAATTTGTTTTGTTTTTCTATAACTAACTTTTATATTTTTATTTTTTACATTTATATGTTTTGACTAAAATTTTAATGATTTTTTAGTTTTTAAATAGAAATTATTTTTATTTTAAACTGTTTCTCAATTTTTAATTATTTTGATATAATTAACACTTAGCGGAAAACTACTTTGTATAAGAACAATATCGAAAATTTAGATGTGAATATTTTGGACTTTATGGGTTCATTTCATATTGAACTTTTGACAACTCACGGTGGTTTGTAAAAAACTAAAAATACATATCTTTCTAAATTAAACTACTTACAATATTTTCAGTTTCAAAGTTTTTTGTTAAGTTTCCGCCTTCCGCATGAATATAAGATTTTAAACAAAAACAAATAAATAAGTGATGAATGATGAATTTGTGTATCAACTCTTGAACTCTCTCCTATGATAACCTAATTAATTAGAAGAAAAGATAAACAAAGACAGATCAAATTATCATCGAGTGAAATAAAACACAAAGGTCAAAGTCAACGAATCATATATAAGAAGGTTTTGTGTGTTGCATGCACGTCTCCTCCCTGGACCAGCAAAGCCAATTGCTAGTACATTTACTTTTATATCAAAGTTTGTTGTGATTTTTGGGTCTTTGGAACCATTTTGATCCTCACAATCTTTTCTTCTTTTAAAAACACGTATAATTTGTCTTCCACGTTGTAGCTTACCTATTCATTTGCCGAAAAACAAATTCAATTCTTTTTTTTTGAACTATGGATGGCGGTTTTTAGAAATTGAAATTCAAATTAAACTAAATTGTTTCGAACCAAACCAAACCAATATATTGTTCAATATGTTCTCTGTTTATAAACCAAAAGAAAAAAAAAAAAACTCAAAACGTAACAAACGCACCTAACCAAAATTGAATTGAATACAAAAACCAAAACCAAGTTAATATTTTTTTACTTCAATTTGATTTATATAGTCGAAAATAAAATACATTAGTGCATTATGCATACGTACGAATACAACGTTAAAAAACGGAACATTGACATCAACTAAACGGCATTGGAAGAATATTGGATCCTTAATTTTAAATCTTTATAGAATGTTAATCAAATCACACATATTATTTTACTTTTATTTAGGTCCGAGACAGCTGACTCTGTTTGTATATTTTTTTCCAAAAGTTGACCTACAAAAATAACGTCGTGCTTATTTGTTTTTCAATAATTTCCATTATTGCCTAGATATCTCAAAGCTTTCTGCTTTTTCTTTTTTGTAAATGTATCTCTCTTTTGTTTCATAGAAGAATAATGGAGTATCATCCTCAAGCAATTAGATTATGTGCGTTGATCTTCATCACTTTCTATGCTCTTTTACATCTAGTTGAAGCACAAGACCAAAAAGGTATATACATACACCTTTTGTTGTTTGTTTTTGATACATTTTCGCGTCGAAATCAAAATATGTTCTTACTTAGTGTTTCGATACATTTTGTTCGCATGTGTCACTAGGATTCATCAGTTTGGATTGCGGATCATTGCCAAATGAGCCTCCTTACAACGATCCTTCAACCGGATTAACATACTCGACGGACGATGGTTTTGTGCATAGTGGCAAAACCGGAAGAATCCAGAAAGAGTTCGAGTCAATCTTCAGTAAACCATCTTTGAAGCTTAGATACTTCCCGGATGGAGTCCGAAACTGCTATACCTTGAATGTCACGCAAGACACAAACTATTTGATCAAAGCAGTATTTGTGTATGGTAACTACGATGGTCTTAACAATCCCCCGAGTTTCGATCTTTACCTTGGTCCGAATCTATGGGTAACGGTTGATATGAATGGACGGACCAATGGTACTATTCAGGAGATCATCCACAAGACCGTATCTACGTCTCTCCAGGTCTGTCTCGCTAAGACAGGAACAAGCTCACCTATGATTAATACGTTAGAGCTACGACCTCTTAAAAACAATACTTACAATACTCAGAGCGGCTCTCTGAAGTATTTCTTCCGATATTATTTCAGCGGTTCAGGCCAAAACATACGGTATTAATCACGCCCTTTTGATTTAATCAAGTTAAATTTTTGGTCTGGTTCGGTATGAAAATTTTGTGTCGATCGGTTTACTATAAAATTTTCAATTAAAAGTAAAGATAGTAAATTAAATTTAATGACGATTATATATTTTAATACATTTAGGTGTATATATTGAAATTCAGAGATTAATTTTAATTAATCTTATTAGGTTTGATTGCACAAAATTCAGTTCGAGTTCATTTAGTATAAACATTTTTCTACCATCTTGCTTATTATGGATTTTCAATTTGTTTCAGTAAGTTTGTTTTTAAGTGAAATGTTAGTCTCTAATACATGACTAATTTCTGTTAGGTACCCGGATGATGTCTATGATCGTAAATGGTATCCGTTCTTTGATGCAAAAGAGTGGACAGAGTTAACTACCAATCTAAATATAAACAGTTCTGGTTATGCACCACCACAAGTTGTAATGGCGTCAGCCTCAACGCCTATAAGTACTTTTGCAACGTGGAACTTCTCATGGTTTTTGCCATCTTCCACGACCCAATTCTATATGTACATGCATTTTGCCGAGATTCAAACTCTACGGTCCCTCGATACCCGAGAATTCAAAGTGACGTTGAATGGGAAACTTGCTTATGAACGCTACAGTCCTAAAACGTTAGCCACGGAAACTATATTCTACTCGACACCACAACAATGTGAAGATGGGACATGCCTCTTGGAGTTAACGAAAACCCCAAAGTCTACTCTTCCTCCTCTCATGAACGCTCTCGAAGTTTTCACCGTGATCGATTTCCCACAGATGGAAACAAACCTAGATGATGGTATGTCTTTATGTTTTAATTTTCCTCTATATGAATCTTTTATACTTTCATGGGTTTTTTATTGATATAACAAACTTTATTTTAGTTGTCGCTATCAAGAATATCCAAAATACTTATGGATTGAGTAAAATCAGCTGGCAAGGAGATCCATGCGTTCCTAAACAGTTTTTGTGGGATGGTTTAAACTGCAATAACTTAGATATTTCAATGCCGCCTGTTGTCACTTCCTTGTAAGATCAATCTTTTTAAGGGTTTATCTTGTTAATTATGTTTTATAATATTTACATGAAATGTGTTCATAAATATGTCTTTAGAAACTTATCCTCAAGTAATTTAACGGGGATCATCGCGCATGACATTCAGAATCTTACACACCTACAAGAATTGTAAGTATTTCGAATTCTACAACTGAGCATTAATTATAAAAACAGATTATTCATCTTAATCGTATCTTATCTATACAAAATTTGTACTTATAAATGCTTTTTTAGAGATTTGTCAAATAATAACTTGACGGGAGAAGTACCCGAGTTTCTTGCCGGCATAAAATCCCTCTTAGTAATGTGAGTCATTTTTTAAGATAGTACAATACTTTTTGATCAATTAGCTTCTTCCACTACAAGATTGCCAATGTTTCTAACATTGTATCTATCTTAACAGAAATTTAAGTGGGAACAATCTTAATGGCTCTGTTCCTCAAACCCTTTTACAGAAGAAAGGACTAAAGCTAAAGTAAATTTCTATCATATAATATTTTCATGACTATATAAAAAATGTGTTCAATTTTCCTAACAACAAGTAACTCATTTTTTTTTCTTTTTCCTCAACACTGGTAACTCATAGTCTTGAAGGAAACACCAATCTTATTTGTCCGGATGGATTATGTGTAAACAAAGCTGGCAATGGTGGTGCCAAGAAAACGAATGTTGTAATACCGGTTGTTGCATCAGTTGCGTTTGTGGTTGTTCTTGGATCTGCTTTGACGTTCTTTTTTGTATTCAAAAAGAAAAAGACATCAAACAGTCAAGGTATGCACAAATGTTCTTTTTAAATTTCCTTGAACATTGCAATCATATGTTCACTATGTATACAAAGTCTCATTATACTGATGCATTGTAACATTAGTTCCATCTTCATATACTCAAGTATCAGAAGCTAGAACAACTAGATCTTCAGAGTCGGCAATAATGACTAAGAACAGAAGATTTACATATTCGGAGGTTGTAACAATGACAAATAACTTTGAAAGAGTTCTTGGTAAAGGAGGATTTGGAATGGTTTATCATGGAACTGTAAATAATACTGAACAAGTAGCCGTTAAAATGCTTTCACACTCATCTTCTCAAGGATATAAAGAATTCAAAGCAGAGGTGAGTTTTAGTAAAGTTATTAAGAAAAGTTTGTAGAAACACTATCGTTCTTTTAGAGTAACATGAAATTTTTTGATGCATTTTTTCTTCCACTCTTCTAGGTGGAACTTCTTCTCAGAGTCCACCACAAAAATTTGGTTGGCCTCGTTGGCTATTGTGATGAAGGAGAAAATTTGGCTCTTATCTACGAGTACATGGCTAACGGAGACTTGAGAGAACATATGTCAGGTAAGTATTTATAGTTGCTACAAAGACATATTTGTTTTGTAGTGTTTCACATATTCATATATTGGTTCAAATATAGGAAAACGAGGTGGATCTATTCTAAATTGGGAAACTAGACTAAAAATAGTCATCGAGTCTGCGCAAGGTTTGATATGAGTTTTAATATAAATTTTCCTTTTTTCCTCTATTAATTTGCTTAAACCATGATGAAAATGAAACTTGTTGCACAGGATTGGAATATTTGCATAATGGATGCAAACCACCAATGGTTCATAGGGATGTCAAAACCACAAATATATTGTTGAATGAACATTTTCAAGCCAAGCTAGCGGATTTTGGGCTTTCAAGATCTTTTCCAATTGAAGGAGAAACTCATGTGTCAACAGTTGTTGCTGGAACTCCTGGATACCTTGATCCAGAGTAAGTGTCATTAGATCATTGATGGTTGATTTTGTTTTAAATCAATTTTGAGATATATTGTTAGTTATTGTTATCATATTGTTTTGCATATTTTCTTCTTTTTAATAGAAGAAAGATTTTTTTTTTTTTTGCAGATATTATCGAACAAATTGGTTGAACGAGAAAAGTGATGTTTATAGCTTTGGAATTGTACTATTAGAGATCATCACAAACCAACCTGTGATCAATCAAAGCCGCGAAAAGTCACATATAGCAGAATGGGTGGGGTTAATGCTTACAAAAGGAGACATTCAAAACATTATGGATCCAAAACTCTATGGTGATTATGACTCTGGTTCCGTCTGGAGAGCAGTAGAACTAGCAATGTCGTGTTTAAATCCTTCTTCAGCTAGAAGACCAACAATGTCTCAAGTTGTTATCGAATTAAACGAATGTTTGTCATATGAAAACGCAAGAGGAGGAACGAGTCAAAACATGAACTCAGAGAGTTCAATAGAAGTCAGCATGAACTTTGATTTTGGAGCTACCCCTGATGCTCGTTAGACTGCAAGAGTCATTTTATCTTTGTTTTCTTGAGTGAAGTTTCTTTATTTTAAAGTAAATTATTTTTGTAATGAATTTATGATTGATGAATGTGATTTATTGGAATCAAGATTAGTAACAACGACTCGATGAAAACGTAGAATTGGAAGTAATCTTAGTGGAAGAGACATAGCAAATTTCTAGGATGAGAAGGCAACATGTTTATACTTTTCTTGCAATCAAAATTAAAGTATCAAATCGAATCTCTAGATAGCAATAGGCCCGGGATGAGTCAAGTAGTTGACGGATATCATTGAGGGAAAGAAGCATCTGCCAATTGCTCGCTACGACCATCTTCTGTCTCTCAATTCACGTCATTGTTTGATATGACAGTGACTTGTTCTGTACGTTTCATCTATGGTTTTCTAATTGACTCAATTACTTGTAATAAAAGAAGTAATTAATATAATAGTTCCAAAATAAGACATTAGAAATTAATTTGGTATCTGGTTGTATATTCTAATTAAGTGCATATTAAATGTAACGTAAAGATTATCAGCCTAGGTATGTATGTGGGATGATTAAAAAGATAATACTATTATAAAATTTTAAAAAAGTAAAAAAAAAGTTGAAATTAATTTCATTTTCTGAAAGAAGAACAAGTTGAGGAATAAATAAAGTCAAATGAGGATGATAATAGAGAGGTATACCATATCATTTGATGATTGTGGACAACTGGACTATTTTTTTTACAATTTAAGCGAAGAAGTTGCCAAGTTGATGAAATCAAAAATATCCAGCTTTCGTCACCAAAATGTATCCTCTGATTTGAGAAGATACTTTGTTTTTGATTCTATTTTATTTTTCCTTAATTATGTAGGACTGCAAATAATAAATGGGCATGTGTGCTAATAAGGTTGTTGGTTTGATTTGCGGAGCATATTAGAACTTTGGAGGGCTTTCTCTTATGATTAGTAGGACCAAAACCTCGGATTTATTAAGATATATAAAAAGAGTAATTAAGGTTATGTCAAAACTTTCCAAAAATAGATTGCTTCAAAGGGACATCTTTGTCTAAAACGTTAACATGGAAACAAACAAAAGACCATAACCGTTCAATTAAAAAGTCAACAAGAATGATCAATCTCTCTTATCTCCCCAGCTTGCAACACCCATCGAATCCTGACTTTTCTTTTGTGTATTACATATAATTGCTTTTTAGAGTTTTCTGTTTGTTGGGAGTCAACTTGAATATATGATTTTATGATATTAAATAACGGAATTATATGTTATTCACTAAATCATTTTGACTTCAAATGTTGTTAGTCGACATTGTTACCTTTTTTCATAAGAAACTACCAAACCTAGTAGGTTGCATCTCCGATTGCTTCATTGCGTTGATGACTAATTTTAATCTCAAGAACAAAAAACAAGGACTACTATGATTTTGACTTGATTACCTTTACACGATGGACTATAATTATTTCTAAAAGCCAGTTGCAATAGGCCTTACGAGACTCTTCCAAATGGAAACTTGGTTTAGTTTAATTAGACCGTTTTCTTCTCTTCTATGGAGTTCACGTTCTAAAAGATTTTCATTGACAATCAAATTAATAAAAAAGAAATATTGGCATGCTTCAAGAAAAATCATTCCGCCACCGAGATATTTACATGCGAAAAAAAAATTAAAATCATGTATATATGTTTGTGTGTTCTTTTAGAAATGCAATAGGCACAAACATTTTTAAAATGCGGAATTAAACACATCAAAAAAAATATAGTTCACATTTTTATATTCAAATAACATGTTTTATGTTTTGAAAATTCATTTAATTGGGTTTGGTGAAGTACGCGGATATAGAATAATTAACAAGCCAGCTCAAAGATCATGTTATTTTATTAATGTAAAAAAAGCTTAGAATTTGCACACAAAAAAAGCTTAGAAAAAATAGCATGTTATTTTGAAAATAACATATAAGTAAGTGTATATTGCAAATAAATAAAAAGTTGATAGTCAATACCCCCAAGTCAAAAAAACACATCCATCAAAAGAACATAATAAAATACAATTAAACGAAGGAGAATGTGGTTAAGGAGATTTAGGGACGAAATAAGACAAAAGCCAAAAGACAAAAAAGAAGAATAAAAAGATGTAGAATGAGATAGAGAAGCATGTGGTGAGCATTTTAGGGTGTACGAGTCAGGTGAAGTTATATTCTCAAGGCGCACGCCTTCAGCATTCTTAACTCTTACTAATCTCCATCCAAACTATGTTTTGTATTTAAACCAAACACAAAAACACTTATTTGAAAATAAAATTATCACTAGATGATAATAAGTTTCTTCCACTAACACTAGTCAGCAATTCAGCATATACTATGAACAAGTACATTCTGTTCTGTTATTATTATCTTGAAAATAGATCTAAAATCAATATTTTATATGGATAATGTTCCTAAGTGACACAAATTAAATAACCTAGCCATATAGATATACATATTTATACATAGTTTACTGAGATAGACAGAGTTTATTGAGTACAAAAAAAGAAGATTGATACTATATATTATTTTAGTACCCCGAAAGAGTTCTACAAGTAAAGCTAAAACTTTTTATGAAACTAAAAATAAAGTTACAAAAAGAAGAATGCATAGAGAGATAGATAGAGGCACTTTCTAAACACTTTTGTTGATAATCATCGCTTCATAATTGCAATTATCTTACGCTTTTTTCTCTAATAAAGTAATAAAAAGGTTGAAAATGTTGCAGAGACAGTAATTAACCTCTTGCGGCTCTGTTTTTCACAATTATTCAACCCTCGAATTCCACAGATTCTATATAAAAAACAAACTTTATATTAAAAGAAATGCAAAACAAAGACTGGAAAGTGTAAACAACACTGCCCGACACCACCCTTCTCACAGAAGTTGCCTTTCTTGAGAACTGCTAAAACAATCAAGACGCCATGATTCTGTTGATGATGATGAAACTCAAAAGTTTATAATCTGTCAATCAATCAAATCTGTAGATTTTTGTAATTGTTCAACACTCTGGATGATGGATTTGATTAGGGTTTTGCAATGGAAGAAAAGATGGGTGGAATAAGGGAAATGAAGTAGGAGCAGAGGAGAAAGATAGATTGGTTTGGTCAAGCTTGGGTCTCAAGTTTTCTAAAGCCTTTACTTGTGCCCTAAGGAACTTGAGATAATTAGCAGCTTCATCAAGCATTGAAGCTGTGTCCATCTTCGTCCCACCTGGAACTAATGTTTGTAAAACCCTAATCTTCTCACTTATCCTCTCCCTTCTCTGTCTTGCTGCAACCGTTTGAGGATCCGTTGATATCTTCACGTTCTTTCTCTTAGGTTTCTCCACAATCTCTAACCCGAAATTCACCGGTCTAAACGCAGCCGCTCTGTATATCATCTCCTTCATCTGCGCAATCGCCTCTGCATCTGGCTCGACATTGTCAGACAAACAAGTTGAATGTTGGAAGCTAATGTTTGAAGAACCGCCTCGTTCTTTCTCTGTTCTTGGTTTCTTTGATTTCGATTGATTATCATCGTATATGAGCTTGAAACCTCCTTTCTCCGAATCATCTTGAGGATGAACAAGACTGAAGTGACTTCCTGTCTCTTCTCCTCTGTTTCTCTTCAAAGACTTAGGCTTTATCGTTGTTGTAGTTGTTGTCGTCGTCTCAGTAGTTCCTCCATCTCCTCCTCTGTTTCTCATCAAAGACTTAGGCTTTATCGTTGTTGTCGTCTCATTAGTGACCTCTCTGTTCTCAGACTCTGCAGATGAGACTCCACCAAAGCTCCAAAGAGTCTGACAATCTGAGAAAAGCACAGAAATCCCTTCGTCGTCTTCCGTCGAAGTGTTGTTGCTGTTCGACGTCGCAGATAACAAACAATCGAGTGATGATGGATCTATCGAACTAGCTCTGTTTCCAACATGTTGCTGCTGTTGTTGAATCTCACCTATGACTCCAAGATCAGACATGAAACAGCTGCTAAGATTCGGATTAATGATTTGGTGGTGATAAGAAGAAGAAGAACAGAGTTCTCGAGCCATTAGTTCATTTCCTCCCCAAATCAATTCTGATCCTTGATGATGATCCATGATTTTGCTTTCTCGGGTCATTCCATACATAGCTTGAGCGTAAACAGATTCCAATCCTTCCATCGGATCAAACACAATCCTAATAAACACCCAAAACAAAGACAAATGTCAGAGACATACTCAGAAACAGAGCATATTTGCAAACAGACAATGAAACCTCGGATTTCTTGTGTCATGCAGGGAAAAATGATAAAAGCTGATCTTTAAACTAACCTTGTTGTAATAACAGCAGAACATGAAAAAGTGAAACCGGAAGAAGAGAACAAACAGATGAGTTCACAGGAAACACTGAGAAACGTTTCTTCTGCCTTAAAGAGATGGAAACCCCAAAAGGGAAAGAAAGAGAAAACAGAGGAAAGAAACAGAAAGAAGAAATGCTCAAAAAGGAAAGAAAGTAAAACAGTCTGTGCTATAGAATTAGAAAGCTCTGTTTCTGTTTCTGTTCTGTTCTATAATGAGCTCTGCTAGAGTTATAGATGGTTTCTGTAAGAAAAGACTTGAAAGCCCTATACACACCTCTCTATTCATACCCAGATTTGTTATTATGCTCATATATATATAGAATAAGTATTAAATATATTTGTATATTTATTATATATACAATATTATTTAAAAAGGTCCCAACTTTCGATGAGATCAATTGTTCCTCTGTATCAAGCACTAGTTCTGTGTACTTCAGTAGATTAGTATGGATGGTTAACTTTAAGAATTAGGATTAATACCCAACGGTCTGTTTTAAATAAACCTACTTTGATCATACTTTAAAACTTGTATTTATATGAGCGCCGTCAAAAAAACTTATCAATAAGAGCATTTGGTCGGTAAACTAAACTACTCAAAAGATTAATTTTGCATTTACTTTGTGGTAATTATTTTACCAAATTTTATGATAATCATATCCCATTTTTTTCTCAGTGACATGCATTATGCAAACTCGAATATTGATAGTGTATACATGTTCGCTAGCCCAACGTCAGCAACACGTTAAATTGAAGACGCTGGCGGCGACATCAACTTTGCTTTTGTAAGATGATTTATACGATAAAAAAATGTTGAAACCATTGAAGTTAATCTCTATAAATCTTGCGATATCTCCAAGTAAGATCGTTGGATACACGACTATCGTTGCTGAAAATTAACGTTAGGTTTACAACAAATCAATAACACTCCGAATCTAAACTTAAATCGTCTCATAAACAGGATTATTTAATCATTTCTTAATCCAAAATTATTTAAATTTTCATGGAATACTTGATTCAAAATCAATGTCACACGCGCAAAGAGAAAAGTGAGATCACTGATTCATTAACCTAAACGAATAAATAATGAAATTAGTCTAAACGAATGAATTATATATTTATTTAAATGAGGTTGGTGTGCATAATAGTTTCTGCAATCGAAGAGCATCTTTTTTTGAAACCCTAGAAAATAGATATAAATAATTGATAAAATCATAGAGTATATGATTATGCACTTGATGAAAAGGGATATGTAATTAAAAATCTACGAGTGCTTGAGCAGAGAAAAAGGACTGACATCCTTTTAGCATCGTGCGAACTGAAAAAAACTTTAGGGAGAGATCGAAAAAAGTTTTAGGTTTTGAATCCTTTTTTTTTGGTGAATAAAAGATTAATGTTAATTGTATACAGTATTATATTTAATCATAGGTGTAAACTTGTAATCATGATCAAGCTGTAAAAGTAATTCATGATTCTCTACCATTTTCTTATTCTTTTCTATGTGTTTGTTTAATTTACCTTTTCGCTATCATCATCAGTCAATAATGATCAATATCCACATCTCGATCTATATATCTTGTTATACTTTCTTGTATAGTTTATCTTAATTTTTTTTGGCTAGAACGTGTTATACTAATTTATACCAAACTCTCTTTTTTCTGGATTTTCTTGAACACTGGTTTATATATAATCATCATATCATAATCAATGTGGGATACTTTTTGGAGTAGTTTTTGAAATTTCGTAATTCTTTCCATATACCAGTAGAAAAATACATGATTAGTCGCTTCTCCATTCCCAAGTCATTCCTCCTAAGGCTTGACATTACCATCAATCGAGCACCTAGACCAATAACGACGATATAGGTATAGTGTATGAACCTATATGGCTTCTTCTTTATTATGTAAAACATTTTTATAATTAAGTATTCATAATTTTAGGAATTAATTATAATTTTCTAATTAATATTGATTTTTTTCAAATTTTTATTTTTTTCAAGATCGTCAATAATCCATTAGTTATTTAACTGTCACATAAGTCGGTGATCCGTCGATAATAGTAAAAGATCCCTCTAAAAGTTAAACAATCTTTTTTGGTGTTTCCGATGACAAAATTATGTGTCGGTATGGTTGGAATACTACCGACACAATTTTGTTATAGACGTTTATTTACCAACAATATTTTGGTAATATGAAAACATCGATAAATTATCATTACCAATGGATTCCGGTGATAACTCACCAACTTTCTAATAGTATATCTTACAGTACATCACCTCTAAATATTTAAGACACCAAATTTAGAGTGTGTTGTTAGATTACGAACAATGAAAACTTATATGAATTGAATATTGTCTCAACATATATAACATTTGAGAATAGTTTATTTATTTCATGATCTCATGAAAGAAAGAAAAAACTTAAGGATTTTCTATCATTAATTGAGACCAAAATTATATGGAAATTTTGTGGGGCTAAGAAGATATAGCAACATCAGTGGGGGAATAAAAGAAGAGCTTTGGTTTTGAGGGTAAATTATACAAAACATCGCAATCTGTAGAACGGTGAGAAAGAGAGAGCAAAGAAGGCGACATGACCTCTCTGCCCAACCACATGTCTACCATAATCCCACAGCTCATTCAATTTTTTTTTCTTTTATAATTGTCAACTTTGTAACTTATATCATGTTTTTTTCACTTACATTTACGTGTTTTTTATATACTTTCGGATAGAAATAAATAAACAAAAATGTTGGTGGATTTATTATAATAGTGTGTTACTACATCTGAGCTCTGTAATCACCAATCCTAAAACTATATAACCACTCATTTTGCTTATAACAAAGAACCAAATTAAATCTACAAACAGTGAAGAACAAGAACACACAAATAATAAGTATTTCGGAAAAATATAACATGTTATAGACGAAATAGCTGTAGCTACGAAATACTAAAACCCGAATTAACAACTACTGTAAAAGCACTTTAAATCCTTACCAATATAAATCTCTACTACGTTCTCAATTACTAGTTTTTAGAGTTAATGCACTAAAGGACCATATGGTGAGACTTATCGATTTTTTATTTTCCAAAACGTTTTTACTCCCTCCGTATTTTAATAATTGTCGTTTTAGGATTTTCTTTTTTAAAAAATTAGATGTCGTTTTCAAATTTCTATGCAAAATTTCTTACTTTTTAATGTTTTATGATGTCATAAAACATTAAAAAGTAATAAATTTTGCATAGAAATTTGAAAACGACATCCAATTCAAAAAAATAAAAATTCTAAAACGACACTTATTAAAATACGGAGGGAGTATTTTGCAAGAAACAAATATCATAGTCATTTGCCTAATTTACTCTCTTCATATGGGTAATCTACCGAATTCACAATTTTATTAAATTTCTATCTATATACACTTTTAAAATTTAGATTGGATGATCAAACTTGTTAGTCCAATAATTGTTTTCTTGTTGAGACTTAAAATGTGTAGTACCAGTATATGTATACCTAATGTTTTACAATATACGGTTAAACTGTACAAGAACAAATATTAGACAACATCTTAATAGAAATGAAATACATAAGGAAAAAATAATTCATTTGCATAATATACTTATAACCATAAATGGTATATATAGAAGAAATGGGTAAATGAAGATCAACATCACATTCACAGTTGTTGACATCCTTAGGATACTCACAACGAAAGAGACCTTATTTTGTCCATACATGTGAACTCCAAACAAATTTTTGAATAATACCAAAACGTATATTAATTGGGAGACCCATAAAAAACAAAAATTCTCAAATCAATATTAACTATTCTCACACCTCAATCGGGAACCAAAAATGTCGGTCGAGAACAACTTCTCAATTTAATTGACGAATTTGACTTCCCACGGTCATGGACCGATCCAATGTACCAATATTGAAAGAAACCGACCATGTCGGTTTAATAAGTCAACAACGTTCATTACAAAAAAAATTAACGTGTAGATCGGACGATAAATTTGCATGTAGATTCTAGCTAGGGTTTATAGAATAAAATGATAAATTTAGATCTCTTAATGCTTCTTTATAAATAACATAAAGAGATTAGTGTATAAATAGAAATAAAGGATTTGTCGGGGGTATGTCCATGATTCTGCACCCATGATTAAGAGATGAAAGTGGTCCATTATCACATATATACATGTCAAAACAAAACATGAAACAAAATTTCTACGAGTTAAAAAGCAAGACGACGACATTTTTAGAAACCGATAACATTCTTTCTCTTTCAGATACTTTGGCTCGGTACGGTTTAAATGGTCCAGACCGGAGCTGTACAGTAATCTTAGCTATCTGACTCTTCTTCACTCTTCTTGGCTCTTGCTCTCTCACTTCCATTATTGAATGGTTCACACGTGAACACAACGTTCTCCATATGCACGTGGCTCTTCTTAATTGGTTGTGATCTTGGAGGATACTAGTCCCACGTGGGAAATCAGCATGGCGTCATATTGTGGGGACTCGCAAGTTCTTCTTCTTCTTTTTTTTTTTTTTGTTAAGGAGGACCCAAAATTTTTATTCATTTTTCGTTTTTAATTGTTTTTAACTTTTTTTTGTTTTGTTTCCCTCTTGTGTATCGTAACATCACCCCGTTAATGAAAATTGAATATTATCCTGTAAGAATAAATGAATCTTGACAAGGATACGAGCTTCGATCATATTATTTGTACCTTGACAAACACATTCATATACATTTTTTGTACTTGTAGCTCCAGATATTATAACAACAATTTAGTTAAGGATACATTTTAAAGAATCTTTAAATCCCCATTCGAATCAAAATTTTAAAATGAATTTCGTATCAAGCAAACTAAATTTAGTGCTAAATTTAGAAAGACTTCTAGTGCTAAATTTCTGTCGCATCTTGGCGTTTTTAATTCGCAGTCGCCCTTCTCCTTTTGCACCTCATCCGGGAAGAACAACAAAATCGTCATCGCTTCATTTAACTCTCGTAGTATCATCGCTATGGTTGAGTGGATGGACCGAAAGAGGGGTTATTGTTTTATGCTTCCATGTTTTTATCTTTTTTGCCATGAAACCATTTGTCTACGTTAATAATCATCGATTGTAAACCTAAACTGTTTTCATTTCTATGAAATATTTACATTCTTAGCAAAAAAAAAAAAAACTAAATCTAGTTTATTTCTCACATTATTATTTGTTATGTTTGAAGTCTCATCAATCAGCGTCATCTGCCAATGCTTGACTATTTCTTTGAATTGTATTAAGATAAATAGTTTTCAAATTTTGCTTTATAAAAAAAAACAATTCATATTACAAAAAATTATTGTTGTAACTAATTCTTTTTTGTCAACCACGCATTTATATTAAAAAAAAATTAGTAACCTAATTCGGGAATTTTTTCTTATAACAAATTCCGTAGTTTTATCTTTAGTTGAACGAGTTTAAAAGTCAACTCTATTATAAATTTACTGAGTATAAGAAAAACGCGTAAAATAATAGAAATTTACCGCAAAGCAAAGTAATCGAAAAGTTGTTGGAACTGAACTTATAATTGTATACGTACATATTTACTTATTTAAATTTCTCTAGTTACACAAATATAAGCAATGTATATATTTTTTATTTTTTTCCAACAAGCAATGTATATTTTTTTTTCTGTTAACAACATTTTTGAACTTGTGTAATGATATCACAAACATTAAATCATCAAAATCATCAGAGTAATTTTCAGTTGTCATCAATGAGATGACTCACACGGTCACACGTTGCTTCACCACTGTCTCCAAATATGATGTCTGAAATCTAGCAAAAGGGCCCCAAAGAGTCACACTAAATGAAACTAGTGGGCTCAAGCCCACGTATGCACACGCTCTCTTAGACACGTCTTGAGACGTCGACCTTCACGCGCTTCAGGACGTGGAAACTCATGGTCCTTCCTATGGGTTTTGTCCTAAACCATCCTTCGGTCCGAGCAAACCGAGTAAGGTAGAGAAAGACTCCGACCGAACACGCTTCTTCTCCCACAATAGTGTCAAGTGATTGTGATCAGAAACAGATATTTCGCTAAAGATTAGCCCAATTTAGGAAAGATGATGATGAAGTTAGCCAAGAGAGAGATAAAAAAACATGTGGCTATGTATGTAAAAGACCGAGTCACCCGAATATCTCCACCTTCACGCCATTCTCCTACCACTCGGACCTAACCAACCAATACCTTCCACGTCATGTACAATCCGAGTTCCCGTGAGATAGGGATCTTTACTTGAAGCAACCAGACATGACCGCAGAGTCACACACACACACACCCCTAAGCTTTTTGTCGTCCCCTCGTATGGAATCCATTGTGGGGCGACACAAAAATATCTTCTTTTGCTTCTCTCCTTTCTTCTTCTTCTTCTTAATATTTGTTTCTTTCAGGTGGATTCGATCTCCATCTACATAAAACAAAAACAAAGTTATAATCTCTTTTGGATTTTGGTATTGATCTAAAGTGAGATTTCGATCTTGACACTGGGTTTTGGAAGGTAACCTAACAATCTCTGGTTCTGATATCATGTCTTTAGGTTACGTGTAGGTGAAGGAATTGTTAATAGGGTTTGTTTGTGAATGTAGGGAAAGATGGGAGGAATGAAAGATGAAGCAAAGAGGATAACAATTCCTCCATTGTTCCCAAGGGTTCATGTGAATGATACTGGAAGAGGAGGCTTGTCTCAACCATTTGATGGCAAAACAATGTCTCTCATCTCTTCTAAACGTCCCACTCTTCCTTCTCCGACCAACATCTCTGATTCTCTTTCCACTTTCTCTTTGTCTCTTCCTCCACCACCAAACAATCTCGTGAGTCCTTTAATTCACTCATCTCACTTTCTTGATTTGTGTGCCTGCAGATTTATATACAAGAATGGTGACAATGCATATTTTGAATATCACTTTATGACTTGTTGAATACTCTTTTTTAACAGATTGATGGACCTGAAAAGAATCAGTTTTCTCCAATCTGCAACACAAAGTTTGAGGGGAAGATGAATAAAAAAGGCATGAATTATCCAAGTCCTAGAGGATCATCAGTTACTAATACTAAACCTAGTTCAATAAAACAAAATGAGTACCTCAAGAACCTTACCAACTTGGATTCTCTTACGGTTCCTGTTGTTAGACGCTCGGAAACAGATACAAAAGCAAACACAGATTTGTCACTCCAGTTTTGTACTAGCAGTAGCAGTAAAGCCGGAGGAGAAGCTATTGGTTCTAAGATCCTTTTGTCAGAATGTTTGGAAGATGAAAGCCAGAATGGGTCTCCAAAGGTGATAAAAACTCAATTATATAGAAGAAACTTTGCTGAGTTTAGCAATGAAACTCTAAAGAAGCCTAAAACTCTCCCTCGGCGTGAACAAGATGCTTCAGACTGCTCTGCGATAGACTCTATGTCTGGTATAAGTGCATCTTCTTATAATGTTGCCAGAGTGATAGGTGAAAGGAGGTTTTGGAAGATGAGAACATATATGATCAAGTTTGTATCCTCTCAATTTTATTTTGATTCCAGCTTCATAACTTTTGCCATATTTCTTACCATTTTTCTTGTTGATATTTTCAGTCAGCAAAAGATCTTTGCCGGGCAAGTATTTGAGCTGCATAGACTGATAATGGTAAGCTGATAATAACCTTATTGTTTCAATGGAATTGCTTTCTATGCTTCAGCTTACTTAACATGATGCAGGTTCAAAAGATGATTGCGAAATCGCCGAACTTGCTTCTTGAAAGTAAGCTTAATGGTGGCAAACATGGGATAATGAGGTCACCCCATCAGCTGACAATGGCCGCTTCAAAGATTAAAAAAACAAACATTGAGAATCACAAACCTGTAACTGAAGAATATCCAGAGCATATGAAACCAAAGCTTCCTCTACCTTCCATAAGCAAAGAACTCGTGACACCGATTTGGCCACAGCAGCTACTTCCTCCTCCTGGAAACCAATGGTTAGTTCCTGTAATATCTCCTTCAGAAGGTCTGGTCTATAAACCATATGCAGGACCATGTCCTCCTTCTTCTTCAGCCTTCATGGTTCCAGTTTATGGCCAAGATTCACTCGAGACAGCATTCAGGTTCCCTGTTTCTTCTCAATTTAGCCACAGCTATTTCCCACCGCCTAACGCAAGGACAACAGTTGACCAAACAAACCCGTTTGGTCAGTATCAAAGATGGTCCAACACATCAAGCCACATGACACAAGCCATACCATTTTCCTTAAAGAAGTCTCAGGAATCTAATGACAGTGACATACATGGAAGCACAGCTTCAAGTCCACCAGAGAAGCATAAATTTGAAGTGCTTCCTCTGTTTCCTACAGAGCCTACCCATCAAACTGATGAGTACAAGCAGAAACAGCAACCGGTGCTTCGTGCCATTAAAGCCGTTCCTCATACTTCAACATCTGCCTCTGAATCTGCTGCAAGGATCTTCCGTTCCATTCAGGAAGAAAGAATGGACTCAGATCATATGATTAGTTAGTTTTTTATATTTGAAAGCCTTCCACATTCTTTTGCTCTCATTGCTTCTTCATCTAGTTTAGATTTTCAGTATATTCTATTTACTCTTCTTATGAAGATGTAAATCAAATACTGTCACTATACATCAAACATACACACACACATATACACATTTTACATTGTTATTGTATTGACAAACAGCTAATAAAAAGATAGACTTTTGTGGTTCTATTTATTTCTATAGTATTCTAGTTTTGAAAGGGTTTAAACAATGAAACAAGAAGATTCTGATATTCCTTGGGACTTGAAATATGAAAAGTTAAAGATCTCTTTAGCCATTGAAGTATCTATGATATAAATGTGGAAGGAGACAATAAGGATCAGTTGTGTCCATGCTATACGAAGAACATTTCAGAACAAAAACCAAGAACCAAAAATAACACAAGATAGATTAGTTAGAACCCAAGAACCTTTGGTGCAAGTTTGAGTAAAGGCTCCAATGCGCTTGGCGAAAACTTTCTGGCAAAAAGATAACACACTTGAGATGGCTTATCATTGTAGAAGCAAGCTTGACCTCGTGAAAGCTTCTTGATGAACCTCTCTGTTATATCAGCTTTGCCAAAAGTAGCTGGATGAGCACCACCTCTTGACCAATCTGTCCATGTCAATGTCCGATTAGCAAGCAAATCCGAATATCCAATAGAGAGCATTGTTGGGAAGTAATGTTCATCCACATAACAAGGAGGTCTACAAAACTCTTTGAATTTGTGATAGTAAACCATGTCTTCAACAATTTCAACCGCAAGTGCTCTGTTAATTTCAAACCACTGAGACCCTTTTCTCCACTCGCTTAGACTGACTTCTGGTCCCATTGCATAGCTGTATCTGCCTCTCCCGTAAGGACCATCCTCGTCAACAGAACCCATGAAACTATGTCTTGATCTGGAGACATAACGGTAGACGAAGTTGAAACCGCGAATAGGAATGCACGCTTCGGATAGCAAAACAAACCATTCGTTAGAGATATCGAGCAACGCGTTAGCCAAAAGCCTCCTTTCAGCATCACACATACTCATCTCTCCCCAAGCCACAGGCTACACACAAATAAAGAAACTCCTAAGCGAGTGAAACCAAATAAAGACACAAGAAGCAACATTACATTGATCAACAAAAGTACCTGACTTGGGATCTGTCTTCTATAAAACACAGATGAGCTTGGGAAATCTGATCTATAATCTGGCAACGCATGAACATAGATTGAGTAAAAGCCCTCATGCCCTTTGAAAAACCTTTCCCAAAGTGGAGCAAATGGCAAAGGTCCTTTGGTGAGAAACATGAATGCCATTTTAGGAACCCTTTTAAATGGATATTCAGGTATCCGTGGCTCCATCGAAGCACGCCAAAGAAGCTCACTGTCATTCATGGAGTGCCAAACACTCGCTGGAGGCTTGATAAAGCTTTCTAATGTAATTCTCTCATCATAGGGAGACATCAATGTGGATGGAGCCAAAGTTTGAATATTTAAGTACTTGATCATGTGCATACTAATGACTGAGATTCCAAGAACCAAAACAAAGAACAGCAAGAAAACCTGAAGCACCCGCATCGGTAAAAGAGCCCTAAATTGGTTACTAGGTCTCGAATTGGGAGCTGATGCAGCATTATCCTTAATCCCTTCCTCCATCCCCATCAGCTTCAGTTTCTTGATGAAAAGAACCAGTTTTTGAGAACTGAGTTATCGCTAAGCGTACACAGAGATACAACACATTGGCATTAATATGTTACTTACACAAGAAGAGAAACACAATTATATTGTCTTCCCTAAAACTTTCACCAATCAAACAAGAATGAAGATTTACCAAATGGGGTTCTGTCCGGAAACGTAGGCAAGCGAAAACGTACGAGAAGTTCCAAATTCTAACCTAGCTCCTGTTGTTTTAGAATAACAGAGACAAAGAATGAAGAATTTGATTGGAGAAAAAAAGAAAGATCAAAACTTTGAATGGGAAACTTTACCAAAAAAAAGGTAGAAAATTAGGATTTGGATCTTCTCAGACACGCAATTCGTTCAGCTGTCGGATTCGTTCATGATTTGTCTCTCGTGAGCAGGGAGACGTGTAAATGGAGCTTAAGTCTTGTCTGATGATCGTATTCGAGGGATGTCTCTGTAACTCTAATCTGATTTTGGTATCTACTTTTGGAAACAGAGAAGCTTAAATGTGAGAAACTCGGTGAAGGAACATAATAAAGCATTAAACCCTAGTTAGGACATTTGCATCTGTTGGTCTCTTCTTCTGTAACTGACGGTCTTAGACGTTTTATTACAATTTAGACAAACGTATTATGGTGAATAATTACGATGTAAGTATTAAACAATTCGGAAACATATGCTTCATTTAATTAATAAATTCTCACCGTATATTATTCCTAATTAAGTAATTAACCAACGAACTGCAATATATTGGTTTTGGGTTCACTTTCTTTTAATTTTCCAATGTTTTTTCACTTCTACAGTTTGGTTAAATCTGTTTTATTTAGATTCAGTTTTCTAGCAAGTTATATTATATATTAACTTGGGGAATTTAAAAGTTTTTTCCGATTTTCATAGCTAATCAGTAGTTTGCCGCTTAAAAACAAACACAAAAATATGATTCCAAAGTTGATATCAATAGAAAAAGTAAAAGAGGCATACATATACATACCCAAATTGTTGGAATATGAAAGTTATTTTTGTTCAAATCTTGTAGTGGGAACGGAGCTTTTAGAAGTGAAACATTGCAAGACTTGTTCTCTATATAGTCAAGTACGATTCTATTCTATTCCAACGATAAATTGATTAATCCACAAAAGATAAAGAACAAGAAGTATGATTAAAATTTGAGTGTCTTACTGTCTCAGGCTGCTCATTTTTATAATTTAGCAGGTTATATAGGGTTTATCTATCTTTTTTTTCTCTGTTAAACCTCATATGGATAATCTCCGATTATATGTCAATTACGCTGCAAAAAATGAAACCAAAGAAGATGAGATATCAAACTATACTATAGAATGATAATTAACATAAGAGTCATAGAAGAATAGACATCCTTTCTTATATAAGTATTGTTTGTAGCCATGATTTAATCCAATCCTTAGCAAAATATATTAACAAGGATGAAAACATTCAAAACTATCTAAGAACAAAAACCTCGTCAGATTCAACTACACAAGTGCAATGGAGGTTCTACCTAATGGTCACAGGTTCATGAGGAGGACAATAAGACAGCAGGACCTGAACGGAAAATGACCCTTGTACATTACCGGTCCTGGCCCTAAAACCGGTATTGTGCAAGGTTCAGCTCCTACGTGTGTTTCTTACACTACACTATGTTTTCAAGTTTTCTATCCTACTATCTAGACTACGGTTTCCACTATATCTAGACTATGTTTTCTTCAATCAGTGTTCTTCCTATGTTTTCTAAAGAGACCATTGAAAAACGATTTTACATTAGTTTGCCGCTTAAAAGCAAAAACAAAAATATGATTCCAAAGTTGATATCAAAAAAAAAAAGTAAAAGAGGCATACATACCCAAATTATTGGAATATGAAAGTTGTTTTTGTTCAAATCTTGTACTGGGAACAGAGCTTTTAGAAGTGAAATATTGCAAGACTTGTTCTCTATATAGTCAAGTACGATTCTATTCTATTTCAAAGATAAATTGATTAATCCACAAAAGAAAAAGAGCAACAAGTATGAAATGAAATTTGAGTGTTTCAGACTACTCATTTTCATAATTAACATAAGAGTCATAGAAGAATGGACTGATCTTGTATAAGTATTGTTTGTAGCCATGATATAAATCCAATCCTTAAGCAAATAAATGATCAAGGATGAAAACATCCAAAACTATCTAAGAACACTACAAATACAATTATGGATTAATGCAGTATAAACAAAAGATAATTTTACATATTATATTTTAATCAGCATTCATTACCAGCTGCGAAACGCTGTCGTTATGGGTTTAGTATGTGATGGTAATGAATGCTGTCGTTAGGGGTTTAAGCTACAGACGAAGAAGATAGGTCGACGCAAAAACGCTGTCGTTTCGAGATCCATTCACACGCTCTTCTCTTATCGCAAATTCTGAAATTAGCACCCGACTCGAGCTCGGTTTCAATGTTGGCCACGACACCTGTTCATGGACTCAGGTACGTGGTCATGCCCACACGCTCATGGCTTCATAGGTTTCGTTGCTGCTCCTCTTCTCTCGCTCCTCTCTCTCCTTCTGAATTCTCCGGCGGTAATAAAACCCAGAAGAAGCTGAACGACGAGAACAACATCAACGGAAGCAATGAGAAAACGGCGCCGTATTATCCCAAACGAGGGCAAACAGTGGAGCTTGTGTGCGAGAGTTTAGGATTCAAAGGCAAAGGAATCTGCAAAGTTGATGGAACTGGCTTCGTCGTTATGTGTGACCGAGCTCTTCCCGGTGAACGTTTTCTCGGCCGTATCACTCGCCGCAAAGGCAGCTATGCTGAGGTTTCATAAAAACTTCACCTTTTTTTATTCAAATTACGAATTTTTGTTATAAAGTTACGATTTTTAGTTTTGATTTGTTGTTGTTTGGTTGTTTCTGTTATTGAATTGACTCTTTAGGTGACAAAAATCAAGACGATATCTCCACATAAGGACTTAGTAGAAGCTCCATGTGAGTATGCATCTTACTGTGGTGGTTGCAAAAGTCAGAATCTCTCTTATGAAGCTCAGCTTAGAGCTAAAGAAGAGCAAGTTCATGAACTTATCAGACATGTTGGAAGGTTTTCTGATAACAATCCTGGCCTTGAGATTGTGTTAAAGCCTATTGTTGCTTGTGATATCCAATTCAATTATCGGAATAAGGTTTGATTGATTGTTGTCAAATGTGCTTATTGGTTGGTGCTTTGGTTTGAGACTTAGCTGCTTATAAATGTTGATATTTTGACTTAGATGGAGTTTTCATTTGGTCCACAAAGATGGCTTCCGATTGAAATGTTGCACGAGAAAGAAGATGGTCCTAAGAACTTTGCATTGGGGTTACACGCACCTGGATTTTTTGACAAGGTTTTAAATGTCGATAAGTGCTTACTACAGAGCGAGCCAGGAAACTTGGTATGGTGAAAGCAGTTATACAAAATTTTGATCTGTGTAGAGCTCTCCTTTCAGAATCATTAATAACCTTTTTTTATTAATTCAAATAGGTTCTTGCTGCTGTTCAAGATTGCTGGAGAGATCCCGAATTAAGTCTTTCACCATATAATTGTCGTTCACATGTTGGATTTCTTAAACATTTGATGCTGAGAACTGGAAGGTATTAAAGGTACTTGAATCATATTGTTCATAGAATAAGCATCTTGTTCTTGTAAATATAAGACCAGTAACAGGGAATTGAGTGTTTGTCTTGATGAACTAGCATTGATGGAAGTGAAAATGATAGTTAAATCTGTGCTTGATCTTATTTGATAGTTCTTTCATTGCTCTAGTTTTTTATATGTTTTCTTATGATCTAACTTGACCTAGGAATGTGGAGACTGGTTCACAAGAACTTATGGTCAATTTTGTGACATCGTCTTATAAGCCAGAGCTTTTGAAGCCCCTGGTTGATAGGATTTCATCAATTCCTCAAGTGGTTAGTACTGAATCCGATTTGCTTCATTCCTACAATCCTTAGCATTTTTCTTTGTTTGTATGTTAACAATTCCATACTTTTTTACTGGCTCATAAAAATACAGGTAAGCATCATGAATAATGTAAATTCTTCGATAGGAAATACATCCGTTGGCGAAAAGGAATACACTCTTTACGGGAAAGATACAATCACAGAGGTCTTAAGAGGCCTTACATTTCAAATTTCAGCCAACTCTTTCTTTCAGACTAACACTCATCAGGTATATGGTACCACTAAGCTACATGATTCCTTTTATACTCAAAACTTTAAACGCAGACTTGTTGAAAAGGAAATGGTGTTTACTTTGTAGGCTGAAGTTTTATATAAGCTTATTGAGGAATCCGCTGGACTTAAAGGAGATGGCTCAGAAGTCGTGCTCGATCTTTTCTGTGGAACTGGTACCATAGGTCTTACACTTGCCAAAAGGTAGAAGAAACATGAGCTTAAAGTACTATCAAAGATTAAAAATAAATTGCAGTTTTGTATCGATTCTACAGTCTGATTCTTCTCTTTCTAGGGCGAAACACGTATATGGTTATGAAGTTGTCCCACAAGCAATAACAGATGCACACAAGAATGCCCAAATAAACGGGATAGAGAATGCAACGTTCATCCAAGGGGATCTAAACAAAATAGGAGAAGATTTTGGGAACAATTTCCCTAAGCCTGATATCGTTATTTCTGGTTATAATCTTCTTCACATAGTTTCATTTTATCTAGCTTCTAATACTTTGCAGTCTACCAATCGTAAGAAGTGTTTTTTTTACAGATCCTAATCGACCTGGTATGCACATGAAGTTGATCAAGTTTCTGCTAAAGCTTAAATCTCCACGGATCATTTATGTTTCCTGTAATCCTGCAACATGCGCTAGGGATCTCGATTACCTCTGTCACGGCGTGGTTAGTATCTAATCTATCCTCCACTTGAATCTTTTCTCTTTAGATAATTTGTGAAAGTAATCAACAAAACTTGGTGATTTGAAAACGTAGGAGGAGAAGAATCTAAAGGGTTGCTACAAACTTATGAGTGTGCAGCCAGTGGATATGTTCCCTCACACTCCTCACATCGAATGTGTCTGTTTGCTAGAGCTTGCTTGATCTCTCTTGGCTGCTTCATTTGGTCTCTAATGAGATGAGAGACAAAAGAAAACAGTGATTTTACAGATTGAGGGAGTTTTTGGTTTTCCATTAGAGTTAAGTCTCTGTAATCGTTTTCTTCAAGTTCTTTAGTAGCATTCAATTATTCATAGACAAGAATGTAGACGTTTTTAGAAAAAGGTAAAATCCCACCAAGGCAAGTCATCTTAAGAGTTAAGATTAGACACTTATTATAAAACGAAGAGAGTAACAAAATAACAATCATTGATGGATATACTTGTACAAGTTTCATGACTTCTCAACATCTTTTGAAATACGATAATTTTCACTAGGAATGGTTAAACGAATGGGGGAGCTAAATCAATGTAAAATGAGTGCATTTCAATATTCGAATAAGCTTTCTTTCTTCATCTATGTCTTAATCTTGTTTTCTCGAGCTAAGTTGACGAGCATAAGCCGCAACACGCTTTGCCCACTTGACAATCTCTGCCTTGAGCTTTTTGGAATCCATACGATTCAACGACAATGGTTTATTCTTCTCTTCCGTTGATGAATCCATGAACGAGAATGACAAGCATCGATCATAATGACTCGACTTGTGGCTTCCATTGTTCTTCCTCTCTAAAGCCCGTTTCTTTACAGACATGTCAAAGATCTCCCAAGTTTTGAGTTATGAGTTATGAGGAGACTTTTAATAGAGACAGACGCAGACAAAAGAAAGATAGTCTTACAAGTTATTAGACTTGACGATAGTTAAGGTAAAAGACGTGTAACCAAAGCATGTTTGGTTGCGTTCACGTTTGACTTTGTCAACGCATATTCTTCTCTTCTCGTTACTTCGTAAATGGTATCTTTGTTTTCACTCTATTTTCCAATTAAAACTTGTGATCTGACTTTTCTTTGCTCTCTTTCTTTTTACCAAGCAAAACTAGTTTTGCCTTTTTAAAATCAGTCATAAGAAACTTGAACTGGATTACAAAGCACAAATTGTTTCATCAAACAGAGATCCTGTGAAACTTACCAGTGTGTTACCACAATACAGAAGAAAAAAAAAAAAAAAAAAACATATGGCTAAAGAGTGTCTTCTCCTTTTGAGTTTGACAAGTTTAGAATGCAATCTGAGGTTCTTCTTTTTTCTAAAATTACACCTCCAATCACTAATTGCTATTGCTAATATTTACATATACAAGTTCACTTCCATATTCTTCTATCTTGTTCTTTCTCACAAGGCCTATATATCTCTGTATTGTACAGAAAAACCATCCATCACCCTCTAAAACCGGGTAATTTAATCTCGGTGAATGCTTAAACCGAGGTAAATGATCGTAGGAAACAAATGGCAGGACATAGAACAGAGACCAAACTCATCTCATCCTGTATTGCCTGCAGATGGTAATGATCGGTGAACTTGTCTCGCTGAGCCCTTCACTGCTTCGTTTATCCTACTGAAGACTACTTTCAGAGGGATGCACGCTACAATCCGTCCTTTTGTCTTCTCTATCATTACCTTTTTCTTGCTGCTTACTGTCAGCTTCTGGCCACTTAGAGCGGAGAGACACCTTGTCTTTATGGCTAGAGATGGAGATTTCTTTGGCTTTGATGTCTGTGGAGGAGTATGTGGTTTCTTTTTCTTAAATTTCTTTTTTGATGATGGTTTTGGCTTCACATCATCAATTATATGACTACTCACAATGTGGCCACATGATCCATCTTCAAGCACTTCAACCGCTGAAGGATGCCCGACAATAGCTTCACCATTCAGTTTACTCCTAAGGGAAATCAGCGGAACATTACGGGGTTTATAGTTAGCTTTTACCTCGATCTTCACGTCATACAGTTCAGAATTTCTTCCCATAGCTTGAGTGCCAACGCTGAAAAGACCCTGTGGCTTTTGATCAGAGACAGACCAATGAGGTAAAGATTTGTTGTTGGCTTCTTCCGCGTAAGCATTTCTTCTTTCTTCTTGTTTTTTACTCATCTGCCTTGAATTCCTTTTCCCTTTTAGCTGCCATTTTGAAGTGCTCTTCTCAATCCCATTGAAAAGTGTAGCTGCTGGACTTGTACTAAGAGATCCATTACTTCCTTCGTTTTTCACCACATCATCATGGCTACTCTGACCAAACCATCTCGTCGGTCCAGAAACAAGAGCCTTCTTGGGTGAAGAAGATGTGAAAGGCGCCGTCAAAGTACCTGGAACAAGAATGGGCGTTGTTTTAAGTCATGCTGATCATAAACCAGAAAAAAAGAAGCCACCAAATCCGATCTAATTGATCAAATGTTTGATCCTAACAGCTAGAGAAAGAAATGATAGCAGATAACCATCATACGCCAAAACCAAAAACACACAGAAACAATTAGCCATAGACAAGTCAAAATTAGGATGCATCTCAAATATATACTAGTCACTGAGTTGAACACAGAATTAAAAAAAAAAAAAACATCCATTGCCCAAACAAATAGTCACTAGTATTCTGTCCCGGGCAATTTTTCCAGACATTAGTCTAATAAGCAATTTAGTCCATCATGTAACAAATCCAATTGATGACTTTTCCGTGCTTTTCTGTTTCCTCTCTTCCTAAAAATGGAGACATTCATCTTTTTTCCACTAAGAGTAACAGAACTGTGAACAAACAAGACACCCTGAAAATGTACCTCAGATAATCCATTAAACTAATATAGACACACTTCAAAACAGACCATTCAATCACCAGAGCTTGTATAAAAAAGATTTAGCCATTTATACCTGCAGGGTATTTTTCATCTCCATTAAGTGGAACATCAAATAATCCTTTGGATGAGGCATTCTTTGCCAAAACTGATATGTTGGAGACTTCACTCTCTTTCCCCTTGTCATTGATCACTTCAACAATATTTTCAGAAGCATTTAGTGAAACAGATACATTCTCAGATAAAACCTCATTGCTGTCCGAGTTATTATCGCTTTCAGAAAACCCTGGAATAGGCAAACAATCAGAATTGACAAGTTTGTCACCGGTAACAGGGACAGACACCATAGCTGTACTCTCTAACACTTTTGTCAGTGGCCCTCGTCGGTTTTTCCTTTTAGAGTAGTCATTCGCATTGACGACAGGCGACCTTTTTCTTTTCATTGACGGAGAGCAATCCCTGCTACTACCATTGGAAAGACTCCCATTTGACACAATATCATTGATATTTGTATCACTTTTACAACCATTTTCCTGTCTATCCTCGTGCAGTGCACTGACCTGTACTTTTCCTTTGGATCCTATACCCATTCCAATATCCTCAAGTCCTCTCATTCGTTTGTTTCTTTCAATCCCATCATCTTCCGAGTCATTTGGTGTTCTTCTTCTCTTCTCTGACAAAGGCTGCACCTTAGAAGCTTTGCCATTGTTGGTTTTTTTAAAAGACATACTAGTTTGCAATGCAACTTCCGTCTCTGCCACATCACCGGAGTCCTCATTACCCTTTCTGGAATGACATCTTCTAGGAACCTCGCCAAGCGTACTAGCCTTCTCAGTACACTCTGGGTTATCTTTAGCAAGGTGTGCACTCTCAATCTCTAGAGCATGGGCAATAGCATCTTCTCGACGGGCATACTTGACAGCCTTCTTACCAGTAGTCGATGCAGTAGCCCTTGCCGTCTCAATACAAGCATCATACTCCCCACAACGAAACGCTTTAACTCTCTTGGACTTTTCAAGATTATACCAATCCCTGGAGAGACAAAGTAAAACAAATAGTTGTAATAAGGGCAAAGACAAGAATCATATACAACTGAATGGCAATCAATTTGACAATTCAGAAACGCACAACAAGTTAGAGATGTTAGAACCGAATTCACATATGAGAAATCATCTTCTGGTAACCTGAACACACTTATAAAACAAAAACTTCCATGAATTCCAAATGTGTAGCTACTTAATATGTTGTTAGAGAGATCAAAACCTTGTCCAATTTGGATCAATCATTCATAAAGCAAAATCATATTGACAACTTACGATAAAAAAGCAAACCATCAAAACAAGAATTCGAAGGAAAAAGAGCAATCAGTCAATTGATGGAAGCGAGTAGTACTCACACGCTAGCATCGTCACGACCTAGAAGCTTGATAGGAGTACCAGATTTAGGAGAAACAATAGTACCGTCAGGAACCTCGTGATGAGCCATAATCCGACCCGGCCACCAAGACCCGTTACGACGTCGGACCCAAACCAAACCTCCTACCGACGCATCAATCGCCTTACAATTTCGCTCATCACTACTCCCCATCACCCACCACCAACTCACCAAAAACCCCCTCGAAGCACAACAAAACCCAGAAAACTCCCAAAACTGAATCTACAAATTCCAACAGAGGTTCATCTCCATGAAAGTCAATCTCTTCCCAACATGAAAAAATCGAAGCCCACGAGTTGTGAGACTGGTTGCGAAATAGGTTTATTGAAGATCAACGACCACCGGAAAATAAGAGATCCAGTTAGTCTTGGGGAATATTCTATCAATCAGTAGCAGAGAGACCGCTGTTTTTGATTCAAGGGTTTTGGTGCTTCCTCCGGCTTGAAGAAGAAACGCAGATATACAGAAGACGCCGGAACACGGGAGCAGAAAGACACAGAAAACAGAGAAAAAGAGACTTCCTTTTTTTTTTTTTTTGGTCTTTTGAGTTGAGAGTTTTTGGTCCGAGTTTTTGATACCAAAAACAAAGGCCAAAGCCCAAAGGTGTCTCTACTCTCTAACGCCTCTAACGACGAACAAAACGGCTTCGTTTTAGATTTTCCTTGGGTTACTTTTTGTTTACCTTCTACAATACAACACTGTGATTTCGATTTATGCAACAAAGACAATTATATATCGGACATGTTGTACCGTGGCGGTGTCGGTAAAACGCGTACCGCCAGAAAATGGTAACACGTACAATCATCCTTACTGTTTTATCTCACCGATCAGACCCATTAAGCTTCACATAGAATACCAGAATGCCATGATGACATATCAAAGTTAAATTAAAGCAGAGAGCCAGAAGAATCTACATTGATCTTGATACCCATGTACATATTAGTTTATCAGAATGCTCCAACTAAACCAACTGTAACAAATTTAAACAACAATATAATCTATCAAAGCTTCTCCCTAAGTACAACTCACACAAAATTGGGCCTATGAATCATTTCTAATTTCACAAGGGAAAAAAACAGCTAATTTTTCAACAAAGGAGGGGATATCTATCAAACACCACCTCTTTTCACCTCTGCGTATGAGGTCCAGAGAGTTTTTGGTTCCAGTTTCCATCAATCTTTTCCATGAGATGATGCATAGTCTCTCATTCTTTGTTTCAGTTCCTGCAAGAGGTAATCTTAATTCATTAGTATCAATCCATTAAGAATGCAGAGGGAGATGAAACAACCCAAACTCCGGTTTATAGGGGGGAGTTTTGTAACTCACCTTCAATTCTTCGTGGAGAATAACGAATACTTTCTTCAAACGTTTGTGCCTCTGCGTATTGTGTGACATAGAACATATAAGAAAGCCATCATCAAGTATAATAATGTCCAATCAAAACGGGGGATAAATGCTGAAGTACACAAGTAACAATCAGATCCTCATGTCTTTCGAATTTTCCCAAATCGTACACAAGTAAACAATTTTATCATTCTTCATCCTCTTTGAATGAGAGGTCTGTCTCCAAATTTCATTCTATATCCAAATTTTTATATGACGCTAGAAATTCATCTGATGCCAGGAAAACTTCAGTAAATAAGTTGAGTTCTATCTTCAAGGATATTAGAAAAGTTTCATATTTTGGTAATACAAAATATAAGAGATAAAGTACTATTAAGTGGTTAGAGATAGAAGATTACCTCCCCATATTTGCAATAAGATTCCTTTATCTGCTCCACAATTTTGTTATATCTCTCCACATCCCTTCCTTTTGCAAACCCAAGGTCTTGCCCCAACTTTTGAAAGTCATTTCTGCGAATAATGGAAACATAAAGTTCAAAAAAAGCTGATAATCTAGGACAACACAAATGATCTGAGAGTTATAAACAATTCATCGAGCTACCTGTGGCTCTCTAATATCTTGTTAACGGAGCAGTAGCTATCATATTTATCAATATATTCCTGCATATAGGCTTTATACCTGAAATAGAAAAACATTGTTATCTACTCAAGACATATATACTAAATAACTAGATTTCCAAACATTGAAGTTTCATTTTACTCACTGCAAATGATCACTAATGGGTCCCTTAAGCTCAGGAGAAGCTTTCTCGTATTTCAAATAAGAAGAGTCTTCTTCACCGAAAGATGTCATTCGTTTCTCCCGGACAACACTGTCACCTGGTATTGCAGTTGCATCTTTGTGTCCATTGATAGAATTTGAGACAGACGCATGTCTTTTGCTCTCCCTTGATGAGCGGGATGTGGATGCTCGTTTCGAGCTATGCTTTATAACAGGCGTTTTTTTGTTTGTTTCTCCATAACCTTCCACACTGTTTCCTACTTTTGCTCTACTATCTTTTTGTCTGGATTTATAAGCTGCATCCTCTAAATTTTTATTCTGTGAGCCGATTTCAATATCTGTACCTGTAAGGTTCTGCCCATGTGACTGCAAAGCCCACTTTTGGGATCTTTCTGAATCTTCAACAACGTGTTCGGGCAAGTCTTTGATACCATTGACTGCATGTGGAGGAGCTAACTTTTTTGAGTCGGATTTTTTAGACCTTCGTTTATCCGAGTCAGTACCCAATTTCTCTGAAATGCTTGGTTTTAAATTTGACTGCCTAAACGAAGTTTTCTCTTCAAGTGGCTTCAATGCTGTATCTTCACCCAATGGCTCAGGGAGTTCACCCAACTCCAATTCCGAAACTTGTTTTTGGAGGACAGATCCATTTCCCTTAGGTAATTTCGCCAAATATGTTCTCTGGCTATCTAAGGGAGAAGAACCTATGCTCAAGCCTGAAACATTCTTGGGATCCTTGTCACTTCCATCCAGTTCACCGTGCTTTCTATCGGATGTCTCGGTAGGCAATGAAGGTCGAATGGCTGACTCACCATCTTTTTTATTCCTTGGAAACTTATTTTTCAAATGAACATCATCTCTTTGATTGTCCTTGAAGGCCTTTCCTGACCGACTAGAAAGCATTTCATGCGGAAAATGGTCCCCTTCGTCAGATTTACGAACATTTCCCAAAGCATCAGAATGTTTGTTTGATTTACCTGAACTATCAACAGGCTTCATTTGATCATGTCTATTCGACTTTTCAATAGATGACTTCTGAAGTCCTCTAAGTGGATCTATCGTTTGACTTGCAGAAGCGTTGCGAAGTTCTGCATCATACTTGAGCTCTGAACGCTGTGAATCTTTACTTACGGCAGATAACTGATTGCAGCTCTGGGATTTTCTATTTTTCTCTCGTGCTGATTTCTGACTGTAGTGCTCAAAATCAAGGGCATTTTGGTTCTGGTCTTTTGCCAGCCTCTCGGGGATGTCACGTTTGTCATTTTTAAAGTTATCCTTTGTTGTATTATCTGTGTCATCAAACAACTGTCCAATAAAATTTTGGCGCTCTCGTAGGTTGTCGTGACCAGAAGCAAAATGTTCCTGCCCTGAAATGCCAACTTCTTCATTTGCAGTGGGAGTGGTACCAGTTGTTGTTTCTGTTTTCCAGTTATTATCAGAGAATTTTTTTCTGTCACCTTCAGAACCATGACCCTCATCTGAACTGTTCCCCTCGACATCAACTGCATCAGACCCATGACCATCAATATCAACTGCATCAGAATCATGACCGTCAATGTCAACAGCATCAGAATCATGACCCTCGATTTCAACTGCACTAGAACCATGACCTGGGAGATCAATTTCACCCTGTTCAGCGGACTGTATTGTCAGTAGAGGCTCTCTGTCACCATCACTCATGATATCCACGTCCTCATCAGAACCGTCCTTACTGTTAGAAGAAGCCTCACTATCACTGCTGCTCCCACTGTCACTTCCAGCTGCACTTTTACTGTCACTCCCACTGTCACTGTTATCACTATCACTGTCACTATCACTAGAGCTACGAGCCTGGCCTTCTCTATTCTCAGATCGTTTTTCCTCATGAAAAAGACCAGGTGAATGATGCTCAATGTCAACATTTTCCTGCGTACTCAATTGCTCTGCTAGATGCACAGCTAAACAGTCTAGTGAACCTTCTCCGTTCTGCTCGCACAAAGAAATTTTCTCCATGTTATTTTCCCCTGGAACAGGTAACTGATCGCGGCTGCCCTCAGTGATTGGCAGCAATTGTTGGTGTTCAGGTGAACTGAAAAAAAAGATGTACTAAGACCAGATACAGCAATACGGGGAAGAAGACATAAGTAGAAGTATAGAAGATGCATATGTTGCAGTTTATAGCTTATCGAGTTCATTCCATACTAAATTGGATGATAAAATTGTTCAATTAGAGTTCATCCTGCACTAAAAGAAGCAATGTTGCTTCACATTATGCTTTGCGTATAATAGATTTTATCCTCATGCACCTACTTAATTTTGTAAATACATTTATTTATGCGAATATGCCGATTCTAAGGTACTCGTACCTTCCGTTATCAGGTGAATGTTTTTTATAGCTTTCCAACTCTGCTTCTGGTTTTAAGAAATACCTTGGAGCTTGGAAATTTGCGATCTGGTTATCAACAACAATTAGGGACACAATAATACATACTCCACCTTATGAAACCACACCGAATCACATATTACCAAGAAAAAAAACACCCCAAAGTTTTCAAGACTTACCTTTTTCAAAATTGGTTCAATCTTCTTTGCGGCATAAGGGATTCTATCTCCAACAGCTTTCTCTAAAGCCTAGAGAGAAATGGAGAGTGGCGTTAATCGTGGAGGAAACAAATATTGGATACAAAAATAGCCATATATCTGGTGTTTCATCAATGTATTACCTTCAAGCTCATTGGAGCCTCTTTTAGGATATCAACCAGCAGTGACTGCAAGTCACTTTCTTTATTAACATTGGTTGCTTCGCGCCCAGATGTGTCCCTTAATGCATTATTTTTCCAGGTTGATGGTCCTTTTTCAAGCATCTTCTCTCTGCCCTTTGTCTGGACTGGTGTGACATTCTCGTTAGCTGTATGAGTTTTAGCAATATTCCCAACCCCATATGGAGGGGTATTGTATTGATTACTAGGAGACGGTCCCGGTGAAGCTGATAGCCTATTTTTCACAGTAGGGGTAGAAGCCCCTGGTCTGAAAGAAGGCTTTGGACCTCCGACTGGAACTGTTACAGTACCACAAGTGAAAAACTGTAGTATTAAAAAAACACCAAGGGAATATAATAGCATCCAACAGTATTTGAAACCCTAATGTGTTACCACAGGCTCGTTGCAAAGTTTTGTTATATATACCTGGAGGTGGATCAACTTTCCGCTTCTTAGGTGGAGGTTCCTTCTTCTGTTTATTTGACATTCTCCATGGACTTCCTGAAAGCACAGAGTAGATGTTACAATATTATTGGTTATACCCAAAGATAATCACATGCTAGATAATAAAAGGTTTTGAACCCAAAAGAGAAGAAAACCTGACAACGCAGTAAAATTAAGAGCATGGGTTTCAGTTTCAAACAAGAATGGCTATCTACGCATGTTCTTAGCGTTGAAAAGAAATGGAGAAATGTTACCTTCAGAAAGAGCTAACTGCTTCGTTAATGATGGATTCCCAGGATCTAAAACAATTGCCCTGACATAAGCAAAAGTATAAGGGTATTTCAGGCACAACCACTTTGATGAGACAAAAGTATGCAATTCGTTACGCACAGTGAGAAATTTTCTGTGAATCTGAGTTTCACAAAACAGCTCAATATACCCAAGTTGAAAAATATATGAGTAAGCTAAAAGAGGAACCCATTTAAGCCATAACTAACTCCAAATGTAAGTAGAGACTGACATCTACAGCAGCATAGCTGCAATAGATGAACAATGCGTATACCGATACTTTGTTCACAGCCCCACCAAAGGTTATATGCTATTGTGCCAGACTCATAAAAAGACTACCCTACCTATAGAAGACTACAAAAACAGAAAAACTAAGAGAGCAGACACCTTTGCAGCTAAAGGACAGACTATGCAAATAAAAGTTAATAGACATTGAGATGCGACCAAAATGTTTGGTTAGAACTTGTACTTGCGTGATTTGGTTCTCTGTTCAGCTTCAACTGAGCGCATCTTCATATGGCTTGTGGTTGACTCATCTAGAGTTCGCAGGACGTTCAATTTTCGCCAAGCACATCCAGCCTCAATCAGCAAACCATTTCCATCTTCACCACTTTGATGTTCTTCATATATATCACATAAATCACCACGCTCCCTAGACCAAGTAAATCTGAACTCCTTTCCACCAACATTAATTATCTGTTTATATCGAGATCAAAAACAGATTCACCGTGTCAAAAATTCAAAGGACACCTAAAGGAGAGGCATAGTAACAACAAAACCATAGAAGCAGTAATTCAAAGAGTAAACCAACATACTATACAATACATGCTCAACCAATAGGGCAAGTCAATGTCTACCCAGAATAGACCAAGGAACTAATATGATACTAAGCAGCAATGGAATCTTTGTCAACAATTCAACTCAATCTACACAAATCCTCTATCTCTGAATTTCAAAATTCAGTAGAAACTCACATTCCCAGTGCTATTGTTAGGATACGCATCGAACTTGATCTTCGCAGCTCCACCTTGTGCCTCAACACGCTTGATCTCCTCCACCAAATCAGGAGCTAACTTTATAATCATTCCAAAAGCCGAAGAACTCTCCCTCGGAACAAGATTAAACGTTTCCTCAACCGTCCGTGACGACACCGTAGTCGCCGCAGCCGCCTTAACGCTAGTAGAATTACTCCGCTGGCGTGGAGCGGCGGAGCCACCACCACCACCACCAGAAGACATCCTCCCGACAGGAGAAGGATGTCGGTTTGAAGGAGGAGGGAATGAATTACGGTTACGGGACGGTCCACCGCTACCACCACCGGTTCCTCCTCTACCGCCACGTTTCGACGATCCTTTGTACATAATTCCGGTCAAAATTACGCCGCCGTCACTGCAATTTCGTAACAACCATGTATTGAGGCATATGTGTATTGAAGAGATTGAACTGATTGAGACGCGCGAGCAGAGAAGAGCGAAGAGAGACGATGATTAGAAGAGAGAGAGAGGGACCCAAAGAGCGCTTCTGTTCTTCTTCTTCTTCTTCCTCTTCTTTTTTTCTTTTTAATTTTTATTTATTTTTTATGTTAGTAAAACGCCGCCGTATTAGGTTTTAGGTCTGATGTCTTTCTGAAGCAAGAGGATGATAAAAAAACCCGACCCGACTAAACCCGGCCCGACCCACCCGGTTCGGATACTGGCGTATTTATTAGAGACGAAGAAGAAGAAGGCAAGTTTTTATTTATTTCGTTTGCCTTGTCTTCAAGAAATCAATCAATCTCGTATCTCTTCGTCATCAAACAATGTTAACAGGTGAAATTTCTTCCATGTATTGTTCTTGTTGCGTTTCTGATATGATTTATTATGAGCTTGAATGGGAATGTAACTTTGTTGTGAATTGTGTTTTGATTATCTACAGTGAGTGTGAAGTGGCAAAAGAAGGTGTTTGAGAGTATGGAGATTGATACTAGCCAGCCTCCTTATGTATTCAAGGCTCAGTTGTATGATTTGAGTGGAGTACCACCTGAGCGGCAAAAGATCATGGTCAAAGGTGGACTTTTGAAGGTAATTTGGATTCACTTGCCTGCTGCGTTGTCTTTTTATTACTAATGTGTTCCTTAATTTGTTTGTTGATGATGATGATTTACGACATTTTTCTTTTAATTGTCGCAGGATGATGCAGATTGGTCCAAGTTGGGACTGAAAAATGTAAATTCTTTCGGATTCGTTGGCAATGTTTATCTGTATTGATTACGGTTTTATTAAGTTTTCTTTATTTCTTCACTCTAGGGTCAAAAATTGATGATGATGGGAACTGCAGATGAAATAGTCAAGGCTCCAGAGAAGGGTCCTGTTTTTATGGAGGATCTTCCTGAAGAGGAGCAGGCTGCTAATCTGGTGACTTTTTCCTCTGAATTTAGGAGCGTTTGTATGTTTCTTGTGGTTTGGTAGTTGGTGATAAGTTGTATGGTGCTTGGACCCGAATCAGGTTCCAAGGGAAAAAGAAAAGCATAGTTTTCTTCTAGCAATTGTAAAAACTGGTGGCCAGTTTTAAGCTTTTAGAAATGTTGGTTTCATATGTACTAACGAATATTACAAATTGGTTTCAGGGTTACAGTGCTGGCCTAGTCAATCTTGGAAACACCTGCTACATGAACTCAACAATGCAGTGTTTAAAATCTGTCCCAGAGTTGAAATCTGAATTATCCAAGTGAGTCTAATTCTTAAATCTTTCGCAAAAAAAACCTCATATATCTCACTTATGCTATTCATTTTCGCTGTCTCGTGTAACCAAAATCTGATTCTTGATCTTTTCACACAGTTACCAATCTGCTCGAACCAAGGATGTGGATCAGACTTCCCACATGCTCACAGTTGCAACACGTGAGTTATTTAGAGAGCTTGATAAAAGTGTCAAGGCTGTAGCGCCTATGCCGTTCTGGATGGTTAGTTTTTGTTCATGTAACGCTAAATAGTAGTTGTGCTTCTTTTACTTATTCTTGTTAGTTCTCATCGTTACTTTCCGAATTTCTCATCATAAGATTTGGGAGTTTGAAGTTTTCTCTCACCCGACTTTTGGTGTTGATGCAGGTGTTACAAAAAAAATATCCTCAGTTTGCTCAGTTGCATAACGGGAATCACATGCAACAGGTTTGTTTCTTTTTGCCAACTTGGTTGCATTATGGCTTTAACCTTCCAGTTTTTGAATCCAGAAACCTTGTAAACGTGTAACAGGATGCTGAAGAATGTTGGACACAGATGTTGTACACTCTTTCCCAGTCCCTAAAACCGCCATCGCCTAGCGAAGATCCTGATGCTGTGAGGGCTCTTTTTGGTCTCAACCTTCGTAGCAGGTCACAACACAAATTTCATACTAATGCACTCATGTATGCTAAATTTTTTTAGATCTTTCCTTTTTATTTTGTGTCTTCAATCTATTTATGTTGCTGTAGGTTGCATTGCCAAGAAAGTAGCGAAGAAAGCTCGGAGACAGAATCTGTCTTTTCTCTGAAATGTCACATATCACATGAGGTGAACCACTTGCATGAAGGATTAAAACATGTGAGTAAATCAATCCACTGAAGATTTTGTTCCGGTGTCTTATGAGATATATCATGATTATGTGGAAGATCCTCTTAAGTGACATACTGTATATTTTTTCTCCTTGAGAAAAATAAGTCCCAAAGTTATGGTGCATAATCTTGGACTCAGATTCTTGGTTTTTATTTTATCATACAACCTTGTTATTGTATGTAAATGTTTGATATTTGTCTGTGTATAGTGTGCATGCGTAGTAACTCTTGGCCAACTGTGTTAGATGTTCATTGTGGCGCTATATCTCAAACAATTCATATAAAGAGTTACAATTCTTATGGCTTGCTGTAGGGACTGAAAGGAGAACTTGAAAAAACATCTCCTGCTCTGGGTCGTACAGCGGTTTACATAAAGGAGTCTCTTATAGATTCATTGCCAAGGTGATTAGTCTCTGCTTAATATTTGTGCCCTGTACTACACTTCTTGACTCCCTACAATCCTCTTGTTACAAGCTTTCCAACCAACATTTTTATTACTCAATGATACTTTTTAATACCTTCTTTCCTCTGGCAAGAAGTTCCTTAAACGTTTCTTGCTTATCTTGAAGGTACTTGACTGTTCAGTTTGTGAGATTCTTCTGGAAACGGGAGAGTAATCAGAAAGCAAAAATTCTCCGGGTATGGTAGCTTTCTGTTTTGTATTTTAAAGAGAACTTGGATGCATAATATTGTTATGATAGTCTCCATGTTGTTGATACTTGAAGAAAGTGGATTATCCGTTGGAGTTGGATATATATGACCTTTGTTCTGAGGATCTTCGAAAGAAACTGGAAGCTCCTCGCCAGGTATACATAGCCATCTATTTTTGTGTTCTAATTACTTGAGGTGGTTGACCAAATCAACTGACAGCTGTTTCTTTCAGAAACTGAGAGATATCGAAGGTCAAAAGCTTGGTCTGCAAGCCAGTGCAAAGAGCAGCTCAAATGGCGATGATGTGAAAATGACTGATGCTGAGGTACGTAATATATCTGCTAATTAACACTGCCCGCATTACAATTTTTCTAAGATATGTGTGCTATATATCTCTCCAGGGATCATCAAACGGAAGTGGTGAGTCATCCTCCGGTGACCAACAGGGAGGTATGTTTTCTAAGAACCAGTTCTCAACATCTTTCTTGTATATAGCTTGGAATGTGCTGTAATTGGTCTAATTGTTGGATTCAAAATTTGGTTATATGTAATGTGCAAAGTTTTCCCTATGTGAATATTTGAAATAAATAACAGATTTAGAAAATAGTAGAGAGATGGCTACTTGCAAATAAAGCCATAATCAATGGTAGTAAGCTCGAGAACCTGGATATTTGTCGCCATTAGCTAACAGATTCTCTGATGATTTTTGCCATGGAGTCTTTTTCCCAATCAATTTAAGTATCTGGTTGCTATATTCTTACTCTTGACCTTTGCAACAGGTGCTGCGTCTCACATGACCGGAATTTATGACCTGGTCTCAGTGTTGACCCACAAAGGCAGAAGCGCAGACTCTGGGCATTATGTTTCATGGGTCAAGCAAGAGAGTGGTCAGTTCCATTAAAAACCCAACCAAATGACTTATTGTAACTCTAAAACCCCACACATTTGTCTCATTTAAAACTTGGGAACTCATGTTTTACAGGTAAGTGGGTTCAATACGACGATGCTAACACGAGCCTTCAACGCGAAGAGGATATTACTAAACTCTCTGGAGGAGGTGATTGGCATATGGCATACATCGTAATGTACAAGGCCCGTCTCATCTCCATGTAATCTCTTCTCTTTTCATTATCCCAGTTCTTGAAACATTTAGATCGCTTAAGCTTTTTTTTATATAGACCATCTTCACGCTCCTCTTTATAGAAATTTCACATTATCTTGTTGCTGTTGTCATTAAAATGTTATAAATCAGAAAACTAAAATAAAAGTTCTGTTTTGTCAAGGATCTTTTTAGAGGTCCGAATCTGGATATCGTGAATCCACCGATAGATATGGTATAAGTTTATAAAATCAAAGAGATCATAATAATAATAAGAAGAAAAAATCTTAATTGATTGATATGTCACATGTACAACAGTGAGATGAATAGTAGTCGTTTCAGTTATAGTAATTTATCAATCACGGATCGAGGTCAACAAAGAACAGTTTAAAGATATCAACTTTTCATAAAAATGTGTTTTTATTTGTCGAGGCTTCACATATGGATTAATCAAAACTAAATTATCTTGGTAATTTTCTGATTAATTTGTTAATACCAATAAAAAAAAAAGGTTGGAGAATAGGCAAAACATGAAATGAGCAAAACAGCCCCCACAAGACATGTGGAAATTGGTTATATGTAATAAGTAAGAAGAGTGGACCATTACCAAAAAAAAGTCATCAAAGTTATGAAAACAGTGAGGTCATCACAAGAGGGAATTTCAGAGATGATTGCTTAACACAATTAGTTAAACACTGTCAATTCAACTTTAAACCAATATTGATTCTTCATTTCAATTTATTTCCTCTAATTAGTCTCTAAGAAGTGGACCATTATTAAAATTCGGTATCTTAGCGCTATCTAGTATCTCTAGCCACATGGACCACCATTTAATTTGCCAGCCACTTTTTTCATTTTGACTTCTTTTTTTTATAATTAATTTGTTTACATGAAAATAATTTCTATTCAAAACTTGATTTTCATAGTATGGGTAGAGCCATCTATATCCATTATTACATGTATGCACTAGACTAATATTTGAAATTTTCTATCCAAATACATCAAGTACAAAATAGAATTGGACTTTTCTCATTTTTTTTTTTTTTTTTTTTTTGAATAACCGCGGGTCTCCCAAAGGCTTCCTAGGCCCAAGGACTAATCCCACGAGGCTGGCAATTCCCTTATGTAAACCTGCCAGTGGCCGTGCCTCGAACCCTGGTGGCGGAAGTCACAGTTGTGACCCCTTTACCACTAGGGACTTTTCTCATTTACCATATACTTTTTCTATTTATTTATTAAAAGAATTAACAACTTTATATTTAATTAATTAAGTATATAATATTAATCGGATGTGAAGCTTTGATTAATCAGCGCCTAAAAATTTTAAACCTTAGAGTTTGATTGGACATGGTCCGCAAAACATGCCTTGGTGCATTTTGATCTCTTAGAGTTTGATTGGACATTGCATGCAAATCACGCCTTTGGTGCATTCCACTCCCAATTTAAGAAAAACCCAAAATTGTGAACCAAATTTTATCTCCAAATAAAAAAAGGCAAAGAAAATGAAAATAATTACAGAACAAAAAATGGATGCAACTTGTTGTTCTTTGTCTCCCCGGTGCAATACAAGTATCTCAAATTGGAAGATCTAAATTATGTTACCACATTGGATCTCTCGTATATCTATCTTTCCATTTCCAAAACAATATTATCGAACCACTACAACCCAAAAGATCAAACATATAACCAACAAGATGTCACATAATCAACCGATATGAGAAAAAATAACTAGTTTACATATATAATGTAGAATGTTTCGTTGTTGGTGTGATGATTTCTCGGATGAAGAATACTCGTGCGTAAACTTCAACTAATCGCTATTAGTTAGGGAATAACAATAACTTAGTTTCAAGTCTAAAAGACTAAAGAATACAAAATATATACACGTACGTATATAAGTTCTTAAGAATAAAATATACATCCAATAAATCTAGAACGATACAAATAGAAAAATGGACCCAAAACAAAGTATTAATTAAATAGTAGTATGATGAAACTAGTTTGATCTTATATGTAATATAATTTTGTTGTTTTCTTAACGACTTATACTTTTGTCTTCTTTGTCTAAATAATTGACAATTAAACCTTTTCATCACTATATCAAATTATGACATAAACGCCATCGAACATTTAAACCAAAAGAAAAACGGACGACTACTAGTAAGAAGTCAAAATCATGGTTCTAGAACCCTAGGGTTTAGAGTAATTCTATAATCAAAAATACGAATGTCACATGCCTTAAGAATGTTTGTTGATCTATGTCGGTTCATGCACAAATAATTTACCCTAATATACGATTATACGAACCTACTCTGCGCAATATTTAAAAAAGTTTCCATTTAAATATAGTTTTCAAACTTCCTATCGTCGGCGAAATACCTCACGGTCCAGCTTTAAATAATAATACGACCAAAAATTCCATTTTGCAACGTCATGAATTTTGTGGATGAGGAAATAAGTAATTACATAAATACAAAACAGTCTAAATACTTTACCAGTCTTTTTCTAGTATTCTACTAACATTCTAAAAATACTTAAAAAGGAAAAAACAGAGAATTTCATCAAATCAGAGTGCACAAAATAAACTGAGAAATCTCTTTCTATTACACAAGATTTAAAATTAAAAAAGACCCGATTTATAAATAGATGTAGGAGGAATAATAATATTACCAAAATGACATAAACATGATCGAAACTGTTCATTGTCTACGTGATGGCTTGAGTCACCCAAAATCAGTTTGCATAATTTACCAAAATACCCCTCTCTTCTTTGTTTCTTCAGTTTTTCTCCACTCTGTTCATAGCAAGATCGGTCCACGGGTTATTATTATTATTACCCGGTTCGGTTCTTCTCAAACCCAAACCCATACCCGGATGATCCCAGCCCGACCCATCAAGCATGATCCCTCCTCCAAGACCAAGCTGCATATTAGAAGCCAACAACGAGCTAAAGCTTCCACCAATCTCCATACCTTTCACGTCTTGGTCACCGATCGGAAACCCGTAAAGCATCCGGGTCGGATCTATATCCGGGTTTTGTGAATTACGTGGATCAGGATCCGGATCCGGGTTTTTCGTCTTCTTGTTTTGGCTACTGTTCGAAGAAGGAGAAGATGAAGAAGAAGAAGTGGATCGTTTGGTTGCGTTCTTGCGAGAACCACCACCGACGGGAACGTTACGGAGAGCGCCGCCTTTAGTCCAGTAACGACGACAGCTTTTGCAAAAGTGACGAGGCTGTGAGAGATTGTAGTTGTTGTAGTAACAGAATTTAGTGTTTGGTGAGTCACAACGAGGACACTTTAGCTGTTCTTGCTCTGCAAATTGTGGTTGTTGTTGTTGTTGTTGTTTCGCCATCATCGTCTGGTAATAAGCTGCTGGATCCTGCATTTTTCTTCGATCTTTCTTCAAAAATCTTCTCTTTTCTTCTTTCTATCAAATTCCGAAGAAAAGATCGAATCTTTGGGATAAAAGATTGAAATTTCCAAGTGAGTAATTCGAAAAACAGAGTTTTTAGTGTCAGAGAAAGAGATTCTGATAGAGGAAATTGTGGTTCTTATCGCATAAATAAGACAAAATTGAAGAGTTTTTTCTCTCTCTAGAATTGAGAGAAGGAAGAAGAAGAGAGTCTTGGGTTAAAGTCTAAACGACAAGACAAGCTTGTGAGCTGTGGTGTGACCAGTCTTATAGGGCAACCCAAATTTACAAAGATTAATGCTCTCCTACGTAATCTTCCTTCTTCTTTTTATTAATTATCTTTGCTAATTATTAATAATTTGGTATTTAATTTCTTAATTAGAAGACAAGAGAGTGGGGTTGAACTTTTTCATTCACTTGTTGACTTCTTTAACTAATACTATCATAGAGTTGTTTTGTTTGATGTCATTTTGTCGGAAGGATTATAAAGAGTTTTTTTTTTTACTTTTATATGTCTAATTAGAAGGATATATTGTGGAATTAACAAGATTGTTTAGCTTTTACAAATCTAGAAAAATCAAAGTTGTAAGCATTATATGAATGGTTAAAAAGATTGAATAAATCGAGGGTTTTAACTTTTTCCAACATATTTGGATACGCCTGTCTTTGTGCCAAGATGGTTTGTTTGGCTTCATTTGTTTAGACAAATATCGATTCTACGTATCTTTTTGTTTTCTTTTTATTTGTACTTTACTTTACCCCGGAAACAAACACAATTACCTTTTTCTTTTCAAGAGCAAAAGTCTTCTCTAGCTAGTTCTTCTTTTTTAGTGTGGTCTTTATCTGCAGAAATTTGATCATTTTTGTCTTATGATTTAGACTATATCTCATGGAGACAATTAAAAGTTTCTCTAGTAAGGTCAAAGTGTTCTTCTATTAGAATCGGATATGATAGTCGAAAAGCCAGAGGAGTTTTTCAAACCAAAATTCATAATCCAAATGACTCGATAGCAATAAAGTTCTGCAAGCGGAATTAAACCGAGGAAGGAGCGAGAGTACGTCTTACAACATTCTCACTATATATTTACTTTTAACTAACAAATAGTACTACATTTTATGCTAAAATGTTTTGCTTATAATTAAGAGATCAATTCACATTTTAATTCTTAATAAACATGCCGACAAAAAAGAATTATTAACTAAACCTAACCAAGAAGAAGACGTCAAACAAAAGACAACCGAAACGTCAGAAAAGAGTTGTTCTCTCCCAAGTCCCGCCCATTTCCCATGAGTTTTCTTATCCATGCACAAGCCCTACACGTAGAAATCATAAAATAAAGAAAATTTTAATTGATTATCTAATTTGCAGTAGTAAGATAAGCATCTAGTATAATTATTATAATTAGCTAGCTAAAAAAATGAAAATAATTCTAAAAAAGCAATGAGTCCATCATTTCAAAAACCCACTCTGGCTCAAGAATAAGTAGACAAATTGTAGGTAGCGTTCTTGTGAAGCAAGTATGTATGTTTTGCACTCGATGAGATAGATCATTACAGGAATATCGAATCGTAGCCGTTGAGATTTGAGAATGAATCAGAACCGTCCGTCTGTCGTGGAAACAGATTAAGGATATTGTCGTAGCGTTAAGCTGCCGTAAGAGCTGACCATTTGGCGTTCGTGTGTTCTGTTTCCCCCCAACACGTGGGACTAACACTCCACTTCCCCTTTCCCATTCCCATCATCGCGTCTTTTCTACGGCTACGATTTGTGGCTGCGCTTCGACGCATGGACGGCTTAGATGTATTATGGCCCCTTCAGAATATTTCCACAACCAAATCATAATATTGGAGTAAGTCGCTATTTTTTTTCCCAAAATTTGTTAAGTTACGTAGGAAAGAGTTTAACTTTAAATATAGCAATTTTATCGTCCTTGTTAATTATTATTTCGTAGCCTTTGATTGTTTCTGAGTGAATGCAACATGAAACAATATAGGAGAAACGAGTTTTTAACCCAAACTTAACAAACAAAAACATGGAGATATATAATATAGTACTAAATTTAATCTTAAAATAGTTCCAAGAATATTCCAAAATAACAACTCTCACAAGTCACAAGTCATGTGAGAGAGAATGCTACAATCACGATTTTGCTTATAATCGGATTCTTCCCTTTTCTGGTTCTTGTCCAACATTTATCAGAACACAAGTAAAAGCTTCTAACAGAGAATCATTACCAGTCGTTGCTATTTCCTCCCCCGAATAAAAAAAGAAGTCGTCAAGGATGATACAAAGAGAGCATAGTTTTTAGCTGTGATATGAAGATGCTGATGATGGATGTTATATAAGCATTCTCTGATCCTTCAGTTTCACAAGTGCCAAAGCTTCCTTCTCCATTTGAGTATTATGTTTGTTTTTTTCTTTAAGCATAGTACATGTACAAACTGTTGGCAGCGGCGCAAGCTATCGAGTTTTCTGTTGGATGCCATGCGAGATGCAGCAATTTGGTTGTATGGTCAAAAGAATTACCATTCCCATCGACTCCGGGACTCTCTGCTGCTCCTGTTTCCCATTTTCTCAAAGTATTCATTTACCTATATACTCACTTGCCTTTAAAGGGCTTATGCTTAAGACACAGGGAAGAAAAACACTGACCTCTTCTAACCACGCGTGTTATACTGCTTAGCGATCTTGATGGCCTCGAGGGAGTTGTGACTTGTCTCCTGTAAGTTAACAGACAAACTTTGGGTCCTCCTGTTGATATAGAATTTATGAAAAATGAAAGAAAAGATTGTCGTCATTAGCACCAGTTTGTTACCTCATTGGATTTTTGCTTGCTTCCAAGGTTGTACTTTCAGTACTTCCCGGGGAAACACCAAACACACGGAAGAGATTGCTAGAAACAAATTTAAAGTAAGTTTATTCCAAAAGAATTGAAGAGAATGTTCAACAGTGAAATTTCAGAAGATGATGTACGTTGCAATACCTGTAAGAACCTGTAGACACTCGCAATCCGTCCCCACTTAGACAACACTCGAACTTATCGAAGATGGAATCATTTTCATATAAATCACAGAGCTGTAAATGGTCATAAAATGGTAGCCATCAGTTATGCACGACTATGTTGATGCAAATCTCTCAAAGTACAGAAAACTGACCTTTGGTCTTAAGTGTTCATGAACCTGGAAAGTTGATACTGGACCTGAGTCCATGTTAATGTCCCATAACTGAAATGTAAAACATAACCATGAGTCCAGTTTTCCTTATACAGCCAGTTTGAAACCAACTACTATTAACTTCAAGGCCATGGCATAACCAATGCCAATATAACAGAAGTTCCCAAATGCAACTCTCTAAAATTAATGAGACATAATGCAAAATGAAAATTTTGAGAAACTATGGACCTTAAGCGTCATGTAGTCACGGCTAAGTATATATCTTCCTTCTTTCGCAAATTTGATGTCTGAAATTGAAGCAATTATCTCCGTAAAAAATGATCTAGAACTTGGTGTCTCTGTGTCCTCAAACCTGCACATAACAAGCAATGTTAGACCTATTTTGTTGCAACAAGTCATAAAACGCTACAAGAAAATTTGGTTTCTTTTGTGTTTGCCATGCAACTATGGTTTTTTCATCATCAGTGGATAAGAGACAGTGATCCCTAGCATGCATATCTTAGTCAAATGTTGTTTGCTATTATGAAACAGCAATCCCTTTATCCTAGAAATGTTACTTCAGACATGATTTCTAAAGTAGTTGAAACATTGCTATCCAGATGATACACCTTGTACCTATTGTGTTAGCATGAGGGATGTTAACAATCACATTCTTATGGAGTAACTCAGATATTATACAAATCTGGATCCTCCTTTCTATAAATTGCATTACTGAGAACCTTAGTTGGTCTACCAGTCTCAAGACTTACAATTTGGAATGGGAGTCACATAAAGCTGATTGTCGCAGATCAATCAGGCGAATTGAGCCTTTCGAACTGCTATAGGCTAACGTATTGCAATGGGTAGGATGAAATTCGGCTGATGTTATAACCTCTGCAACAACGAACAGGATAAATATTGCAGCTCGAATTAACTCCCCTCAGCACAAACTTTTTCTTAAAAGCAAATCAAGAAGCATGCAGGAAGCAAAATGACAAGAAGAATGCACTTAAATATAAACGAGCTTAACATTTATTTAACTGGACCACAATTTGTTCACCAGGCTATAGTATCCAAATGATATTTGAGAGCTGCATCTCAACAGATTATTTTTGTAGCACTTCAAAAGAGAAACACAGCTTACCAGTTAGATCTTCCATATTTGCAGGCTTGACATCAACAATGTTAAAACTTTGATTGCTGATTTCCAGGTTCCAAAGATTTATTCGCAAATCGTCAGCAGAAATAAATGTCTCGCCATCACTTGAAATTTGGTAGCAAACCGAAGAGAAGAACATGATCAATGCAAGTAAGAGGAAGGATAACAACTCTATGTGACCAAATGGACGGATAAAGTACCTATTGTTTGAGATTGAATTGATATGATAATCATGGGCATGAGTGTATACTCTTCGACATCTAGCCACAGGGCTAGTCTCATGACTAGTAGTTACCTGTAGGTTGTCAAATGAATCATTAGTCTACACTCGAGCAAAATATATAACTCCACAGATGAAAAGAATAGACATTTCCTACTTAAAAGTAGAGGAAAAGTAAAGAAGAACATGTAAGGAAAAGAACACAGGAGAGACTAGGACTGAGAAACTCAAGGTACTTAGAATCTTCAGAACTAGCAAAACCCTAAATTGATGGAGAGTATTATTATTTAAAAGCTCACTACATGCCAATACTTTATATTATTGCAGTTCACTTCATCCTGTAAGTGAGTTAAAGAATAGCACAAACCAGGTGCCTATTGTATTCTTATTGAAACTAAGATCACCACGAACGATAAAGAGGGAGCAAAAAGTCATGCGGAGTCAACTACCACAGGTAATCGAAGCAACGGGATGCCTCCTGGCGGCAATGAGAAGTCATTACTTAAAGAATTGTTTACTTTGTCAGGTAATCCTCCATTAGTGAGGCATGCGTTTGTACTGTTTGAGTTACTTGAGCTTGCCACACTTCCATTTCCTAGAGTTTTGGAAGAATCTGTATTTATATCACAGATTTTCTTGATCTTTTTATCTTGAACCTGTTCAAACACATGAGAAGAAGAAACGAATTGTGTTCAAATATTCAGCTCAAAAGGTAACTGATAAACACGATCTATAGATAAAAATCATAGGAAAAGACCTAGACACAATGACCACTCAAGTATATGTAACATATATCCATCTCATCACTACATTCAAGAAGTAGAAACATTTAACAGTGTTGTTTCCCAGAAGGTTTTAATTCCAACATTCTAAAGACTGTACATGAAAGGAACAGTTTTTCTGTCATACACCATAAAAGCCCAGTAACAAACACACTGTAGTGCAGACCACACTTCTGATCAAAACAATTATGTCATTCAGAAGCCAAAACATGTAATAAAGATATGTCTCACCTTCCAAAACTTGATGGTTTTATCATTTGTTGAAAGGAGAAAGAGAGCACCATTTGCTGTTTGAGACCATCTAATTTTATTGATTTTCTCCTCTATCTCCAAACTCTTGAGGTAATCAAACTGGTAGACAAAGATCGAGCATAAAAAGCCAAAACAAGGTATAACCGGTGTTGTAGGAAGGAAAAAAAAGAAAGTGAATGACGAACCTCAGGTTCATGACTTTGAAATTCAGTTTTATAACGAAATTCTGGGTGCCTCAGAGGATAGTCTGTTCCTTCGAGATCTCTCCTGGCTCCACTGGTCTGTAATTAGTAGCATGCAGCAAAGCATCACAAAACATAACCATCTCATCTCGCATTTAAAAAAAAGCTTGCAAGACAGTAATGAGTGACTAGTGAGGACATACATTTTTGGAATCTGTTCTCTCGAAAAGAACAACACGTCCACCACGGTCCCCAGTAGCAAGATGGTCACCAGATTTATCAAACTCAATCGCAGAAATTATATCAACTGCAGAGGAAACACCAGCTACAGTATAAGAATTCCAATCCAATTTAGATAACATCTTTTTCGTAATGTGACTACAGTGGAAACTCTATGGAAATCTAGTAATCAACTCAAACGCTTGTTGCATAAAGACATCAAACTTAACCAACTTAACATCAACCACTTCAGAATTTGTATCGTTATGACTTTAACTAAACAAGTAGACAGAGAAACCAACTAGAGAACATCCAAGAAATCCAGAAATTTCGATCAAAGATCAAGACTATACAATGACCCACAATCTGATTACGCCTTAAACATCCAACAAGACTAATAGATCTATCTACACGCCCAGATTAAAACCCTAATCTCAGATCCAATGGAGAGCTAAGGAGATGCATGTATATCACAAGTGAATCGATGATGCGTACCTTCTTGAACTTCTTCACCAGCGCTGCGTTCACCAAACACCTGAGAGAATCTCCAATCAAGAGGCTGAGGTAAGTCTCCCGACGCTCCGGCCTCATCACCACCGTTCATTCTCTCTCTGTCTCTGTCCCACTATCACTCTCCCTCAGATAATCTAATAGGTTAATATGAATGAATCAACATCCGCAAATCAGATCAGGAATCGCCAAAAACCAATTCGAGCTCTCTATAGAAGAAGCATTTGATCAATCAGTATCAGAAGATTCCCAGATTTCGACAAACAAAACAATCCACACTCTCTCTCTCTCAACATTTTTGTATAGATTAAGAAAAAAAACTTGGTCCCTTTTGTGAAAAGGGTAAAATCGGTATTTCCGTAGAAAAAAAACGACCGAGCCAAAAAAAATCACTCTTACCGTTGGCTTTTCTCTTTAACTTACACGAGTTTGAGAAGTCTAATGTTATTGTCACATGCGGTGAAGTAGAGCTCTCTCAAAGTTCATCATATTGGATTGTGAATATGACTCCAAGGGTAAGTCTATGTGCGCCTTGCTAGTGTTTCTATTGAAATCCAACCTTGAAATATGCAGAATTTAGTGCTACATAGTATAGCATAATATTGGCTTCTAGTTCTAGATACTATTTTGGTATAATTTCAATCAGGTAAATGTAAATCTGGATACTGCACCATAAGTAAGAACAATCTCTCAGAAGGTCCATTGAGTATTATGAAAAATTAGAACAGAACCAGAACAAATATTTGTTCCTTAAATGTGATCCAATCTCTTACAAAGAACAGTAGAACGAACCAAAACATCTTTTGTTCAATGTGATCTTGTTTCTTGAACATTCTCTCTACACATGAAGTGAGTTCAAAACTTTAAAAGTCTTTGGAAGTCTCATTTGGTGAGAGCTCGAGTTGCAGCCATGACATGGTCACACAAGCTCTCAGGAGGACCAGTGAATCCTTGCCTCTAGCTAACCTCGAGCAGGCGACAAAAATTCTTGCTAATCACCTTGTGTTTGGGATCATGAGAATTGGCTGCCATGTTAGGGACCTCTAGTAGCATGGAACAGCCAGACAATCAACCATTTCAGACCGTGTACATCCCTTCATGCCACAGGCAGCCACAACTATCTTGAAATTTTTATTGACCTAGTTCCATGTGATCTCTTTAGGATCTTTATAATATATACAACTCATGCAGAAACTTATCTTTCTTGTTCATCCTTTCCCTAAAGAGATCAGCTCTATTGTCAGCTTGGTTCTCTTCAAGATTCAGCCTCTACATTAAAATCTTCCTCAAACTCAACATCTTCTTAATCTTCCTCATCTTCTGCATCTTCATCCTCTGATTCCTTCGCTTGTTCATACTCTGGAGACTCCCTATTTTCTGTAATTTCTTCTTCATACAACTTCTTATTCTTCTTCAACTTCTGTCTCATTGAGTTCTAGGCCTTAGAGTTACTTGTGCTCATCTTTTTCTTTGTTTACCATAGTTTGATGATCTAAGAGTTTGAGCAAAAAACTTAGACATCTTTCTTGGTAAACGTTAGGCAGTGGAAGCTAGGAAGAACCTGCAAAATTAGCATTATAATTAAAGATAAAAATAACACTCACTGTGTAACCATTTTGATATTATAAAGACGTTGCAGGTCTAAAAAGTCAAAAATTTGCCAATTTAAAGACTTGTACACAGCACAGGAACTGACTCAGCCGATTAAGCCTATGAATAAACATTCCACTGATCTTCTACAATCATAGGTATGTTATGTATTATATGTCACAGGACACACCTACCTAACTAAACAAATCTGATAGTCTCAATAATCTGACGACTGACGATACCCTAACTAGAAACCCTTCCAGGTCAAGGCTTCACTATAGTAACGGAACAGCTAGATGCCTAGATTAATCAATCTCTTTACTCGATTGCTCTAAAGATGATTTACTTTGAGATCGACTATATGAATTCGAAAAAGGAATCAAAGAAAACTCACGAAACCACACGAAGAATGTGAAAGCTAGATTGCTTGGGAGGAATCTGAGAGAGGTAACTTGCGGCACAGAGCAAGAGGGTCGATCAAAGAAATTGGGTTTAGGGTTTCTAATAATATAATGGTTGCTAGGTTTGTGACGTACAGAAGAAGAAAGACACTCCCTCTGATCCAGAAGCTTTAAAGATTTATGACAGGAAAAAGCCACCTAAAACTCTCTTTCACCTAGAGTAATTAGTATCCTCTATTTCTTTCTTTCTTTTTCTAAAAAATAATTTTCTATTGTAGAGTAATCGATAATTTATTTGTTAAATTAGAAAAATTTTAAAAGATAGTACATCTCAAAACTATACTCGATAAAACCAATGATGGTGGTAGCAGGTAGTCACGACATCACTCATTAGTTCATTATATCATAGTAAAGAAATCTCATCTACAACTTTAAAATAAAACATTAACTAATTTCTGTTTTGTTTCATAATAATTCAAAGGTGTTTGTATATGATAAGTGTTTTTGTAATTGGGTACATAGATGACATTTATCTGGACAACTTGATTCAAAATTTTATGTACTTGCCACAAATTTAAAGTTATCCACAAGTAAAAAAACACCATGCATAAATTTAATTAGCTGATCTTAATTGAATGGTCTACAATATTTTTTAAATGATTTTTCCAGCATAACCTACCAAGTACATCGAACCCTATAACAACTCTTTTTCTTAGTTAATTTCAACTAGTACTCCACTAAATTAAGGAATCCTATAATTAACTTTAATCTAAAACATATTATATCTGAACGAAAAGAGGTATATATATGTGTATATTATATGTATTGTAGCTGCTTGATACAAATAAAACAACCTCAAAAAAACAAAAAACCTCATAGAACATGCATTTGGATAAATTTATCTGTTGGACATAAATGAGTTATATACTATTTCGTTTAATTGTAATAACATGTAACTTAATAGGAGATAGATACGTGTAAGTAAGATGACTGCATTGATGCTTCACTTAATTTACAATATTAGTTTTGTTATTTTAGTAAACAACATACGGTCTAGAGTTTAATTAGAACATAAAACTACGCATAAAGAATCTTCAGTACTATTCAGTACTGATCAACGATAATTAGAAATTACATAGGAAGCTTGTGGTACATATCTGGCAATATTCGAAAGTTAAATAATTTTGTTTTTTTTTTTTTCTGACAAATTTGTAACTTAGACATGTAAAAGCCACATACAATTGGCATTCATTCAGATGGGGATACCCTCCAATCCACACCTGAAAAACTCGCGGAAGATACAATTTGCTTCAATAAACGGCTACCAATTAAGTCTTTTGATTAGAGCATGAGGAAAGTAGTATCTCGTCTCTAAAATGCTCCATGAAACTTATCAATAATGTTGCTGCTACACGTTGGCTCGCTCGTTCTTGTCTTATCTCTTTATGTGCGAAGAACGATTAAGAACAACTCAACAACCCTTGTCTTTCATGGGACAGACAAGCATAAAATACGTGTTGCCCATACGAATATTGCATATATGGTTATTCAAATTCAAAAGCATAAAGAAACTCACCGATCAACATGTTATACACTGACGTATCTAGGATTTTTGAGTCTTGATTCGAAATCCAACCTTTTGGCTTGGTATTCTTACATCCATGGCAACGTAAATGCCACGATAACCATTATTAATCGTCTAGAAACCTAGCTAATATTATCGAACATGATCGAGTTTCATGTATTCTGAATTAATATAACTTAGTGTTAAGAAAGTCTCGGACTAGAAAAATGACCAAACCATGTTCTATCGTCGGTCCTGTTAGCTGGTTGTGTTTGATCGTTAAAACATGATGCAGAGCATATAGATGTATATTATTTTTTGGCTCAAAAGATGTATTATGTATATGTGATCATTGTGATGTATCTATGGATACTTAGCTGACATAAGAGAATATATATTGGTATATCCGATTATTGAAGAAAGTGTGAAGGTTCCTTTTGTTCATCCCTTTCCCTTGCATGCCGTACGACCTACCAAACAACATTGAAACCGAACCCTAGAACAATATAATTAGTTTATCATCATTTTTTTTTTACTATTTAATTTCAACTAGTATTTTATAGAGTTTCGGCACAAATATAAAATTTTATTTAGCCGGTTTGACTTGTTGATAAGCATATTTTCTTTAGTAGCATTTTCAAATTGCTAGATAGATAGACATTCTAACACTTTCGATCGTTACGAACCATAAAATTTCATTGACCATTTTTTTTTTTAAATCTTTAGCGTGAATAATCTCATAAGTCACCTATGTTGGAGATGACCATGTAGGTTCTTATAGGACATTAATCCCATAATAAGTTATCAAGAGGAGTCATATAAAAGAAATTTGTACGTAAATATTTGGATAGATTATCCCAAATAATTGTGTTACAGGCCCCATTGGTTTAGTTATATTTGTTTGATCGACATCATTTTTAATAAAACGTAATGACTCAATAGGAGACGGATACGTGTCATGTTACTGCCCAAGCGCTTCACTTAATTATATCACAATATAATAGTTACATGTTAGTAAATGGTCCTTTGTTAAACAAAAAAAAAAAAAAACTAGAATTAAAGAATCTGGTATTCAAACCATATAAAATTAGAAGTGGCATGGGAAGCTTGTGGTATATATCTGGCAATATTCGAAAATTTAAATATTATTTGATCTTTCCGAGCTAATTTTCATACCTTATTCTTATTGTCTGATGTCCTTCTTCTAGGACAAAATAGAACAACTAAAGATAATAGTGGAGATTAAGCTTTTCTTCAAAAAAAAAAAAAAAATGATAATGGTGGAGATATTGTATGATAGTTTAAGAGAATGCATAATGATGAAATACGTATTGTTTATGTAAAACAACCACATAATTTTATACGAATCATTTATAGTTATTCAAAATTACATGTAATTTAGTTTGAGATAATTATTTAGTGTCACCAAATTTAACTTAGATGCATATATAGCCCTCATGTAATTTAGTTATTAACCCATTTAAGCTAGCTAGCTAGTTTTAGGGAATGTTTTGAGTTATCTGGTTTTCGACCCTATAACATACAGTCCATGAAAAGATATAGTTGCATAGTATACTGGCAATAACAAAACTCGCATAGAGTTTGATAAACACTATCCAATTTCCATAAAGAGTGGAAAGATTCCCTTACCAACATGGCAATTAATTATTATCAGTAAGTACGACAAAAGCTCAATTCACATATTTAACCCCCAAAAAAAGTACGACAAAAGAAAAAGATTATTATTGCTAAGTACTACTACGTATGGAGTACTACTTTATGTTAGAATCTACATCGTGATTTGTGACCCTATGGTCTGGATAGGAACCAGAGTGGACCGTTAGTTAATGACGACTAAATTACAAATTCTAAACTAATCTGCACAAAAAAAATAAAATAATGTTAAACATATGCTGACTAATAGATTAATAAATATAAACGGTACTTAGCCATGTTAAACTTATAGTACAAAATGATTATTAGTTGTTCATTCATGAATCAGGATGAGATTAGAAGAAGTTGAAATGATGCAGACAATTTAGTTAAATTAAGAAAATGTATTTAATAGATGTATGAAATAATACATAAGCAAATAGATTCATCCCACTAATAGTTGGACTGCCTTACCCACCAGCATGTTCGATAGATTCTAGACAATAATTTGTTTAGCAAATTAAAGAGACCGTTCAATTTAAGTTACAATCTTCGTGTGATTAATGGTTATATTTATACATTCATGTTCTCTTATGGTTATCTCTTATCCGGGTTTTATGTCTTGAGATGTGAGCACAGCTGTCTTTGCTACTATCCATCCTTTATGCCATTGTAATGTTAATTAACTTCGTGCCAAATAAAATTAATTAACCTTACATGAAAAGTGATAACTCTTAAGAAAAATAAATAAGTTAATTTTTCTTATCTCTAATCACGACGTTTGACCCACAAACTGAACTCCTTTAACTACCCCACTTCCTAGCTCCATGTACGTTTGCACACAAAACGACACGCAGACACATGTCTATACATGTATATGTGGATTCTTGTATTTGATGATGTATATATAAGTCAATTTTAGTAATATTTTTGTGCACAAATTTGCTATCTAGTTCTCCAACCTAATATGCTTTCATTTGTACTTTCGAAAGTTCTAAACACTGATTCGTATAAGTAAGTTTCATCAAACTATAAATTTATTTACTCAACTATGTATATAATTTTCTTTTCTTTTGTGGACAAACCTATGTTTATAATTCTGAAGCTTAATTATCTCGGACTTAATTAGTTATGTATAAATGTGTTGTTGTGTTAAGTGAATATAAAACTTGAAAGAAAAAAAATCCAAATGATTTCCACACGGTTATATGTGAGAGTTGATAATCTAGTAAAGTCTCAAAAATTTATTTGTCAAATACATGATGAATTTGTCGTTAAGAGGAGGACAAGATCATGCTCCTCGAGCTAAAAATCAAAGACATACACTTTCTTCTTTTCATTCGGAGGTGAAAGAGCTTACCTAGGAAAAAAAATGGACGTGCAACATTATCATTTGATCCAATATAATTAATTTGTTTTCACCTAATGGAATTGATAACGGTGCAAGCTCCCAAATTTCTTTAGCTAACAATATTGAGATATGAGATTCAGATCAGATTGTTAACACTCTCTGGCTCTTCCCCACATAATTGACTTATATATGCTCGTCTGGTCTGCGAAGGCACTCTCAAGTGCTAACGTTTGAAGTGTCATCAATGAAATTCATCAAAATCGTTTATCACTTCATTGATTCTGAAAGCATTGCTCTTTTTGTTGATGTCCATGAACCGGTTTTTTTTTTGCTTCCATGGTTTTTTATTATTTTTTTGTCATGAGACTAAAATATACTATTTGAAAAAATTTAATGATTAAATATTTTTAATATGTTTGAATTTTCTATAAATTCAGTTAATGAAAAAATAGTGATCTTTTTAAGCAAAAAAGCAGTAAATAATAACGAAGTAGTTTTAAAATGTGTAAAAGATAAAAATAAAAAATTAGAATATACAAATAGAATGATGGTACTGTATCTAATACAGCTACTGTTTATCATTTTGTGATTGATAATAAACTGTAATTTTTAACTGAATCATGTCCATAAGTTTTCTCACTCAAAATAAAATGAACAAAATGACTACTTTTTCCTGACAATTTGTGCGATTAAGGAGAAAGTAAACGATCAAAATGAATAAGTAATAAACAAAACAGATAAAACCAGGAACCAATAACAATGGCTAGGTCAAACATAGGGGTCGCCAATCACTATCATCTCGATAAGAGATTCGATAAACAATTATCATCTATTAAGAGAAACTTCTACATACATAATCTATTAAGTACGTACATAATTATTTTATAAGATATAATTAACAAATATCCCGGAATCAAAAACTCAAAAAATAGAGAGATTCAATAACCGATTATAAATAGCCAAATTTCCTGATAGATGTTGGTTCAGTAGAGGCATACACACACATACAGTCGAGACTCGAGAAGGTAGCTAGAGAACAATAATTGGTACAAAGATGAAACGAAAGAGATGTGAAATGGAAGAGACAACGAAGAAGAAGAAGATGACAGAGATTGGATCTGCCATTGAAGAACTCTCTGTTCTTTCTATAGCCAAGACCACAATAGTTACCACCGAAAAAGAAGCCACTAACATCATCAATTTACCTTTGAAGCCTCTCCTATCTTTCTGCAACATTATCGTCCAAGTTCTTGGTAATGTATAAATGTTCATAAATCAAAACTAAACCTTATTGTATTGTTTTTTTTTTTCTTTCCTTTCCATAAGTATAAATATTTTTGCTTGATATATTAAGTTAACGTTAAAGAGTTTCTGTTTATCCGAATCTAGTGAGCTAGTGTTTGGTTTTCTTGAATTAGAGCATAACTAGTTCCTCCAATGGTTGTCCTGAAACTTTGTTGATTGATTAATTGCAGATAAGATTGGCCCGACAATGGCTGTTCTCCGACATGACATTGATCAAAATATTCAAGTAATTAATTTTTGTTTCTTTCAATTAATTTAATACTAATATATATATACATCATTTTCAATGCTCGTAAGCTCTTGCGTAGCCCATTTTAGATATATATACTCCCTATATTAATATACTAAGTACATTTTTATTAAGAAATACATTTTTTTAATCTTGTTACGGTAGAAAAAAAAAAGAATTATATATATACATAATTTTACTTTGTTACCGTAGAAAAATGCAATGTATAGTAAGCATAATTAAAAAAACAAATGTTTCGACTCGTCTCCCAAGATCTCTTTAGACACGTAGACCCATCCATACCTTTACGTTGCTTTCATGGTCATTTTCGTTATAGTCTCTCTTCGAATGAATGGACCTCGTTTTTTCTTCCACCCTCATTTTTCTTATTAATTATCAACAATTATTGACCTATTCTTTTTATATATTGAGTTTCTGTTGTTGTTGTTTTGTTTAAACTGTTCTGTTTTGTAGAGGTTAGAGAAGATGTGGGAATCTGATCCTCTTGTTTACTCAAATTTGGTTGAGATACTGAGAAAAGAAGCCAAGGAGGGATCCTCTAGGAAACCTAAAAGCTGTAGCAGAGCTGCTTTTTGGCTAACGAGGTACATATCAATTTTAGTACACATATAAATTAATATCACCCAAAATGAATTTTAGCAATAATTGAATCTCAAAATATATAGAGCGATGGATTTTACATTAGCACTATTGCAACGGCTGGTCAAAGACATGTCACAAAACATGGAACAAGCCATAGAAGAATGTTATAATTTGACTTTAAAACCATGGCATGGATGGATCTCTTCTGCCGCTTTTAAGGTAATTATCAATTATTAATTATTCGAGCATAAAAACAAATTAATCATAAATAATTGTGTGGAATGTGTTTGTGTGTTTTCTGAAGGTGGCTCTTAAACTGGTTCCAAACAATAACACATTCATCAATGTGCTTGCGGCGAAAGACGAAACTCACCAAATTGTCCAAGATGATATACGAAGTCTAATTTCATTGCTCATTCCACTTCTAAGCCAACTCCATTCTATTTTGGTAGTTAAGAATTTTTCTTTCCAGTATAGAGAAATATAGTTTTGTGTATTTCTTTGTGATTAATTTTTTTTTTTTTTGATTGGAATAGGAATTATACGAAGTGAGCAAACTAAAGTCACCGTGAGAAAGAGAACTAAAGAGAAGGACTGAAGGATATAGTTTTGGTTGTAACAAAGTCTAACTTGTAGCATCATGCACTTCTTTGATGAGTTTTATTAATCTCACTTTTTAACGAGTTATTGATCTAACTGTTTTACCATGCATACACATTATCAATTTCATGTTAGGTACAATTTGAGTCGTTTTCACTTTTGTGCTATACATTACGTAAAATCCACCAAATGTCTCTCGTGAGTTAAAGATAATTACTCCATATTTAAGAATAAAACCTAGCTAGTTGAGTCAATCTAATAAGTAAGAAATTAGAATCCAATTCTCATTAACCATTACTGATGACTTGCACACGAGATAATAACATTTAATTTAACTTAACTGATAAGATGAAATCATTCTCGACCTCACTGGCTAATCCAGGAATAAAGTACTATTAACTAACATCTTAATTCGATATCTAAAGTTAAAACTTAAAAGTGAATCTATATGATAAGTAAAATATTAGATTGGAATAGTCGATTCATAATCGTTTTGTAAATATCTGAATATTGGGAGCCCATTACATTACTGGCCCATTTTGTAAACGTAAAGCCCAACTAATTTAACGGGCAGACCCGCCACCGTAAAATCCTGCGGGCAGTGCAGCACAATCATCTACTATGGAATAAGAATTGGCAGTCTCCTGAAAATCCGCCTTGGGCCCTGCGTGAAAGACACACGGCTCGAGAAAGTGCAATGTAGACCACGACACCAAATCCAGAAAACAATGCTTCTTCTTCTTACTTTAACTTCACTAATCACTAGCCTACCTCTAAACCAAAACTGCCAGATTTGTTATTTTTCTTCAACGAAGGACAAAGAAATCTTTTTTTTTTGTCTCAAAAGTTTTATTATATTTTACAGCAAATATTACATGAGCCGGCAGGACTGAAACCTCCGGAATTAAAGCCGAGAAAACGAGAATATCCCGGAAAGCATACGCAGATACCAGAAACTAAACCAACGTACGAAAGCAAAGGCCAAACATTTAAGCCCAAGTAACCACACTTCATCCACAGAATTTTCTAATTTCTGGAAAGCCTAAACCAAACTGCAAGTCGAAAAAACAATTAACGACAAGCAAATCCTCCTATAGCGAATAAAAACTACCTCACAACCTATGCGCTCTTCGGCTTCTAATCCAGCAAGATGGATTCAAGACAAAAATGTCTAGATCCTCACACTTCTCCCGGAAACGACGATGTCGAAAGAACCACGACTTTTAAACGCCTCGGTAGAAACCTTTAAATTGAGCAGATCTCGATCAGATCTTTTGAGTAGAGACAAGGAGCGATCATAAATCCAACCGGGTCACACCGAACTCACACAAGCACGGCAAGAGATCGAACCGGAGAGAAACTAAGGCAAAATCCAGCAACAAAGAAAAAACACAGAGAAGCACGACTACAACGAAGCCTAAACGAAGAAGACCCACTAAAGATATATTAAAAACTTGTGGCCTCACTATTATTGGGCTTCAAAAAGAGAAACATCCCAAAATTAAATTAAGCCCAGATGAAGAGTACTTTAGCATCCTTATCTAATAAATCACAAGTAAATTTTCAAGTAACTGCAACATTCTCCATATGACACCTGGCTTAAGTCCCATCCTTATCTAATAAATCACAAGTAAATTTTCAAGTAACTGCAACATTCTCCATATGACATCTGGCTTAAGTCCCAATTTTTTATCTTTCAGCTTTTAAAATTCTAAAATAATATTGAGATCATGTGCAAAAAGGAAAAAAAAAAAAGATCTGATTCTTTTTCGTAATCCACGATCTCTACCTAATTCAACTTCCCACTTTTATCAACTCACCTTCTTCAAATCTCACCACTACAACTCTGTTTCCGCAAGGTTTCGGCAGCCTTAAGGTTAGTTAGTCCTCCAAATCATTTCTCTAGGTATAGTTTTACTTTGTTAGGTTTCTTTTTTATCTTACAAATCATTAAGTTCTGATAACAGAAACAGCTTATGACTCTTCTTCCGTTTGTGGCTCCCAACGTCAAGTGTTTGACTCTTTTCAGAAACTAGAGTATGCAAGGTTAGTCTGTTTCAATTGATTCACGTGCATTTCATTGTTTGTTCGGTCCAGCCCATCGTCAGCATCAACTATGATTCTGTTCATATGCTTCATGTAACCGTACGTCACTTTTCTTAATCGTAAAAGTTTGATATATAGAGGTTAATTGGCTTTTAAACGTTCTTCAAATTTTATTAAAACCTTTCTCCTTTAGATTTAAACAGAGTAAATGCAGAGTTTCTTAAAATCTTCTTATTCTATGTTACTTAGGTTCAATCCAAACTGTAGGAAGCTTGCTAATCTCACGCAAGACTGGAATCAAAAGGATTTGTAAGTTTTAATCTTTGCATAGGCTAGAAAGAAAGAAAAAATATGAATGAGTCTTTCAGATTAACAACATTTTATTTATTGAAGTTGTTATTATACCAAATACATTAATAGTCTAAAGATTGGACTAAGACCATTCAATAATAAAAGAAAGAACATGTGATTTACAATCTCATCCTTGATCTTAACGTTGTACTTCTTGATTTTTGTGTGAATGTAGGAACGCATATGGTGTAAAGGAACAAAGAAGTTCACAGTTATATTGTACCATATGGAGATTAAGTAGTGCATGAGAGAAGACGATCCAACATCAAAAACTAAATGAGCTTTGAGGATGAACTAGAGAGAACATGATCCCACAAATTACAAGTTCTCTTGATTATTAACATCCATGATCCCACAAATTACAAGTTCTCTTGATTATTAACATCATCTGTTAGTTGTTTGGTTCTTTTATGGGCACAACTGTTAATTAATGTATTTATCCATGTTAACGATAGTTTTTTATTTCCAAAATTCTATATGCATATGTATATTCGATAACTATGAATTTATTGAGAAACCATTTATATTTTGTAATTTCGTTAATGTGCTACGTAATTTATTCTCCTACTTATCACAACAAGTATTATCACATTTCTCCACTTTTGACTACTGTACTAATTTTAATTAACCACTTTCTAAATCTTTGCTCTCAACTTCTGACTACAATTTAAATTTAAATTTAACCAGTAATTACACAAACGTTTTTAAAAGAAGAAAAAATAATATATGTAATTATTTTTGACCCGTACGTAGTACGGGCTTAACACTAGTTATGGATAAGTGACATGACGCCATCATCAGAAAACGACGAAATCCCACATTATTAGACTAAATACTAATCACTCCAGAGACAAGCCACGTGTCAAACCTTTCTTCCATATGAAGGAAAGAGTCAACCAATCCAAAGAAATCAGTAAACACATGTCAAATATTATTAAACAAAACCAGAAAAAAATAAAAAATAGAAAGCATTTATCTTTCCTTTCTTTCTCACCATTTTAAAATGGCAAAAGATCCGTCATTATCGTTGAATTCACACTGAAACTTTTCTAACAAACAGATCCAAGAATTCGATTACGTAATCAATTACGTAATCGAAATGTTTAGAGCGGGACAAAATTGAATCGACGAGAAAAGCCGTCTAATTTCGTTTCAATCATTCCAAGAAAAAGTAGATGTGGACTACTGGACTTCATTCAATACGTCGTTTAGCTTAGGGAACAAACATCAACAACCTCACGATTCATAAAGGCAGAAGCTTTTTCCTTCTTTCTTCTTTGTTCATTGATTGAGCTCTGTTGCTATCTCCTACAATGGCGGTTTCTATTGGTATGATTTTACCCATTTTCCTCACTCATTGGTTCTTTGCCTTAATGCTTTAAATTTTCACGTTTTGTGGTGTTCTTGGTTTGTGTGTGTGAGGTTCTTGTGCTGTTTTTTTGGTTTGTGTGTGAGGTTCGTGTAGGAAAAAGCAAAACTTTTTAGAATCTAACGAGTTTAAAATAATCTGTATATTTGTACAATCATTGATACTATCTATGGTGGGATCTGTCTTGGCTTCTTGTGTTCCTCAAAAGATTAAAAAAGTCTGATTATTTAACTATATATTATGCATTAAAACTGTTAGTGATTTGCTAATTGTTATCTCTTGTGTATGTATGATGTAGGGACCTTTCCATGGTGTGACGTTGAATTGAATTTGGCCTCTTCTTGCTTCCAAAGAACCGCTATAGATTTCGTGAATCTTTTGTTCCTCTGCATCTTCTACTTGTTCTTGATAGCTAGTTGTGTTTCCAAGCGTTTTATTGTCAGGCGCCGTAAGAAAGGATGGATCTTTGTGGGTGCAGCTATATGTTGTGCTATTACTAGCTTCATTTTTCTTGGTGTTGGGTTAAACAGTCTGTTTCATGGTGTTAATGACGTCAATGAGATCTCTTGGGTTGCTTGCTTTGTTGAAGGGATCATTTGGGTCTCACTTGCGGTTTCGATGCTTGTTAATGGATCCAAGTGGGTCAAGATTCTTGTATCTGTTTGGTGGGTTTCTTTTGCTTTGTTGGATTTAGCTGCAAAGAGTGGGATACTTTTGCAGGGAAATGGTATCCGAATCTTGGACATTATACCCTTGCCTATGAGTCTTTTGCTTCTCCTTTGCTCCTGGATGAATTTGAGATCTTCTTCTGCAGCAGCTCAAGATTGCAGTGAAGCAGGACTTTCTGATCCTCTATTGACTAAAAATCCTAGAAAAGAATCGGCGAGGTTAGCAACAGCTGGATTTTTCAGCATTCTATCGTTCTCTTGGATGAATCCGTTACTCTCGTTGGGATTCAAGAAACCATTATCCCCAGAAGACATCCCAAATGTAGTTCCAGAGGATGAAGCTGAATTAGCTTACAGTAAATTTTCTCAAGCCTGGGATACTCTTCTCGCAGAAGGAAGCTCATCGAAGGAAAGAAACTTGGTGTTTAGAGCCGTTGCAAAAGTTTATTTCAAGGAGAACATATTCATAGCAGTATGTGCATTCTTCAGAACACTTGCTGTTGTTTCTCTTCCATTAATGCTTTATGTCTTTGTGGATTATGCAAACAGTGACCACAGGGATCTCCGCAATGGGTTCTTCAATTTAGCTTGTCTAGTTATGCTGAAACTAGTTGAATCCTTGACAATGAGACATTGGTATTTTGCGTCAAGAAGATCAGGAATGAGGATAAGATCAGCACTAATGGTAGCTGCATACAAAAAGCAGCTAAAGCTATCAAGTTTGGGGAGGAAAAGGCATTCATCTGGAGAGATTGTGAATTATATCGCGGTGGATGCATATCGTATGGGAGAATTCTTATGGTGGTTCCACTCGGGATGGAGCCTTACGCTGCAGCTTTTGCTTTCTACAGCTGTGCTTTTTGGAGTGGTTGGAACAGGAGCTTTCCCAGGTTTAATTCTTCTTTTCCTATGTGGTCTGCTTAATCTACCGTTTGCAAAGATGCTACAGAACTGCCAGACCCAGTTCATGATCGCGCAGGATAAGCGATTGAGGTCCACCTCAGAGATTTTGAACAGTATGAAAGTCATTAAGCTGCAGTCATGGGAAGATGAGTTCAAGAAAAAGATAGAATCTTGCCGTGATGATGAATTCAAATGGTTGGCTAAGGCTCAGCTGACAAAGGCCTTTGGTACTTTCTTGTATTGGATGTCTCCAACAATAGTTTCTTCTGTTATTTTCTTGGGATGTGCTCTATTGAAGAGTGCGCCGCTGAACGCAAGCACCATCTTCACGGTTTTAGCTACACTAAGAGTTATGTCAGAGCCTGTCAGAATTATACCTGAGGCAATTTCTGCTATCATCCAAGTCAATGTCTCGTTCGATAGATTAAACAAATTTTTGCTTGACGACGAGCTAAAGATGGATGAAATTGAAAGAAGTGGTCTGGAGGCATATGGAACAGCAGTTGACATACAAGCAGGTAACTTCAGTTGGGATCCAGAAACTAAAATTCCAACTCTCCGGAATATACATCTGGAAATCAAGCATGGGCAAAAGGTTGCGGTTTGTGGACCAGTTGGGGCTGGAAAATCATCTCTGCTGCATGCAGTACTCGGAGAAATACCTAAAGTTTCTGGAACTGTAAGCAAAGCACCACCAAGACTGACTTTCACTTTTTTTCATTAGATATAAATATAAGTATGTTTGTTCCAAATGTTTCTTTTACGTTGTCCAATTGAAACAGGTAAAGGTCTCTGGGTCCATCGCTTATGTTTCTCAGACCTCTTGGATCCAAAGTGGTACCATCCGGGACAATATCCTTTATGGAAAGCCCATGGAAGCTAGAAGATACAATGATGCTATTAAAGCATGTGCGTTGGATAAGGACATGAACGGTTTTGGACATGGTGACCTAACAGAAATAGGACAAAGAGGGATTAACTTGAGCGGAGGACAAAAGCAAAGGATTCAGCTGGCTCGTGCTGTTTATGCCGACGCTGATGTTTACCTCCTTGATGATCCTTTTAGTGCTGTGGATGCACATACAGCTGGAGTTCTTTTTCATGTAAGTGAGAACATTGCTTTCGAAGAAGCTTTTCTTAATGACTGCTTCTTAATATGTTGAACTGTGACTGCAGAAATGTGTTGAGGACTCGCTGAAGGAAAAAACTGTCATTCTGGTCACTCACCAAGTCGAGTTTCTCTCAGAAGTTGATCAAATTCTGGTAAAACTTGAGTAGCAGCATATGAAAAAACATTATGTCTATGTATTAACTGTTTTGTTGTTATTGATTGATGATCTTGATCAGGTTATGGAGGAAGGAAGAATCACTCAGTTAGGAAAGTATGACGAGCTCTTAATGATGGGGACTGCATTCCAACAACTGGTGAATGCTCATAATGATGCAGTAACTGTATTACCTTTAGCCAGTAACGAAAGCCTCGGAGATCTTAGGAAAGAGGGTAGAGACAGAGAGATAAGAAACATGGCGGTTGTCGATAAAATCGAAGAAGAAATCAAAACAACGGATATTCCAGGGGTACAACTTACACAAGATGAAGAAAAAGAGAGCGGTTATGTTGGGTTGAAACCTTTCTTGGACTATTTTCGTGTCTCTCGAGGATGGTGTCTTCTATGGTCAAGCGTATTGGGTCAGGTTGGCTTTGTAGTTTTTCAGGCTGCATCAACATACTGGCTGGCTTTTGCCATTGGGATCCCTAAACTCACTAATACAATGCTTATTGGAGTCTATAGCATTATCTCAACTCTTAGTGCTGGTTTTGTATATGCGAGAGCTATTACGACTGCTCATCTTGGACTAAAAGCTTCCAAAGCCTTCTTCTCTGGTTTCACAAATGCAGTCTTCAAAGCCCCTATGCTTTTCTTTGATTCTACACCAGTTGGGCGCATTCTCACCCGAGTAAGATAGCTTTGCATACATGTATATGAATACACTACGGCTCAATGTATGATATAGTTGAATGTAACATTTGCAGGCTTCGTCAGATTTGAACGTCTTGGACTTTGACATTCCATTTGCATTCATATTTGTGGTAGCACCGACTGTTGAGCTCACTGCAGCTCTTATCATCATGACATATGTCACATGGCAAGTAATTATCATAGCTCTTCTTGCTTTGGCAGCCACGAAAGTTGTTCAGGTACATTTTTCAATATTACTTTGTTTTTAGTTGGTTTATGCAGCAAATAAGTCATTATTAACATCCGCTTCTTCTTTGAAAAAAAGGATTACTATTTAGCCTCTGCAAGGGAGCTGATTAGGATCAATGGAACAACCAAAGCTCCAGTGATGAATTATGCTGCAGAAACCTCACTTGGAGTGGTGACAATACGAGCTTTTGGAACGGTAGAGAGATTCTTCAAAAACTACTTGCACCTAGTTGATGCAGATGCCGTGCTATTCTTTCTGTCTAATGCAGCCATGGAGTGGGTGATTCTGAGGATAGAGACTCTGCAAAATGTGACTTTGTTCACTTGTGCACTTCTGCTTATCCTTATTCCTAAGGGCTACATAGCTCCTGGTACATGAATTATTTAACTCATCACATCTTCCGACAGTCTGCAATTATAACTTACCTATTTCGTCAGTATAGCATGAGCTTTTCCTTGAAGAATTTGTTATATTTTTTCAAGCCTTCAAGGTATTCATCAAACTGAAAGGTTTTGCATGAACTTGTGCCTTTGTGTTGCAGGCCTCGTTGGACTTTCGCTCTCCTATGCATTAACACTGACACAAACTCAGGTGTTTCTGACCCGATGGTATTGCACCTTATCGAATTCCATCATTTCCGTAGAGAGGATTAAACAATATATGAACATACCAGAAGAACCTCCTGCAATTGTGGATGATAGAAGACCACCTTCCTCGTGGCCTTCCAATGGTACAATTCACTTACAAGAGCTTAAGGTAAGAAGAAAACATGACTTGTTATAACAAGATGATAGTAATAATTATTCAAAGGCATTGATTGCTTAATTTCTTTCTCTCAGATAAGATATCGCCCCAATGCTCCGTTGGTTCTCAAAGGAATCTCTTGCACATTCAGGGAAGGGACAAGAGTAGGAGTTGTCGGGAGGACGGGAAGTGGGAAAAGCACTTTAATCAGTGCTTTGTTTCGTTTGGTAGAACCAGCAAGTGGTTGCATATTGATTGATGGCATTGACATAAGTAAGATTGGCCTAAAAGACTTGAGAATGAAACTCAGCATCATTCCTCAAGAACCAACTCTTTTCCGTGGCTGTATAAGGACAAACCTTGATCCTTTAGGTGTTTACTCTGACGATGAAATATGGAAGGTGAAATAACAAACAAGAATCAGATTTCTAAATCAAAAGACTTGAAACATTTCTGATGGAAACCATTCCCTTTTGCAGGCTCTAGAGAAGTGTCAGCTCAAGACAACGATTAGCAATCTGCCAAATAAACTTGATGCTTCAGGTAATTGAAAAAACAGTAATATTTTCATTTAACAAAATGGGCTTGACACTTATGTCTAACGTTTTGTCATTGGTGAGAAGTGAGTGATGAAGGAGAAAACTGGAGCGTGGGTCAGAGACAACTGTTCTGTCTTGGAAGAGTATTGTTAAAGAGAAACAAAATATTAGTGTTAGATGAAGCTACAGCTTCCATTGATTCAGCAACTGATGCAATCATTCAGAGAATTATAAGAGAAGAGTTTGCAGATTGCACAGTGATAACAGTTGCACATAGAGTACCAACTGTCATAGACAGTGACATGGTCATGGTTCTCTCCTTTGGTAACTAAACATAATCTCTCTTTCTTTCATCTCTTAAACCTACTCATCATGACCAATGAATTAACTTTTTGGTTTTGGTTTTTGAACAGGTGATCTTGTGGAGTACAACGAGCCTTCAAAGCTAATGGAGACTGATTCTTACTTCTCTAAGCTTGTTGCTGAGTATTGGGCTAGTTGCAGAGGAAATTCTTCTCAGAATCTTCAATTATAAGCCTCATTATTAAATGCTTTAGTATATAGCTGCTACTTGAAACTGAATATGTCAGAGATTGTGTATCACTTTCTTCATCTTCCATTGTAGTCTTGAGAAAAATAAATAAAAAAATTCAAGCATGGTTAATGATAGTAGAGTAGCTCACCAACTCCTCCATGAACTTTGAGATTACGATTACGACCAATACTCAATCATTATTTAAAAGACAAAAATACCCCTACTATTTCACCAACCCCGAAATTCTTTATATGGAAACACTGATCATCAAACTCTGTTTCAGGTTCAAACAAAAAAGCTAACTTTCCCAAAAAAAAAAATCATGACGACACAAGATGTGATAATCACTGATCAGAAACAGAGTAGTAGTAATGACGTCATTTTCCGATCGAAATTGCCGGATATTTACATCCCTAACCACCTACCACTCCACGACTACATCTTCGAAAACATCTCTGAGTTCGCCGCTAAACCATGTTTGATCAATGGTCCCACCGGCGAGGTATACACCTACGCCGACGTCCACGCCATATCGCGGGAACTCGCCGCCGGTCTTCAAATAGTTGGCGTGAACCAACACGACGTCGTAATGCTCCTCCTCCCGAACTCTCCAGAAGTAGTCCTCACTTTCCTCGCAGCTTCACTCATCGGCGCAATCACCACTTCAGCGAACCCGTTCTTCACTCCGGCGGAGATCTCTAAACAAGCTAAAGCCTCCGCCGCGAAACTCATCGTCACTCAATCTCGTTACTTCGATAAAATCAAGAACCTCCAAAACGACGGCGTTTTAATCGTATGCACCGAGTCCGACATCATCCCCGAAAACTGCATCCGCATCTCCGAGTTGATTATGGCCGGAGACCTCCAAGTCAACTCCGAGATTTCGCCAGACGACGTCGTGGCGCTTCCTTTTTCCTCTGGCACGACGGGTCTCCCCAAAGGAGTGATGCTAACACACAAAGGTCTCGTCACGAGCGTGGCGCAGCAAGTCGACGGCGAGAACCCGAATCTTTACTTCAACAGAGACGACGTGATCCTCTGTGTCTTGCCTATGTTCCATATCTACGCTCTCAACTCCATCATGCTCTGTAGTCTCAGAGTCGGTGCCACGATCTTGATAATGCCTAAGTTCGAGATCACTCTCTTGTTAGAGCAGATACAAAGGTGTAAAGTCACGGTGGCTATGGTCGTGCCACCGATCGTTTTAGCTATTGCAAAGTCGCCGGAGACGGAGAAGTATGATCTGAGTTCGGTTAGGATGGTTAAGTCTGGAGCAGCTCCTCTTGGTAAGGAGCTTGAAGATGCTATTAGTGCTAAGTTTCCTAACGCCAAGCTTGGTCAGGTTTGTTTTTCTCCAATTGTGTTCTTTATAATTGAAATTTTTCTTGGAATTTCATTTATCGTTTGCTTAGAAAATTTTGGTTGTTAGTAATGTTAAGCAAATTCTGAACTTCAGTTACATTTGTGGTCCCTAAATTCCGAAATATTGGACAGCAGGAAATAATGAATATTATGGTGTTTGGAGTTTGGACCCATTTTATTCAATGTTTTTTGGTAAATGATTTTAAACTTTTGGACTATTACTTTGATTTGTACTCTTTGCACAAAAGCCATACTAATTTTCTCCAATTTGATCAGATGTCTCCAAAAGGATGCATTTTATACCCTTCAATTTTACTATTTGAAATATGGATATTGATAGACTTACTACTTTTTACTTTGTTTGAAAAGAAATCACACAACCAAAGTTTATGAAAGATTTTAAAACGTTTTATATTGATTTTTGACTTTAACTCCCGTGGCTATGAACATTTTGATTTGAAGATTATTATCCACAGCCGCAAAAGTCTATACAATTCTAATAATCCTTTTGTCCCAAAAAGTTATATATGTATTTTGAGATATATGTTGATTATGTGAGATTAGTGGTATAGGTCATGTGATTGGTCGATTTTTATTTGAAAATTTTGGTTTATCATGCAAACACAAATTGTATTTGAAGTTTAAAAAGATTGAAGACTAAAAACGGTTCTGTTTTAAAACTAAAACGTTTTGGATGTTGCTACGAGTAGGGCTATGGGATGACAGAAGCGGGTCCGGTGCTAGCAATGTCGTTAGGGTTTGCTAAAGAGCCGTTTCCAGTGAAATCAGGAGCATGTGGTACAGTGGTGAGGAACGCCGAGATGAAGATACTTGATCCAGACACCGGAGATTCCTTGCCTAGGAATCAAGCCGGCGAAATCTGCATTCGTGGCAACCAAATTATGAAAGGCTATCTCAATGATCCAGTGGCTACCGCATCGACGATTGATAAAGACGGTTGGCTTCACACAGGAGACGTTGGGTTCATCGATGACGATGACGAGCTTTTCATTGTCGATAGATTGAAAGAACTCATCAAGTACAAAGGATTTCAAGTGGCTCCAGCTGAGCTTGAATCTCTCCTCATAGGTCACCCAGAAATCAATGATGTTGCTGTCGTCGCGTATGTGAATTTTTAATACATTTTTTTTTTTTTCAATAACAACAACGACGACATTAGCACAAACTTTCGAATACGCCTCAATTTGTTGTTTTGTTTCTTATGTGCAGAATGAAAGAAGAAGATGCTGGTGAGGTTCCTGTTGCGTTTGTGGTGAGATCGAAAGAGTCGAATATATCCGACGATGAAATCAAGGAATTCGTGTCAAAACAGGTGAACTAATCAATATTCTTTTACGAAAAATTATATTCATTCGATGAATTTTGGATCGTGCATGATGTTCATAGTGTATTTGTTTGTGTGTGATTCAGGTTGTGTTTTATAAGAGGATCAATAAAGTGTTCTTCACTGACTCTATTCCAAAAGCTCCATCAGGGAAGATATTGAGGAAGGATCTAAGAGCAAGACTAGCAAATGGATTACTGAACTAGCTAAGTTTTAGATGATCCACATATATGAATGTAATCTTATCGGAAAAATGAAACGAAATCGTTTTTTGAACAAAGGAAATAAACTTACAGGTAAAAATCTTTGCTCTATTTTCTTTGTATTTATGTAATGGATAAATATGGTTGTATCTTTTGTATTGGTGAAATTATGTTACTTTCCGATATTGTGACATAATGCTTGAATATAACATTTCAATATTGGCCTTCGAAAGGAAAACATTCACCCAAAAAGAATAAGCATCTTAAATTATTGGGGGCAATATAGTTGAGTATCAAAGACTAGAGACGGATAGAGAATAGAATCCACTGATCTTGAGGTCTTGATAGATCAGAATTTGGAGTTAAAATGGCATAGAGACAAGCCAAGGGAAGATGCCCATTTGTGAGGTGGATAGACGAATTGATTAGCTGAACAATATGTTTCATTTGTACTTAGGACTTATTGAGGTTTTGTTGTGATCGTATAATTAAAACTAGCCGGACCGGTTAGCAGAATATGCTCGTGTGTTAGGTGGAGATTTGTCGCTATTGCAATCCATAGACATTTTAGTAATCGAATTGACATTCAAATTTATATGATAGAGAAATTACAACACGTTCGTGGTCTTTGACCATTGGTGGTTCTATAAGTCATATATTTGCAACCTTTGATTCAATGTCATATTTGGGGCCACCAAATTCCGAATATTTCATTGGTTATTCCACTTAATTATTTGGTGACACTAAAACTATAGTGACATAAAAAGTTTTTGGGGAGGCGATACATATGTTTATAACACATTTTTTATTAATCAAAAAAGGAAGGAAAAACTATTTTTACACCCATGTAGTCCATTATTGAGGACCCATTCTTTATTATTTACTCTTCTTCTTTTAGGATTGATCACTCATCCAAATCGATATCAATTATTAAACTCTAAAGTATTATTTAAGTATGACTTATTGAAAACTTATAAGCCTTAAGTCGCCAACATATGAGCATTTGGATGAGTTAGAGAATAATCATGAGATCCTTTATAAAAATCAGACATTTATAACCTGTTTTAATAATAATAATAATCATGCCATTTTCAATTAAACTGTAAAAGAAAACAAATAGTGAAAATTTTGAGAAAATATAAGCCGGTCTAATGCAAAGTTTAATCATTTCTTCAAAAGTTTTGTAATAGTCAAAACTATATGATATAAGCCGGTCACCATCAAAACTTAACCACTTGGTTACGACTTCCGACCTTTTTTTTGCTTCAAGTTCCTGTTTTGTTTGGTTCTCGAGTACGCGTTAGTCGCTTGACACGCTTATGAACATTATGTAGAAACTCTGCATAATCAATATGTAAAATTATCTCAAGCCATATTAAAAAGAAAGTAATTAAAAGTTAAGTGCATTTTCTCATATTAGATGTACATTATTTGATTGAATTATATAATTAAGATTATCGGTCCAGTTCACACGAGGCCAGTTAAGATAGATGTCACTACTAGTTTGACCAATTATTAACGTAAATACAGTAATACTATTGTATAGCTATTTCTTTTCGGGTATTTTTAAATTGTCCATAGCAGCAATACTGTAGTATCCTACCAAATAAACAAACAAAAAAGCAAATATTATTGACCAAGAAATATGCAAATAGAAAGTCCTTCGAAGAGGAAGTCACAATCAACCCTATAGTTTACAAAATTTCGTACAAAACTTATAACAAATAGACAATTTAATCTGTATAACAAAATCAACCCTACTATTGTCACGTTTAAAGTATAACAATTGTATGAAGTCTTCATGCACAAATTTGGGTATTCACACTTCACAGTATGCTCATGGAGAATTTCGGTGGTCAACTGCGGGAAAGTATATAGCTACTACGCGCCTTTGTAAATATTCTCGTAAAAATTTTGGTAATTTTTTTTGTTGGATATTCAATAACCAATTTTTTAATTTCATAACTAATTATAATATAATCTCATAAAAGAATAACATATACAGTACAGTAAAACCTCTATAAATTAATAATATTGGGACCAGAAAATTTTATTAATTTAGAGAGGTATTAATTTATCGATAAATTAATAATTATTAATTTATGGAGAGATTTTCCTAATTTTGTAATTTCTTATAAAATTTATATTTAAAAATATATATTTTTCTTCATAAGCAATATCTTTTTAAAACCAATTGCAAGTAGAGAAACAATTATTAAGTTTAAAAAACAACATAAACTTTTTTTGAATAATAGAGTCATATTTCATTAATTTTTTTACATATAATATTTTAAATATATATCATAGTAATTCATATATGGCATATATAAATTTATATCATATATATATTAAGTTAAATATACATATATATATATATTAATAAGTTTATATAATTATTAATTTATAATATAGATGGGACCATATGTTTATAAGAGATTTTCAAAAAAAATATTATCTTATTAATTTATCGATTTATGTCATATTTTACACTGATCCCAACTCGGGACCGGAAGAATTTATTAATTTAGAGAGGTTATTAATTTATAGAGTATTAATTTATAAAGGTTTTACTGTATATATATTTGATATGATATACATATAATTTGATATAAAACTTTGAGCACTTATTCATTAAGATAAAGTTTGTAGAATTAAAATCTAATTTTTATGATGAAATAAATAACATATTATATTGCCAAATAAAATGTGTAAATTTAAAATTTGGTTTAACTAAATTAAATATCATAAAATGTGTTAATTATTATTTAAAATTTAAATATCATTGATAAAAATTTACATTTATTTTTTACACCGGCCTAAATAAACACTTATAATATTGACAATTTTGATGAAGACACGTGGAAGTGGCCCACTCACCAACTACGTAGCAATAGGTTATAGACAGAATCATTAAGAAAATCGCATCTAAAGGAAATAAATCACTATTAATAGTATAAAACAAAATCAGCCTTAGTCCATTTTATTAATAATTACTAATCCAAACGTACCATTATAAAAAGCGAATCAAAAGAAAGAAAATAAAAAAGCAAGCGTTACATTTTGAAAAGAAAGTTTTTTGAGAGTAGTAAGAAGAATTAGAATCTCCACACAAATGGTGCTCCAACAACAAACGCATTTTCTCACAAAGAAGACAGATCAAGAAGAAGAAGAAGAAAAACCTTCTCATGATTTCATTTTCCTATCTAAGCTTCCTGATATCTTCATCCCCAATCACCTCCCTCTCACTGATTACGTCTTCCACAAATTCTCTGGCGATGGCGACGGCGATTCCTCCACCACTTGTATCATTGACGGTGCCACCGGCCGCATCTTAACCTACGCCGATGTACAAATCAACATGCAGAGGATCGCTGCCGGAATCCACAGGCTCGGGATCCGCCACGGTGACGTCATAATGCTCCTTCTCCCGAACTCGCCGGAGTTTGCTTTATCTTTCCTCGCAGTTGCTTACCTTGGAGCTGTCTCCACCACCGCGAATCCATTCTATACGCAACCGGAAATAGCAAAACAAGCAAAAGCCTCCGCCGCGAAGATGATCATCACGAAGAAATGTTTAATAGATAAACTAACAAACCTCAAACACGACGGCGTTTTGATCGTTTGTGTAGACGATGACGGTGACGGCGTTGTTTCGTCGACTGATGATGGTTGCGTGAGTTTTACGGAACTGACTCATGCTGACGAAACAGAGCTTCCTAAACCTGAGATCTCGCCGGATGACACGGTGGCGATGCCATACTCCTCTGGGACAACGGGACTGCCAAAGGGAGTGATGATTACTCACAAGGGTTTAGTTACAAGCATCGCTCAGAAAGTCGACGGAGAAAACCCTAACCTACACTTCACGGCCAATGACGTCATCCTCTGTTTTCTCCCAATGTTTCACATTTACGCTCTCGACGCATTGATGCTTTCGGCTATGAGAACCGGTGCAGCGTTACTGATCGTGCCTAGGTTCGAGTTGAATCTGGTGATGGAGCTGATTCAAAGGTACAAAGTCACGGTGGTTCCGGTGGCTCCTCCGGTGGTTCTAGCATTCGTTAAGTCCCCGGAGACGGAGAGATACGACTTGAGCTCGGTGAGAATGATGCTATCAGGTGCAGCTACATTAAAGAAGGAGCTCGAAGACGCCGTGCGACTTAAGTTTCCTAATGCCATTTTTGGTCAGGTCAGTTTTAATTAACCTCCTCTGTACTTTCATTATTATTTTTGTTATTTTCTTCATAAATTTTAGTGCAATTGGGCATATGGACTCTAGTCAAATCGTCCAAAAATCCTATAAACATGATTATTGAGATTAACTTGAGAGTGTTTAGATCTACATACGTTTCATGTGGTATTTGAGAGTTATTGATTTTTGGCATCTTCGTATAAGTAGTAAAATATACAAGAGTACGTTAGTAGAAAATACTGCCGGTAGGTGAAGATTTGTCGCTATGTGCTATTTGTCTAGTAACTTGAGTAATCAAATGGAATTTTATATGTTTAAGACCAACAATTTCGTGGTCTAAATATTTATGAAAATGGATGAGTGGTTCACCAAATCTAGGCTTTAAAACTATTTATGTCATTGTCTAGATCTTAGGTGACACCAAATTTCGAATATTTATTGGTAATTGAGATGTTAAAGTACCAATATTTGACTTAATAAAACTAGAATATTTTGGCTTTTATCAAATGTAGACAGTGATTACCTATCGTTGTCATTATCTTGAGTATATACAAGTCGATCAATTAGGTGAAAGTTTAGTGTCTCGTGGTGGGTAAACGATTAATATATTCTATCCAAAGACAAATCCAAATCATATAACCAATAAAGTATATATTTTATTCTCTTTAAAGCTAAAAACTTAAAAACCAATAGGTAGCACCCACGTTAAGACGACCAAATAGAAGGTTTGATTCATTTCTGGACAAATTACGCCATTTTGATAGACTTTGAGACTTTTAAGAATCTCAAACAAGTTTACTTTAGTAGCGTCATAAATTGATCAATCTATGGTTTAGTTTGTGCTTTGTCCAATTTACCTGGCTATTGTAATACAAAAATGATTGAAATGTAGGTAGATTAGATCCTTGTATTAGGCTAGGTTTATCTGACATGCAACGAACCTAAAGCAATAACAAAGGGATTCTAGTTATGTGGTTTTTTGAGAATAATAATGGTCCAACTTCATTAAAGTACTTATTTATTGTAGAAATTTTCATGTGATTAGTTTGAAATTCAATACAAAAGATGTGATAGTAGATTAATAGTACCGACACGAAACAATCCTCAACAGAAAAAAATTTCTATAAAGAGATAACAAATAAAAAGTTATTTTTACATCCATATTTTGCATCATATCAAAAGATGAGAAAGATGCAAATCATAGACAAATAAACAAACATATTATTTGTGAAACACAGTACAATAATTTGCTTTTAAATGGAGTTTAGGTCACACACACTGACACACACGATAAAACGATAATGTATGTGGAAAAAACACTTTAATCACAATGCCTAGAGGACACTTTCTCCACTTTTTCTTTAAGGTCTTGCCGTGTTGCTTTCATCTTATATAATGATTTTTTGGATAAGAATTCACACATTTTAATTATTGAAGAAGATCCTTACATATATAAGTTAATACTAATTGTAGTTAGTGATTATCTTTTTTTGCATAGTTTAGTCCATTATTGGGGAAACATTCATTACGCGTCTCCTTATACGAATCACCCATCCAAAATTCCAAGTAGATTTTATAGTTCATTTATTATTTCTAAGTGTTTGACTTATTGATTTGACAAGAAACAACAAAAGTGTTGACTTAAGTAAACGTCTACAATCCCTATCAGATTTAATTCAATAATCACGACCAACAACAACGCACATGTTATACATTAATTTCTCGTTTACTTAATTACAGTGCCGTTTCTCGGTTCATGTCTTCGTCACTGGCGATGTTATCATCATATTGGACAATATTCGAATGTTGTCGTTTTTACATTTTCGTAATGACTAAAACAAACTTTTTTTCAGGGTTATGGAATGACCGAGTCCGGAACAGTAGCTAAGTCATTAGCGTTTGCAAAGAACCCATTTAAAACCAAGTCCGGTGCATGTGGGACTGTGATCAGAAACGCCGAGATGAAAGTGGTCGATACCATAACCGGAAGCTCCTTACCGCGCAACAAATCTGGTGAGATCTGTGTCCGAGGGGATCAGCTCATGAAAGGTAAAAAAGGTCAAACGATCAAGTTTTGTCCCTTTTTTTGGGAGAATAAATATTGATAGGTGCAATATTGTTAGGTTATTTGAATGATCCGGAAGCTACTGCGAGAACCATTGATAAAGATGGGTGGTTACACACAGGAGATATTGGGTTTGTGGATGATGATGATGAAATCTTTATTGTTGATCGGTTGAAGGAGCTGATCAAATTCAAAGGCTACCAAGTGGCTCCAGCTGAGCTTGAAGCATTGCTTATTTCTCATCCTTCTATTGACGATGCCGCAGTTGTTGCGTGAGTTAAAACAAATCTGAAACTTCCAAACTGAAACACTAAAATGTGTGTTGTCTCTAATGATACTTGAGAATTTTCAGAATGAAGGATGAAGTAGCTGATGAGGTTCCAGTAGCATTTGTAGTAAGATCTGAAGGGTCTCAGTTAACTGAAGATGATGTCAAGAGTTATGTAAACAAACAGGTAAGCATTCACTTTCGGTCTTTAAACGCGAAATACACAGAGATGGAAACTGTCAATGTCTTAAATCAATGGTGTGATGGTTTATATATAGGTGGTTCACTACAAGCGGATCAAGACGGTGTTTTTCATAGAAGCTATACCGAAAGCAGTTTCGGGCAAGATTCTGAGGAAGGATCTCCGAGCTAAATTGGAAACCGAGTGCTCTAAATAGACATGAGAGTTTCAAATGTATGTGTAAATTCGAACATTAAAGTCTCTAAGAAGTAAGCAGTAAGAAGCAAGTATTTGGTATTTGATTTGGTTTCAAGACATCAATCATGTAAATTCTACACATCTAGGAAACCTAAAGCTATACTACCCTCAGAAACATAAGTTCATTTCCTATAATCATCATTTCACTATTCTCTTAAGAAGAAACATACCCGCAAAAGCGACTACAAGACTGGGTAGACTTATGTACTGGGCCACACACTCAAGTTATCCTCCTCTGCAAGCTGAATGCTTGAAGTATTCAGGTGAATCAATCAGCAAATAACCTGCAGAGAAGGAAGTGGCCCAGCGGAGAGGTCTAATGTGGTTAATTAGAAGTCGAGACCAATTGATTACCCAACCGGTTCCTCGTCGCACTTGCAACAGAGGTTTATCTTCTGATCCCAAATCTGTACTGACAAAAGTCGAACGTTATAATAAAGATACTACTCCGATTAGTTCCTGAAACGAACAAAAGCATTTGCATACAACTTGAAGAGAGTAAGATCACATATCATTGAGTTGAGAGCGTAAGAGAAGATATCATCACACCAAAAGTGGAAACTAGTAGAGAAGATCATCATATTTGATCAACATAACAAACAGGGACTAGGCATAAGGTAGACTTTTTGAGTAGGTGCTGAGAACCTAGAATCTAAACTGGACACTTGAGAGTTAATTCCTAATCACACTAAAACCTCAAGGCAAGTTAACGGATACTGAACAGAAAACCATTGGGAGACTAGCCGATGTTTTCATGCATGCTCAAAGATGGAAACAAACGGAAGCTTTCTGAATTCTACCAATTGCAAGAGAATCACATGATTTCGTTCAAACAAAAGTACCTAAACAAGCTTTCAACTTTTACCGCAATTATTAGACCATAAATGGTAAAGAGAAGATAAAGCAGTAGCCTTTACAATAATAATTCACAAGAAGGAAACTAGAATAACCATAAAGAGAAATAAAAGAAGAAGCTTTATTAATGAGACTTAACAAATGAAAGACGATCCTCCATTTACTTCCTGATATGAACAATAATATGAGCAAATCCAGCCAAAGTCACTCATAATAAACCATAAGAATTCTTCTTGTCTTTTACTTTCCATTTCTAGCAAAACATTCTTCATTACCCAAAAGAAAAATCAAGCTTAACAACATAAGAAAGACTCAATAAACCCTAACCACAAACTGAGTTTCTTCCTGACGAATCATACCCCAAACACAAACCACATTGTTCTACTCTTTTCATTATCGTTGCTTGGGGTATGCAAAACTTATGGAAAAATTGTCAGGAAAAAATACGAAAAATCGGAAAACAAGAAAGACGAAAATGGTAAAAACACTAGGAAGCCGAAGGAAGAGGACGAGGCGGCGGCAACATTTGACGGAGATTAGGACCTCCGGTAGCTTTAAGTATGAAAGGATGCTGCAAAAGCTGTTGAGCTGACCATCTCTTAGGAGGATCACTCTGTAAACAACAAGAAACAAAGTGACGAAACTCCTGAGACGCCGTCACCGGAGCTTCCGGTGGCTGAGACATACAAATGGCACACATTAGACTAGCCCAATCACCTTGTCTACTCACATTAAAAGGAAACCTCCCCAAATAAAACTCCAAGACGCTAACACCTAAACTCCAAACATCTCCAGCGTAACCATCGTAACGACCATGATTCAAATCAGTGTTAATCCTCTCAGGACTCATATAAGCAATAGTTCCAACAGACGAATTACAAGGATCCATGGTTTGAGCCAAGATCCTACTAACTCCAAAATCAGCAATTTTCACATTCTTAGCTGAGTTTATAAGTAGATTCGAAGGTTTGATATCACGGTGAACGATATGACGACGATGAAGATAAGCTAAACCACTAAGAATCTGACGAGAGAGATCAGCTAATTCCTGTTCTTGCCAAACATGAGCTCCTTCAAGAGAACCTTGATCCATAAACTCAAGCAAAACCTGGATCTCACCGTTATGATCAAACATTTCGTGACATTTCACAACGTTAGGATGATCAACACTTCGTAAGATCTCGATCTCTCTACAGATCTGACGTCTCACGGTATCTTCGTGGTTTCCGTAAATCACTTTGAGAGCGAAAGGACGTGACGTCGGAGTGTGGATTACTTTGTAAACCGTTCCTCCGGCTCCGCTTCCGATTCGGTTCACTCGTTCTAGCTCAGATAAGCTTTTCGCGGCGGAGATGTTGGTTGAGATCGCAGATGACGACGCCGGAGCGGAAGAGGAGGAGGGTGGTGGGAGAGGGAGAGGTACGGCGAGAGCGACGTCACGGTTTGGGAGTGGTAAGCTTAGGTCAGGACGTTTGCGTGAACGGTTCTTGGTAGGTGAAGCTACTCCTCCAGGAGGAGATTGAATCGGTTTCATGGCTTTTGGAAGAAGAATCGAGAGAGGAATCAAAAGGTTTTTTTTTTTTTCACAAGGTTGATTCTTTCTCTTCCAGTTCCAGGTTCGTATTTATAATCATCATTGGTTCTAGGGTTTGTTTGATTCGTCGTTTTTCGAAGAGATCAAATCAAGAGGAGAACGAAGCTTCATTGAAGAAATTGTGGAAATGATGAAAAAGTTTAATGGTGAGAGAGAGGAGAGACAAAGGTATCATCTCTACGCGTCGATGGAAAGAGCGTGGAACACACTCGCACCTGTGTGGCTCTGTGTTGTTACACGTTAACGATGTTTTTTGTTTGGTCGGGTCTGACTTGGGTTATACAGTATAATCAAGATTAGTAAAATTAAGTCGGACCATTAAAGAAGTATCATTTACTTTTAGTAATTTAGGAATAACCCTAATATTGTATAACTCGATCACTAATACTAGGGTTTAACTAAGCAAACAATAAATGTGTTTTATAGGTAGTTTGAATACTTCACACCATTTTCCCAAAACTGTCATTAATTTGGATAAAGATGAATTTAAGATCGATGTGTAGATACATTAAATTTGGTGTTAGGTCTAGGTTATGGAAATTTGGGTTTGGTGTTAGTGAGATTCGAAAATAAACTCGAATATTTTTGCAGAGTAAGATATACAATTAAAGTTTTTTTTTTTAATAAAAAAATGTAAAAACAATTGAAAAAAAACTAAAATTTTTTTTTAGTGGAAACAGTGTTCACGTGCGATGCATGTGACTTAAAAAATAAGTCTGACCACTTGCCGTCAATTCTTCCCCAGAATTTTCATCGAACAATCAATCTCTCTCTCTCTGATTAATTAGGGTTTTTAATCTCATGGCCGGCGCCGGAATCCACCCTTACCATCAGCAGTGGCCGCCTGCAGGTGCGCCACCTCCTCCCGCCGCAGTATCATCAGCTGCTCCACCACATCCCCCGCCCATTCATCACCATCATCCTCCTCCTCCTGTTTTAGTTGACAACCATAATCGTCCTCCTTATGACGAGGTTTCAACTCTTTCTCTCTCTCTCTCTCTATATATATCGGTGATTCTTGTGATGTGTTGCCGACATGGGCTTTCTTGATTTTTGTTTAAGCACTAGGAGAGTATCTCCCTATTGTCATTCAGAGATTTATAGATAAATGTCCAAACTTTTTGATGAGAATGATTTTAAAGTTTGTTACTAAAATCTCACTTATGACCTGTTGCACTAGTGAGAAAGGTTCTCTTATCTAGTTATGTAGTTGGAGAGTTCTGATTTTGGGGAAACGTGATCTCTTACACAAGTTTGAATCTATTGTTCAGCTTCGGACAATCTTCATCGCAGGGCTTCCCGATGATGTAAAAGAGAGAGAGCTTTTGAATCTTTTAAGATGGTTGCCTGGTTACGAGGCTTCTCAGGTGAATTTCAAGGGAGAAAAGCCTATGGGGTTTGCTCTTTTCTCCACGGCTCAGTATGCAATGGCAGCCAAAGATAACCTTCAGGTCAGTCTGGTCCTGATCATTGTTGATTCAAATCCTTTTTTGTCTTCACTTTATGACATATATTGTTTTTGGCATGTAGCATCTGGTGTTTGATGCTGAATCAAAGTCTGTGATACATACAGAGATGGCCAAGAAGAATCTCTTTGTTAAAAGAGGTTAGTTCTACAATTATAACATAAACTGGCTGTATTTCTTTTTCTGTCTAAAGCATCGGTCATGTTACTAAAGCATGTTTGATACAGTTTTGTGCACTTATAATCTCATTACGCTATTTCCTTTATTTAGTTTCTTACTTCCGTTTAGTAATATTACAAATCACATATAACCTTTGAACTCGATTTTTATTCTGTAGGAATAGTTGGGGATTCAAATGCTTATGATCAAAGTAAGCGCCTACGAACTGGTGGTGACTGCACACACTCTGTGTATAGTCCATCTCCTTTCCACCCTCCACCTCCTCCTGTGTGGGGACCTCCTCATGGGTGCGGCATTTGCTTCTCCTTCATATTTCAGATTCTGTGTAGAAACTAGACGATGTGTATTTGGTACATCGTTTTCTGTTAAGTTACTTATTTGACAAGAAGATAAAATTTGGTTCAGGTATATGGCACCTGCACCTCCACCATATGATCCCTATGCAGGTTATCATGCTCCACCTGTACCAATGCCTGCGCCCCCACCTATAGCAGCTCCAAGTTCATATGTGCCTGTTCAGGTGAAGTTGCACTTTTTTCATCATTTTATTTATATGGTTGTGCAATTATCTACCTGGAATCCATGCTGTACTTGCTTATCATTGCCTAATATATACACTCTCGAATTTGTGTACTGCTCTGAATTTGCTAAAGTTTCTGATTGTTTGATAAATTTTGTACCCAGTTTTATGTATATCTAGCCTAGGTTTGGTGATCTGATATATGTCTCAAGCTGTTTTCAATTTTTTTCAATTGCAGAATATTAAGGATAATCCGCCTTGCAATACCCTATTTATTGGTAATCTTGGGGAGAATATAAACGAAGAAGAATTGAGGAGCCTGTTGAGCGCGTGAGTATCTGTTTGCTTTAGTGACACTCCTGTCCATTGCTTTCCTTGAGATCTTGGCTTTTTCGTATCACTGTGTTCTCAAGAATTCTGTGGTAAACTGTACTTTCATTTTGCAGGCAACCTGGTTTCAAACAAATGAAGATTCTGAGACAAGAAAGGCATACAGTTTGCTTTATTGAATTCGAGGTTAATTCTGAAACCTTCACCATTTGTGTTTATACGTGCCAGACAATATTCTTCTAGCATTTTGTTAAATTGTTCTATCTGGACTTGCAGGATGTCAATAGTGCCACAAATGTTCACCATAATTTGCAAGGTGCTGTCATTCCAAGTTCTGGTTCAATTGGCATGAGGATCCAATATCCTTTTATATACTTTCTCTGCTTGTTTATATTTCTCCAGAAAAAATTTATGTGCTTTTTATATTCCAGTATGCCAAGTTCTTTTTTCTGTTTGATTCTCCTTAACCCAATGTTACATATTCAAAGAATCCATATGGGAAGAGAAAGGAAGGTGGCGGCTATTCTTTCTTTCCTTCTCCGAGTGCAAATGGAGCCCAAGGAGCTCTGACATATCAGTAGGCCTTGAAGGGGGACGTACTCTCTTCCTTATCTCCCAACAACTGCACGAATAGGATGCATCTTGCAGGCAGTCCGCATTGCATCCATTTTCATTCTCGACATTTTTAAGCATCAGCATTACTTCTTTGTCATGTGTTGGATGCATATAGTGTGACCTCATCAACATATAACATTTCAGTTTCTATTAGCTTTACTACATGCATTCGCAGTGTGGTTTTTGATGATTGTTTGAATTCTGTAGGAGTTTGGTTTGCCATTTGTTTATCTTATTGCGGCTTTAACACATCACTTGGTGGGATTCATTTTCGACATTCTGATCGATTCATCCTAATGAAACTCCATTTGCTATGTTAGTTTGATATAACATAACATTACATTAGATCATAACATGATATTATCCAGAGGCCTTTCATCAACTTCGCTTCACTGCATGGACATGGAATGTTGCTCTCATGATCGATTCATCCTAATGAAAGTCCATTTGCTATGTTAGCTTGATATAACATTACATTAGATCATAACATGATAACATCCAGAGGGCTTTAATCAACTTCGTTTCACTGCATGGACATGGAATGTTGCTCTCATGATCAATCACATCGGTGTCATTCTTCAGCATTTCCCATGTCGATCATTCACTGTTCTTACTTAGGCTGATGAACAAGCACATCCATTTTGTCAGTTGTTGAAGTTGACAGCTGATTTAACATTTGAAGATAGGCACTCCATTACATTGTAGGTTTATAGTTGAGCAAACATATATATACATTCCCAGCTCTGGCTTGGCCTAATGCAGGGACAACCAGTAAAGAGAAAGCCAAGGCTCTCAAATAGAGAAGCGAAACACCTACAAAGTTGAAGTAAGATCATCTTCTGACGTCCAGGAACAGAGCCAGGAGTTCCTAGGAGCCTAACATTTTTCGATGGAGTCCACTTATCCAATGCATTACTGATGTTACTGTACGGATTTGGACTACTTGTCTCTGGATGTGAGAACCAGAAGCGAATTTAGTGACTCTCCCCATCGTGCGTTCTTTCAAATGAACAAGCTTCTCTTTCATTTTCATGAACATCTGTTTATCTTTTGGACGCTTCCTTATCAGATTTTGAGGTAAAGTAGGATCATGAGGGCCTTGTTTTAAGGCTTGTTTCTCTGAATTAGAACCATGGTTAATTTGCTGTAAAGAAAGGTAGGTCATATAATTAACACGAGACAACCCAAGAAGATTCCATAAATGATTGTCTCAAGCAAGAAACATGTTAATTTTCTTCATTATTAAGATTGGCTAGTCTCAAGCTTTCATCATTGTAGATAAGAAATAAAAAGATTAGTGCAGAAATGGGTTTTGCATTTCCACTTTACAAAGAAGCAATACATCAAAACTCAAAACCATGGTCTTAGGGAAAAATCTTAGACTTGAGGTGTGTCCGAGCGCAGAACTGTCAAGAAAAACAAGATAAGAGTTAAGTTAGGAGGTTTATAGAAAGAAGAAAAATGTATCAAACATTTAGAAATCTAAATAGTTTTGACTTTTGACTAAACATAAACATGAAGCAAAAAGGCATGAATGAGTTTGTGATGTAGAATCTAATGAGTACAAAGACAAAGAGCTCTCCCATTCGTAAATTCGAACACTCGCAGCAATTTTTTGTCATCATCTCCCATTTTTTAAACTCAGTGAAAGCAGAAACGAAGAAAACATACAAAGAAGAAGCTAGATCTCGATCAAATTGGAACAAAGCTGGATAAGGATCGTGAGGAAGGAACCTGGTTTCTGAGGCTTTCCATCGGACCATTTGGAGAGGGAGAAGTGAACCTTCTCGCGATTGATTGATTCAGCTTTGAATGGTTCTTTGAGACAGTTCCTTACGAGATTCGCACAGATGTTCGAGTATGTTATATACGTCATCCCCGCCGCTCTCCAGAACGGAACCGCCGCGTTCGATGCCATTTCTCTCTTCACTCACAAAGTTTTTTGATCGATCGGAGAAACGTGATTGAGAAAGAAGAAGATATCAACTACAAGAGCTAACTGGGAAATTCTCTGTTGCTGCAACTGAGAGAAACCTACCTAGTCAACCCCAACTCGTTCTCAGCCCATTGGGCCTTTTTCTGAATCAGGCCCACATACGTTGACGTGTCTTAGAGGAAAAGTTCAACATGTCAAAGACAATCTTCATTGTCTTTTGCTTTGTTGATCAATAAAGTTTAACGTTTTCCCCCTTTTAATTGAAATGGTCTTGTATTGCAAAGAAAAGAATAAACTATTAGAAAGGTTTGATGAAATTGCATAAAAGTAGAATAGCATTACTACTTTGCGTGAGGAATTTTAGAATATGTTTTACAAACAAAGAAACGTTTGCATTCGTTATATATTATAAGCAAAGCATGTAGGCAGGCGTACCAACCACTCTCAAATCATATCATTCATCATATTTTCCTTGTTCCCTTTTAGCCATGGATCCTGTGTCAAGGCAACAATCTGTTCCTCTTGTTCTCTTTTGCCCGTTCGCACGATTTGAAAACAAGGAAGACGAGTTTCGCTCGATACAGTTCCACGAGGTACCAATTTTTTCGGATGCTGAAATCAACAAGTCTCCATTATCATTTTCACCTCACATCCGTCCTTTAGATTGGTGCAACAACAAAGAGGGTACAGACAGCAACTTAAAATGTTGTGTTTGCATGACTCCGATAGTCGATACTCCATTTTATTCCTGCAAAGATTGTCCTCACTTTCCTGAAGCCAAGTTTTATTTTGCATTCCACAAAGACTGTATCGAGCCGATATCAAAGCACCCATATCATCCTAAACATTCTCTTCGGTTTTTTATTAGTAGTTATAAGACATGCTTATGGTGTTCAAAGTTTGGCCATTGGGAATACAATTGCTCTATATGCGATTTTACTATATGTGATAATTGTGCGAGGAAGCCACCAATCCTTGCAATAGACTATCCTAAAAGGCATGAACATACGCTCTTTTACTTTCCTAGAAAAGGCTCACTGATTTGTGATGTTTGTGCGTTGAGCGATCATAACTCTTTGATGTATTCATGTCGTCTTCAATGTGATTTTGTAATCCACAAAGATTGTGTCTACATGCCTTGGATCATAAGAATATCGCGTCATGAACACCGCCTCTCTTTCAACTCTTTGCTGACTCCTGAGAAATGGTTTTGTGGAGTGTGTCATGGAAAGATAGACACAAATTATGGAAGATATACATGCGTGAAGGGTTGCAGTTTTGGGGTTCATTCTAAATGTGGAACACGAAAAGATGTATGGGACGGAAAAGAACTTGAGGGAAAACCAGAAGATGCATATGAAGATATTAGGTCGTTCAATGAGGTAAGTGATGGAATTATACAACATTTCAGTCATCAAAATCATCATATGAGACTCCAAGAAGAGACCAATAAAGCATTTGACGAGAACAAACGTTGTCAAGCATGCACACTTCCTAAATGTGATGATGTTATTTATGATTTGCATACAATGTGATTTTCTTCTCCATCAAGAATGTGCACATCTTCCTCGAAAGAAACATCATGGGACACATCCTCACCCCCTTAGTGTACAAGTGGATCATCAAGGCAATTCGTTCGTATGTGAAGCTTGTCAGCGTCAAAGCAATGGTTTCGCGTGCGTACATGTGTAATGAAATGGATTGTGAGTATAAGTTAGACGTACGTTGCGCTTCTATAGGCGAGCCATTGGATCATCGGTGTCATCTACACCCCTTGTTTCTTACACTTGAACCCGAATCATGGCAACGCTGTTCGGTTTGTCATGAATATCAATGTCTTCGTCTAGACTGTGGAGAATGTGGCTTTGTTGTGTGTTTTGGATGTGCCACTTTACCCAATAAAGTGAGGTACAAGCATGATGAGCATGTTCTCATCTTTTCTTATAAAGTAGACGCAAGTGTTAAGTATTTGTGTGAAGTTTGTGAAAAAGAAGCAGATCCGAAGAATGGAATTTATATGTGCAATGACTGCAACGTCACACTGCATATTCAATGTTTACTTGGAAATTATGACGGCATGTATATGATGCCTGGTAGAATACTCCACCTTGGTAAATGGAATGTTCCTATTCTTCCCAATAATCGTCTTACTCGCAAAATATGCAAGAAATGCCATTATCGTTGTGAAGGAAAAGTTGTTTACAAAATCTCTGATAGAGAGATATATTGCTCATTTCTATGTCTACAAAATAGCTGGTATTGTCTGTAATGTTGTTCAGAGTGTCTTCTTTCTCTTTGCTTTCTCTTCATAAAAAATGTTTATTTGGGACATATATGAACTTTACACTTCACAATAACTTTTTTCAAAACAATTTAAGGAAGATTGAACCATTGCGTAATGTCCTATTGCACCAGAGGACTCCGATCAGACCTGGTAATAAATATATAAAAAGATGACAAACATTACTTCATGTAAACAGATACTATTCCACGAGATACTACAACAGAACCAATGCACAATTTTCAACTTGTAAATAAAGAATAATGGGGACAACAACAACAACAAAAAAGTGAATAGTATTGTTATTGTCCTCCCTTGTGAGATGATCCCACTACTTGCTTAAGTAATTTGACCTTGTTGAAATCTGCAGGGCAATAGCTTTTCTCTACTTCCCAAGCGAGCTGTGACATTCCATTGAAGGATGATTTTGCTCCCTTTTCATCTGTTACTTCCATTGGAAATGGAATCCGCACATCATATATACCTCGTGGAGACCATACTCGGAGGTCAAATCCAAGCCTATCCATCCATATCATCTTTGTTTCCGAAACCTGGTATAAATTGAAAAATGATAACCCTGAATAACAAGTGAAACTGAAAAAAAAGAGAAAGCAAAATAGTTTGGAAGACTGAACATGTTATCTAGATTGAACATTCTTTGAAGTATTTGCATAGCATGTTCAATAATACTAACCACAAAGTCTAGATCCACGTATACGTTGCAGAAACGGAAAATGTCTTCCATGTTGTTAGTGTTAATATTGTTGACAATGTCTTCTGCAACATCTCTGAGAGGGTCAGGACTTGCATTTTTATAATCTGATGACGCCACCCAGATTCCATCCTGTAAAACAGTGAAAGTGTTTAGACTTTGTTATTAGAGTTTGGATCACAACAAATTTCCGTCTTCTTTTTCAGGAGGAGATCAACCAATATAAGAGATAATTAAATGTCACAAGAAACTGAAAGAGCTTGCGATTTCTACCTCCATGAAGTCTTCCATTTGGAGAACACGGTCAACTGCAACAACATATAAACTGTCTTCCTCAACTTCTTCGCCAAACTTTTCCCTCCATGTAGCACTAAGGCGCTTCATAAAAAGCATGGAGACTTCGATCAATTCAAGTAAAAGCACATGAAAGACCTAGCATCTTACAATCACTCTTCTAACAAACAACCAACTGTTTTCCACAGGATATCTCCTAGAGGCTAGGAAACGCAACACCACTATCTTCAACTACACACACAACAGCTCCTTAAAATACCAATAGGAACATTATGGCATAGTAAAAATGCCTAAAGTCTACTCTACAATCAGATATCAACTAGCCAATACTAACACACACACACAGAAAATGAATATAAATGCAAGTCTTCTTTACCCTAAGAACTTGGGGTTCTAGTTCTACAGGATAGTAGCAGTACTGCAGTAGCAAGGACAAAAACAGTAAGAGGTCAATCAAGAAACCTTATCGTGCATACGAACGTTCATCATACACAATGTATATCTATGTAAAGCTCCAAGATTGAAGTTGAGTTCTTTAGAGTGAGATATTCATTACAAAATCATACCTTTAGAACAGTATCGTCTCCAGGTCGACTAATGCTACCTTGTATCGTACACTGAGGAGTCCTCAATCCACATTGTTCTAACTGATTCCATAAACAAGTATCGAAACAAGGATACGATCAGAATAAACAATAACCAAAGACAATTCATGATTCTCCTTCAAAAAGAAGTAAACTTGGCCATTTTTTCAAGAAGAAACAGAGTGGAATTAGCAAAAGAGGACCTGAACATGAAGAGCAGACCTCTTGTCAGGAGAGAAAGAGCGATTGAGGCAAAGAACAGGAGTGCCATCTTCGTCAACGGCGAAGCGAACTCCTACGCCGAGAGGCCAACCGTCGTGGGTCAAAGTGGAGAGAGTTCCAACGGAGGAAAGCTCCATGATACTTCTTGAAACCTCCGCCGGAAAGGGCTTGTGGGTCGTCGTCAACGGAGTATCCAAAGCCGTGGAAACGGAACATCGGAGAGAAATTGGACGAGATGGGTCTCGTTTTAGAGTGATGAATTCACGTCTTTCGATGGGTTTGGCGAAATTTGGAGATGGGAGAAGATTGAGAGCGAAGGATTGGGTTTGGAGTTGCATTTTGGTTGCTCTAAGAGAGAGAAGAGAGAGGATCTCTGTGTTTGACGAAAACAAGATAAACTTCGAAATGAACAAACCGGAGGTTCGGTACGGTATCGATGTTAACCGAAACAAATTCAAAATTTCCCCGGTTTAATGGGTCCCTAATTATTACTATGTCATTTTGTGTTGCTTATATGTGTTTCTAAAATCATATACAACAATCAATCAAGTGTTCATTGTGATCCCCTCACACAAACTTAGAAGACAAGGAATAAAAAAGAAGAACACAGAGTCATGCATAAATTATAATCATTGATCAGCATGTGTGTTTTTCCTCATGTTCCACCAATTTTTACGAAAATATAATTATAGAGATATGACTAGCTAATGTACAACTATACTAATGATGCGGTACATTGATAATTAAATGATTAGTAAACAATGTATGATTAACAAAAAGTTTAGCATTTGAGGAAGTTTAAACTCGTATGTGGCCTCTAACGAAAGCTATATGCATCATTATAGTTGCTTTTGGGGTAGTATAATTACTAAATTAGTCTCATGTCAAACAAATGATATGTTTAAAATGTGTTTCAAACCCTATCTGTAATCCGGTGCTTTATCATTTGCTTATAATTTGTTTGTTAAATAATTACTCTTTATTTTATATGAAAGGGAATTTTAGTATATTCTTACTTTATTATCAATGATAGAAAATATATTGTGTCATTACCGACTCCTCTTAATGAGTCCGTGATTTAAAGTTTTTTTTTTCATCAACCACATTTTAAAGTTAAAAAAATATTTTATAGTTGGTAATGTAACACTAACAAATGTAAAACCAACTGAACGAGGTAAACAATTGGTGAGTTCGAAGTTATATAAATGATTAACAGCTTAATTTATTGACATTTTACAATTAGTTTAGTTAAAATAAAATTTCGAATCTCATGAGTTTATGTAAGTAATTAGAATGTTGTCTTAGTTTGACCGGTTTAGTGAAACCACCCACCGGTTAGAGTTTATACCAAAATTCACGGCAGAAGTGTCGGTGGCTGTGTTTATGTGTAAGATAGCGTAACTTCAACTTCAACAATCAACACTGACAATAACACTCCCTCAAAACAAAAAAGAGAGCTTTTTTGACAAAACATTAATTGAAAAAAAGAGAAACTGAGATTTCATATTTGAGGAAGATAGCTTGTCTCTTGTCTCTATCTGCCCCACAAACAACACACCTCTCTTTGTTGGTCTCTCTTTTTCTTTCTTTTCTTAACTCTATTTTAACTCAGAATCCTCTGTTTTTCTGTAGAGAGAAGGTAAGAAATGGGTGTTGATTTGAGGCAAGTAGTGGCTGGTATTCTCACCATTACCATGTTTGTCATGCTTGGACAGATGCTTCATAGAGATTACTTTGATTCTCTTCAGGTAATCTTCTTTGCCGACACTTTTTACTCATACTCATTTCAGCTTGGTTCAAGTGGGTTCTGTTTAATTCTTCTCTTAGATGCCTTTTGAAGTTAGATCTAATTCTTCAAAGTTAGAAAATTTAGTTGTTGTGTGAAATTTACTTGATCAAAACCAGAACTTTCCATTTTTAGATCAAAAGTTGGATTGCACATTGATCATAAGAAACCCAAATTAGTAGACTCAACTGTTTTTTTCTGCGGATCACTAGGACATGATTGATTTCATCTCTTTTGGTGTAAACTAATAGTGAAAAAGGTTCAACCTTTTTTTCTTCTGTAGCTAAAACTCAATATCCTACTCTTAAGTTTTGTTCTTTGTCATTTTGGGTATTTTTTTTTACAGGAGAAAGCTCAGGGAGATGCACAAGATATTGAATTTGAAGGATCTAAAGTCTCTGTGAAAGATGGTCTTGTCGGAACTGTTGAAGGCAGTAAAGGACTTTGGATGGAGGATAACACTGATCTTAATCCTTGTTGGCCAACATTATTATCCGGTATGTGTGTTTCTTATTTTTGTTTGCATCACTGATTTTGGAGTATTTACTAAGGAACCTAAATGTTGCAGATGAAGCGGTATCGTCGAAAGGGTATGTTACATTCTCACTAACCAATGGTCCTGAGTACCATATCTCTCAGGTATGCTTTATAAGAAAACTCTAAAGTGATGATCTTTATTAATTACCAATCTGTGAACTCAATCATAGGTTTCTTTAGATGTGTTGTTATCTTCTTCTTCTTGTTGTTTGTGTGGTTAATTCTGTTAGTCTTGTTTTAGATTTCTGATGCTGTAATGGTGGCAAAGCATCTTGGAGCAACTTTAGTACTTCCTGATATAAGAGGAAGCAAACCTGGTGATGAAAGGTTAGGGTTGTTTTTGTATGTTCATGACATTTTTGGTTTGCTAATTTGTTTCTTAGATTTCTAAACACTTTTTAACTGCTTTCTCAGGAATTTTGAAGATATCTATGATGCGGATAAACTAATTAAAAGCTTGGAAAATGTCGTTAAAGTTGTGAAACAGTTGCCTGAAGAAGTTTCTCTAAGGAACATGGCCATTGTGAAGGTCCCTACCAGAGTTACCGAAGATTACATTAAGGAGCACATTGATCCCATCTTCAAATCGAAAGGAAACATTCGAGTCGCATCATACTTCCCTTCTGTAAACTTGAGGAAATCCTCACAAGATGGTGAAACTGATCCCGTTGCGTGTTTAGCAATGTTTGGGTCTTTGGAGCTGCAACCTGAAGTGAATGCAGTGGCTGAATCAATGGTTGAGCGGTTGAGGACTCATAGCCGGAAATCAGGTGGCCGTTTCATAGCAGTAGACCTTAGAATCGACATACTTGAGAAGAAAAATTGTCATACCACTGGTGTAGTAGGGTCCAAGACATGTTACAACGCGCAAGAGATTGCTTTGTTCTTGAGGAAACTTGGATTTGCCAGCGACACAACTATCTATCTGACTCAGCCAAGATGGGACAGTAGCCTCAATATCCTTAAGGATATCTTCCCGAAAACATTCACAAAGGTGAGTAGATCAAACATTCTTTAGTCCAAGAAAGTTTTGACCATGTTGCCAATCTTGATTTTATCACTTATATATTGGCAGGAGGCAATAATGCCGGCAAGTAAGAGATCAAAGTACCTTGAATCAGAGAGTTCTGAGTACGAAAATGTTATCGACTTCTACATAAGCTCAAGAAGCGATGTCTTTGTTCCAGCCATATCCGGTCTGTTTTATGCAAACACAGTTGGCAAAAGGATAGCTTTAGGTAAGCCTCAAGTGTTAGTTCCAGCAGAAATCTCAGAGACATCTGGCCGTGCTACAGATTTCATCTCTCCATACATTTCAAAGAAGAATCACTTGGCTTATTCTTGCTTTTGCTGACCTTCTCGCATTTCTAAAGTATCCACGCATACTTCCTCGGCAGGGACTTCTCAGTTTTCATCAAGTGTAAGCAATTTAATTATTTTCTTGTTTTTATTTTGTAAGTTTGTTTCAATATATGTTGGTTTTTTGGGGCGAGTGAGATTTACAGTTTGAATCTGTTGGCTCATAGCTTTTGCATTCTATAAATTTTGCTCTATAGTAAGAAACACATAAATTGTTTGTAAGATTGATTTTAGTGTTAAAGGTTTCTAATGAAGGAAGAACCATGTGAACTGTGATCATGCTTTTCTCTAAAACCATGTCCATTTTTTTCCTCAAATCTAGTGATATCACACAGAGAATCCTCCATGTAAATACAACACGTTTGAAACCAACCAAAGACTGAGCCAAACCCTCGTTAGTACAACCACAAATCCAATTCAATTCACAGTTGCACTTTTACATCATACAAAAAGAAGAAATATGAAAAGGGACAAAAGAATTGGATCAATGCAGTATACATTTGAAAATACTTTTACCATTTAAAAAAGAAAGAAAGAAAGGTTAGAGGTTTAGGCCATTGTCACAGGTTATATCTGTTATTGCTTCTGTATGAGGAAGGTGAGAACCTAGTACTTGTGTTTTATGCATTTCTTGAAGCTTTGTATTTACGGAACGGTTTCTTGAAGTAGACGCTCATCGGAGTCTTGGGTACAGGAATCAGTTTCCCAACAATTGCTAGTGGCCAGCTGCAGAGGAAGTATACAAATTGTTCATTCATAGTTCTGGAAAAACAGGAATCCGATTGACAAAAAAAAAGAAAAAAAAAGAAAAACAGGAATCCATGTTTCATAAGCACTTAGAACTAAGTTTGGAGAAATTGTACCAACCTGACCAATCCAATGAGAATAGAAGCAAGCCATAGTTGCCATCCCAGTCTAACGGTGTGGGCAAACTTTCCGAGGAAAGTAACGATGAGTATCTGCATTTTTAGACCAGAAGCATTTAGTATCATAGTCTCAAGAAAGAGGAAAAAGGTTAGAGTGGCTTTGTGTTATTGTCCTACCTGAAGTATAAAAGTGACTCCAACAATTACTACGAAGAGAGGGTTCTTAGATACTCCCCGGAAAACATTCATTTCATCAGGTTTCCTTGCATTGAACTCGTTGAATATCTGCAAAACTTGCAAGATTTAAAAACAACTCCGTATGTTTTAAGACTAGAGATGAAACAAGAGATGATTTGCTTACTTGACACATGACAAAGGCATTGAATATCATAGTGTTCTTCACTTCCACAGCATGTGCATGGTTTTCATGGTTCAAGCCAAGAATGCTTAATCCTGCAAAGTTGAGAACCAGGAGAACAGCCACTTGATAGAATGACTGCAACATCCTCAGCTTTTAATTTCAGAGACATGCAAGATAGAAAAAATATTTGGTAAAACAATCAATCAAGTTGGTTTTTGAGAAAGTCACCTGAACAAGCAAGTTCCTCCACATGATGTTTGTTATAAGAGGTTCCCTAAAAATCAAGAAACAAAACCATCACAAACCATACGACTGAGAAACCACAATATAACCATTTTGTTTCACTAAAATATGTGGAAAACATCATGTGCAAGATGTTTATACCTTCTTCCAACAGGGGTTCTATGCATAAGATGATCGGTTGGTGGCTCTGTAGCAAGTGCAAGTGCTCCAAGAGTATCCATGATAAGATTGACCCAAAGCAGCTGCATCAAAGAACACCATTGTCTTTTATCCTCAATTTTTTTCTGTGTCTTAAAAGTTAAAACCATTCAAAAAGCATCAAGATACTAACCTGTACAGCCTTTAGAGGAACGTCACCAGAAGACATTGCTGCTACAACATTGATTATAAGTGCTGCAACATTCACAGTAAGCTGGAATTGTATGAATTTCTGAATGTTTGCATACACAGAACGGCCCCAGCGAACAACCTGGAAGAGTAAACAGAGTTTACTTATTAGAATTAAGGCATAAAGATGAAGGATAAGCTAGAAGATCATATTTTTCAATTTGCTATAGTAGACTAACCTTTACTACTGAAGCAAAATTGTCATCCAATATAATGATGTCGGAACTCTCTTTTGCAACTTCAGTTCCTGATATACCCATAGAGAGACCTATGTCTGCCTATAGTCCAAAGCAACAAAAGAAAAGTCAGCTTTGGATATGACACACAAAACATATAGAGATTTGTGAGAAAGGATAGAGGATTTCTAACCTCATGAAGTGCAGGAGCATCATTAGTACCATCACCAGTGACAGCAACAACATCTCCATTTTTCCGTAGTGCTTGAACAAGTAAAAGCTTGTCATTAGGAGAGGACCTACCCATCACCTGCATTTTACAACCTAAGTTAATGTTTGAAAAAGCAGCAGCAAGTTCATATGATCCTTGACTGTTTAATTCTCATACCGTTATTTTCTTGGCTACTTGTTCTCTCTCTTTTTCAGATAGCTCACGGAACACTTTTCCTTCGATGATAGTAGGCTCAACCGCTTCTGTATCTGAAGAAAGTATACCACACTCCAAAGCAATTGCTTTTGCTGTTTGAAGATTGTCACCAGTCACCATTCGTACCTATATGATCATGAACAAGATAATCATTTTTCATTGAATCATCTATAGCAAACTAGAAAGCATAACTAGAAAGTTCGAAGAGGCAAAGAGCCTACCTTAACACCAGCACTGGTGCAGATTCTCACTGCTTCTCTGACACCGGGACGACAAGGATCCTAGATTGCATAACAAGTTTCCAAAAGAATAAAAGCAAGGAAAATGAAAATTTTGGAAGAAAGGAAAATCTTCACATAGTTACCCAACAAAAGTTTCATAGTACATACCTTTATCCCAACGATAGCAAGCAAAATCAATTCATCTTCTGGTAAAGCCCATTTATCCAAGTCCTCTTGTTCCTTGGGAACTTGGTTCAGTTCTTGTGTTCTGCATGCAATAGCAACACATCGCAAGCTGTTTTTCGCCATGCTATCGATAGCAACTCTGAAAAATTCCTGCAAAACAATTTCCAGACACATATGTTTTTGAAATTTTGAGATGAAAATGCATAGTATAGTCACACATTTGGTCTTCCTAGGCTAACAGAGAGTGTCCAAGTGAAATTTTGACACTGTTTTAAATTCTTTAATACACAAAAAGATCAAAGAGATTGTAATTTCAAACTCTTTTAGTCACCTCACCTTCTGGCTATCAATGGACTGAAGAGTACCATTTGAGTCCATGTATTGTGTACAGCAAGCCAAAACTATCTCTGCTGCTCCTTTCCAGTGAATGAAAACTTCAGAATCACCCTGCAGTGAGTTATAATCAGCCTCCAAAGTAAAAAAGTTCTGTAAGTTGAAAAATTGGAGAAAGGATAAAGCAATTACTCGAAGCACAGCAACACCTCCACGCTTTTTCTCAGAATTGAAAGGGAATGCATGGATGATAGCAGACTCTGACCTGATGGTATCAAACTTCATCCCCAACTGCAACAATAGTTTCTTTAAATATATTGCACATACAGAGGAAAAATATGTCAATAGTTTCTTTAAACAAACATTTAATACCTTATACGCCCAAGACAAGATAGCCTTCTCTGTTGGAGATCCAGAAATCTCCACCTCTCCACCATCCTACAGTAAGAGAAAAACATGAGCACTAAACATCCATCATTTGATAACCACATGATGAGCTTAAAGTAAGAACAAAGACGTTCCAACTATGATATGTATAAAAACCACCTTGGGATGAAAAACGTTTCCTGTTGTGTTTTGTGCCACACCCTCACTTATTAAGGCAACAAGTTTAGGGTGGAGACCAGAAGGGTTGTCTGCTACATCCATCTTTGATCCTCCAGCATAAGTTTCAACCACAGTCATCTGCATTTTTGCAAGGGGCAATATTAGCTATCTATAAGACTATAAAGGTATGATGGTTTTAGGTCAATGAAAAAACTCCCATTTTACTGGGATACTAACCTGATTCAATGTTAAAGTTCCAGTTTTGTCACTGCAGATTGTTGTTGCTGAGCCCATGGTTTCACAAGCTGAAAGCCTTCTAACCTGTTTAGCATTTAAAATATGGTCAGACCATAACCAAGAAGAAAGAACTAAAGCGAAAACACCCGTCTAGATTCTTACCAAAGCTTTGTCTGCCATCATCTTTCTCATTGAGTAAGCCAAACTGCAAATATGGAGTCAAGAAAAAATAGATCAACACCTGCAATGTAGTTAGTTATTTTCTGAGTGGACAATATTAAGACTGACTTACGTGAGGGTAACTGCTAAGGGAAGTCCCTCAGGCACAGCCACAACAACAATTGTCACCTAAACAAATGCCAGAGTTAACTGATATGTCTAACGGAAAACATTATCAAAAATGTGGAACTGATACTTACGGCGATTGTAAATATCTTTACGCAATCATCTACAATGTCACTGATACTAGTCGTCCCTTTGATAAACTGGGTCTCTCCATTAGTATCTTGAGTAGTTCCGGTAAAATATCTGAAACAAAACCGCGGTTATAGCCCTCAACATGCCATGAAGTTGTAAGCCAAGAGATTTATTGACCAAGGTAAATGAGATTACCTCACAAGAAGAGCCACCAGGACAACAAGAGCCACTGAGAGCCCCACTATACCAATGAAGGTTGCAAGACCATTTAACCGAACCTGTTACAAGATTTCCAAAAGGAAATGTTAGCCTTCTTCAACACATTGTGGAGACCATAAATGATCAAGATAATGTACCTGCAAGGGAGTTTCTTCACCAGTATCCTCTGAGATACTTGCCATCAACAATCCCCACTCAGTGTTAATTCCAACACCAGTAACCTGTTGAAAGACACACAAACGTTAACTACCAGAAAATGTGAAAACAGAACTAGGAGAAGGACAAGAGTCTCAAAGATTTACCAGCATGTTACCGACTCCATCAGCTACTTTACAACCAGACATTAGAAACGGTGATTTTTGATCCTTGTGAACCTGCAACAATGGTCTGTGTTAGCAAGTAGAAAGAGAAGCTGACCATAAAAACTGCACAAGCATAACCATGACGAACTCACAATTTTGCTTTCACCGGTCATGCTAGATTCATCAATAGCAAGAGAATGACCACTAATTAGCACTCCATCCGCAGGGACCTAGATGGATACAAAAATACATAAGGCCAAATAGTCATTTAGTTTTAAAGCCACAGATGGAATATAAAGACAAAGTATACCTACCTGGTCACCTATCCTAAGAGGTATAACATCTCCAACAACAACGTCATAGATTGAAATCTTCACTGTTCTCCCTCCTCTCATGACCTGTAAGAGTTTTCATTTATTTAATCTTCAGCACAAAAACATGTAATTGCAAAACAATCTAAGATGTTAAAGCAAGCACCTCCAGTTGTATATTTCTTTTTTCATCGTTGAGGTTTTGAAACTGAAGAGATTGGCGATAGTCACTAACAGCTGAAACAACCAAAAGATAAAGCGTTAAGAAGGATTCATCTTAAATGGATTAAGAGCAAGATTGAGAATGTTTTCAAGAATTTGTGAGAGAACACAAATGCAAAAATGTAGGCAACAGACCGAACAAGCATACCTGTAACAACAATGACAAGCAAAACCGCAAAGGCAATGCTTCCACCATCAAGCCAACCTTCTTTCAAACCCTGATGAAGTAATAAGATAGAAAATTGGTAAATTCCTGATTTAGAAAAACGAAGAACTACACGAAAGGAAAGCATATATACCTCTGTCTTTATTCCCAATGCCAATGATGTTACAGCCGCTATGATCAAGATGATAAGAGTTAAATCTTGCCAAGCTTCCCAGAGGAACATCTTTTGGACAAACAGAAAGTTAAAAGCTTATGAGTTATCAACAAACTGGTAAAAACACCGTCGAAGAAGTTATAAAAGACTATTTGCTTACAAAAAAGTTTTTCCCCTTCTTCTTTGGGTATGTGTTAGATCCAAAAGCATTCTTCCTATCTATCACCTCTTTCTCATCCTCATTGATTCCTTGTTCCATATTTGACTTCAGCTTCTCTGCAACACCTTTGACCTGAATTAAAGATCATATATATAGTTATTGTCAGCATCATGAAAGCTTTGAACCATTTATATGAGAGTCCTGAATCATACCCCTCCATATTGCTGCAAATTGGACATGTTCTGGTTCCTTGTCATAGACACAAGCTTTTCAAGATCAATGTCAAAGTTACCAGTTGAAGCTGTTGGTGTTGATGATGAACCAAACGCTGATTGATCCCAAAAGAAAACTAAAGATTAATCACCAAGAAACCAAAAAAAAACAGAGATTTGATTTGACCTAATGTGAGATCAGATCATACATACCAAGTTGTTGTTCACCAGCCAATTTAAAAAGCAATGCTGCCTGATACATAAAAGTAATTACAATCGTGAGATCAAGAAAAACAAACAAGATTGTTTGTTGTTGAATGATATAAAAAAAAGAAAAATACCCTAATGACTTGAGCATGAGCTCTGATCATCCTCCTTCGATTATCATAATGTTCTTCTTTATTAAGATCCAAAGTGTATCGAAATCGACGAGATGCGTTCAACACAAGAGCCGCTTGCCTCCAACGACGAAGAGATTCAACAGAAGCATTCTTGGTGTTATCAATGTCAAAAGGATCATCAGGATCATGTTGAAGCTCTTCATGATCAGAATGTTCTTCAGTTTTAGCAGAACCAGCTTCCATGTCGTCATGACGACCTGACATTGACGTCAGGAGCAATCCATTGCTCGACGAAGTGCTCATTCTTCCTTCCTTCGTCTCACCCAGCTTTCTTCTTTCTATTGAAAGATTCCAACAACAACAAAAAAACGGAGAGAAAGAAAAATAGAACGACCTTTTTTATGATTTGGTCGTTATGAAAAAATCAGCCTAACTCGTAAGAGAGAAGAGAAGAGAAGGCAACAAAAACCGAAACACTTTCTCTCTTTTTTTCTCTTACCTCTCTGTCAATTACAGAGAAAAAAAAGAGAAACTAATTTTGAGTTTCTAACCAACATTAATATTTGATTTACTCTAAAAAAAAAAACTAAGAGAAAAAAAGAGAGAGAGAGTTCAATTGAATTACTATTTTTAGTTTGGTTTGGCAAAATTTGTGGAAAGTTTGTTTTTTTTTTCTTCTTTTTATGGGTAAGAGATTTTTCCGGGTAAGAAGAAGAAGAACATGGTGGCATCTCTTACCAATAATTTAACATGGCATATATAATCATCTCATTTTTTATACATTTTTTTAAAACAAAAATCATTCCTTGCTTTAGATCTAACTACATTTTTGTTTTGTTATTTCTTGCCCAATTCATTGCAAAAGAAAAAACTTTATTTTCTTAATTTTACGTTCGAACGGTATACGAATTTATATTCTTTTTTTACGGCAAGCGGTATACCAATTGTTTTTAAACACGACTATGCAATTTTTAATAATTTATTTTACACAATTATAAAAAATTTCATGTTTTTGAAAAAAAAAATTGCTTTATTTTTTAATTATGATAAACAAAACATCATAAAACTAGTTCTTTCTAAAAATCATTCTAATTATGTAAAAAGTGGTATACCATTCATCTTTATAACTAAATAAAATTATTTTAATATTCTGATATTCTATTGTTCACCTCGTATCATGTGAAGAATGGTACCAATTATCTTCATACCTTAAATAAATTCTTTCTAAGAAACTTATTGGAAAAAAGGAATTTGAAAAGAATAAAACAATGTGAGAGAGAGAGAATAGTGAAGTTGCTGAGAAATTTCGTATTAACCTGATGAACGTGTGTACGACATTAAGGTCACTTGGGTTGCACGACATAACCAATCATTGTTTCGATTTTTTTTTATATATAAGATTCCATTATCTCTACTAAGTACGCTTGTGATTAAATGTTTAACTAATTATAATCAAAATACAAGCAAAACAAAATTCTGACTGAAAAATAATAAAACACAGATGAGAGAGTAAGAAAAGTTTTTTTTTTCCTCTTTTCTGATGAGTGAACTTCTAAATAAGTGAAGAGTATCTTATAATTTGTAAAAGATCTAAAATGTGTCCACAAAGACTAAGAGATTACAACAGATTATGAACCCAGAGAAACCCTAAACCCAACTCAGATTCGATTCCATCATCAAAGAAAATGATAACTGTTTCTGTTGAGATAATTTCTTGCTTGAATGGTTTATCAGTTCTCACTGTGAGTTGCTAATGTCATCAGCTACTCCAATCATTTGATCAGCCTCAAGATTTGGATCCTGCAACAAAGTGGTTGATAAAAAATGAATACATGTCCTTTTACAAGCAAATCAAAACTCCAGCTCTATGAAAAACTGAGGTCGCTCACCTCAATCTTATTCAGAGGTAGATGCTGAGGTGTTTGAGGAGGAGGGACTTTGGATAAGTCTCTAAGAGTCCCCTGATATTATAATGTCAAAGAGAATTGTTATTGTTAGGCTTATAGTCGGATAGATTTGCCTGACCAATGAGTCAAAAAGTGATAAGAGACGAGGTGATTAATTTGAACTAAGAAATTATTAGCTTACCTTGTTTGCCCACATTAGTCCACATGCATTACAAAGTGTTCTTGGCCCATCAGGTCCACGTCGCATCATTGGAGTTGACTTCTCACTTATTCCACAGTGCCGACATCTTAACATGTTCACAACCATTTGAGAAGTATAAGAACATAGATAAGCTTTTCAAGTATACCAACTTACCACTATATAAGTTCATATCATCTACAATAATGACTTAAGATGCAACAACATAGTCGGTTCAGTTATTGTTATCCTCTCACGACTATGAGTTATAAGTTCCAGGTATTGACTGAGTGAAGCCATGATGATAAGTATAGTTTCATAGTTGAAGTATATAGATAAAGTTTATGGAAGTGAAGAGAATGTCATAAAACGGTTACCAAATAATTTATTTCCATGTTTTTGATTGAGGTTTTATAACGAGTTCACTACAGTTAATATAACTGTTGTAAGAAATTTAAAGCATTTCAACTTACAAAACCTCTGGCTTGTGAGTCTCAGTCCCTTCTATGGCCCAGTTCTGGTTTGACCCCCAATCCGATCCAGTGGATCCAGAATCATCATTGCTTGATTTAGCCGATGTGAACTGTCCTTTCTTACGCTGCATTCTGCAGGAACAAACAAAACCTTAATTGCAAAACAGACGTATCTCAAAAGCTCGACATACACAAAACCTAGTACTTGACATAAACGTACCTCAAGGCTACCTCTTTCCTCACTGTGTAGCGAATTGTCTTATCAAAATTCCTCCCTTTTCGTTTCTCCCTAAATCTGAGCAAAGAAGCTAACCGCTGCGGGACGCTAAGCCGTTGAGGAGTACCAGATAGACCCTGGTTCATTTATTAGTCAGCAAGAAACTGAGGAATAAACTGATTTCTCCATATGGTATTAAATCTTTTATTACCAGTACCCTATTGATCTGATGAGGTGATCCTAGGGATGTCGGGAGTGTCTGTGGTACTTCACGTCCACCAAGTAACAAAAGGACAGCTTGAACCTGCAGTGAAAATATTGAGCAGCACTTCAATAAGCGGAAAAAATAAAACAACCAACTGGGTACTTTGACCATATGTATCCATAACTAAACCATCAAAGAACCAGAATTACTAGAAAAATTAAAGTTACCTTCTCAGGCGAGACACGGTCAAAAACATAAACTTGTCCCTGGAATGACAATGTCAATTGATCTCCATTTTCGATACCACGGTCTACAACTTCACCGCGATTGTCGGCTGAGTTTCCAGGGTGAGAAGGAATCTCTGTCTCCACTCCTTCATCCATCCCACCATCAGTATGTTCATCCATCATACCGTTTCCATTGTCGATATGGTGCAAGCCGTGATGTTCATACTGCACATGCATTGGATCTTGAGCTACGCCAATGTGCATTCGACCATTGCTTCCATGAAGCTCATCCATGGTCTTTGTTCTTCAATTTGTTACCGATAAAATTCAAAGGAACATAATATTAATTAAGACTGGAATGTTCCTAAAAACGAAAAAGCTAGGTAGTCGAGACAGGAAAGATTGAAGAAACTAAAAATGGTCCATATATTAACACATAATTTGAGTTTAGAATACAAAGAAACTATCTATACCTAAGGGAAAGGAACCTCATTAAAAGTTACTGGATAGTCAAAATTATTTCCCTACTGCAATAAATTTTTGGTTTTGACACAACAAGCTCTTGAGATATGAAGTATGATTATTAGTTTCCAGAACTTAAATGGTCTTTTTAAGCTTCTTTTATAACAAGAGTAGATGACAATAATCAAATCTCGAGTAACAACAACTAACAACAGTCAAACACCTTAAACCCTAACAATACTTATCTAAATCCAGCAGAAAAAGAAACACAGAACCTAAATGGCATCAAGCAGATCGAATTGAGAAAAAGTCTCCTTCTTTCACGCTCGTAAGTCCTAAGTCCCAATCTTTAAGCAAAGAACAAATAGACAGAACAATTCCAAATCCCGCAAATAACTGCTTCCAACTAAAAACCCTCCCATTCAACAAGTCTACATATCATCTAGAGCCACTTCCTATATCATACATACAAAGATCTCTCACTTCCACGGGAAAAAAAAAAAACTTAAAATTGAGCTCAAATGGGTACCTTTTGTTCAGAGCAATCCAAGGGAGAAGAATGAAGAACCTTTTCAGAGCTAATTCAAGGGAAACAATGAAAGATAAAGAGGGAGGAGGATTTGATTATACAATGAGCCAAAGGTTTAGGGAATAACCAAACCAAAAGGGTAAACGGAGACGAGAGCGAAAAAAAGGAAGCTCCTTTGATTGATTTTTTTTGGTCTAATGATTGATTTTTCACTTTTCTGAAAACGTCGCCGTTTTGATCTTTGGCCTATTTTTAGCCAAACGGTGTCGTCTTCGTAAAAGGCTTGAGGCTACTTTTTGGACCTCTATCTTTAATTGGCCTCCATTTGAGGGTTTGATCGATTTCATATGTTTTTTCTTTAGTGGTATGATCCAAGACAGTATATAACACATTTATTCGTATTGATGCCAAAGAAATAAAAGACATTGGTTGTCAAAAAAATAAAAAAAATAATAAAAGACAGTATATAACACATTTATTCGTATTCTAGCATCACCATAACAAGAGACGAAGCACAACAGTTCGATCATAGAAAATGATACAATGAAGCATAAATATGAATATAAAGATTCATAAGAATCGAAAAAAGCTGTTTCTCTAGCGGTTACCGTAGTATGGAGGACGAGACATGTTGTTCTGAGGTTGATATGGCTGCGATTGCTCTCTTGGTCTTGCATACTCTGCGAATATGACCCAGCCATCAAGAAACTGCAGAGAAGCACACAGAGGAGATTAGCCATTTGGTATTTGTCAATGTAAATCTCTTAATAGATTTTGATTTGTGTAATCGAGTACCTTCCCATCCATTCCAGCGATGCCTTTTGCAGAATCTTCTAAGGTTGCATATCTAACAAATCCAAACCCTTTGGAATATCCCGATACTCTGTCTGTGACAACCTTAGCTACAAAACCAATTTGAGAGAAAGGAATCATTACACTTAGTTTTCTTCAAAACTAGTTTTAATGCGCATAAAGTGTCATAACAAGGAACGCACCATCAGCAACTTCTCCAAACTGAGCAAAAGCGGTCCGAAGTCCTTCAGAAGTGGTGCGCTTACTAAGCCCTGAAAATATCCAGTGACACAAAGATAAAGATAACATGACAAAAAGACAGTAAAGGAAACTGAGACACAGTATCAAAACAGAACAGGACTTAAGATGGTGTACAAAAAGATAGTACTCAGACTTAACATTTATGTATGAGATGTGCTACATACATGGGTCTATACACCTCGACTAAACTTTATGTGATCGAAGTGAGAGACAGAGGCTATGAAGGAACAAAGAAAACACCGTAATCAAAAATGTTTGCATCAAAGTCCAATGTTTAACAGCATTTGAAAACTCATCGATACTAAGAAGAAATGTACAATAATAGAAGCCTTGAAGAAGCTAAAACAGTCCACATAGACCCTAGAAACAAGAAATCCGGTACACATAGCATCACACAAGCATTCCAATCAAATTTTAACCAAACAAACCGAATTCTCAAGTGGTTGAATGTAAGACCAAATGATTAGCTCAAGAAGGAACCACAAAGAATCTCTCTTTAACTCTTACAATTCATTCCTAGGGTAAGCAATCGAAGGTTGACATTTTTTCTAGAAATCAGGACCAAAAGTGAATAATTGAGAAATTGCAAATACTTATCAAAGTCTTAAACACACATATAGTTCAATCTTAGTTGATGTTCTAAGAACCTGATAGTCTAAATCTAAATTCTAAAGGAAGGATCTTTAAAAGGCATCAAATAGAAACCCACATAGACTCGAACAACGATAAACCCCAAAAACCCAGAAATGAATTGAGAGACTAAAAGGGGTTTGTTACCGGAGACGAAGAGATTGGTGCTAGGTTCAGCCTGAGGACGAGCCGGTGTTTGGGATTCAGCTTGTGGAGACAGAAAAGAGAACCTTGAAGCATTTGAACAGAACAGTCGTCTCAAACCAACCGGAGCCGAAGCCACTTCCGTCACCGCTCTAGATATCGCCGGGAGTCTCATAGCTATCGCCATAGATTCAATTGATTGATCGGACGTATTGATTCTTCTTCTTCGGATTTAAGGAACATAATATTAATTAAGACTAGAATGTTCCTAGAAACGGAAAGCTAGATTGTCGAGACAAGAAAGGTTGAAGAAAATGGTCCATATATTATCACATAGTTGAGTTTGCAATACAAAGAAACTATCTCCACCTAAGGGAAAGGAACCTCACTAACAGTTACTGGATAGTCAAAATTCTTTCCCTACAAACAAGCTCTTAAGATATGAAGTATGATTCTTAGTTTCCAGAACTTAAAGTGGTCTTTTAAAGCTTCTTTTATAACAAGAGTAGATGACAATAATCTAAGCTCGAGTAACAACAACTAACAACAGTCAAACACCTTAAACCCTAACAATAATTATCCAAATCCAGCAGCAAAAATTCATTGTAGCTTCTCGTTAACGAGAGAAACACAGAATCTACATGGCATCAATCAGATCGAATTGAGAAAAAGTCTCCTTCTTTCACGCTAGTAAGTCCTAAGTCCCAACCTTTAAGCAAAGAACAAATAGACAGAACAATTCCAAATCCCGCAAATAACAGCTTCCAACTAAAAACCCTCCAATTCAACAAGTCTACATATCATCTAGAGCCCACTTCCTATATCATACATACAAAGATCTCTCACTTCCACGGAAAAAAAAAAACTTAAAATTGAGGTCAAATGGGTACCTTTTGTTCAGAGCAATCCAAGGGAGAAGAATGAAGAACCTTTTCAGAGCTAATTCAAGGGAAACAATGAAAGATAAAGAGGGAGGAGGATTTGATTATACAATGAGCCAAAGGTTTAGGGAATAACCAAACCAAAAGGGTAAACGGAGACGAGAGCGAAAAAAAGGAAGCTCCTTTGATTTTTTATTTTATTTTTTTGGGTCTGATTTTAGTGAAATATTTTTCATTTTTCTAAAATGTCGCCGTTTTGATCTTGGTCCATTTTTACCCAAACGGCGTCGTCTTCGCGAAAGGCTTGAGGCTACTTTTTGGACCTCATCTTTCATTGGCCTCCATTTGAGGGTTTGATCGATTTCATGTTTTTCTTTACTATATGATCAAGACAGTAACACATTTATTCATATTGATGCCAAAGAAATAAAAGACCCTAATCATGTTTATAGTAAGATTAGCCCATAGCTTTGACGTCATTTTGTAAGATTAGCCCATAGCTTTGGACTTAACAGAATTGTACCCCATAGCTTTGGGCGTAAACCTAATCAACCAAAAGCAGAGAGCGAGCCTTATCTACTGTGACATACTCGCAGGGTTATGCCTATGGATTAAATAAAAGACATTTGTTTCAGGCCCCCAAAACATATAGCTATTTAGAGGCCCTTGAATCATGAAAGATATGTTGTATCAGACTGGTTTTAGGATCCTTGTATTATATGAATAATCATAGTTCGCTTCTTTTGAGAGGCTTTAGAAAAAGAAACTGATAATCGACCCAAAAAAAAAGAGGTACGTTAATCGAGGTTCCAAAATTCTATTTCCTCTGTTTCTTTTCATAGTTTCATAGATGATTTTTTATTCTTTTTAAAAGTGACGAACTTGTTTTTGTTTTTAATTTTCTTGTTTATATTCACTTTGTTCGTTTTCCAATTGTGGATCATGTTCCAATGCTTTTAAATCTTTGTTTACTCAAGTTCTATGTTCAAGACAAGATGATATGTTTGTGATGTTGTTTCAAAATTATTTTTACATGTAGTTTTTTTTGTCACAATATATGTATTTATTTGATTTAAAGAAAAATTATATTAGAAATGTCCCAAAATTCAACCTGTCTTAAGCCCCGATAAATTTGGGCACGGCACTACATACTCGTTCCTCCAAGTCTTTAGATCATTTAGAAACCTAAGTGTCAACACTGGTCGTGCTGCTCAAATTAAAAAAATTGAAGATCAAGACAATATATGCTCGTTTAACAAAAGACACCTAACATTATTCCACTTGCAAACAGAATAACAAGTCATAAATTAGCAATGCATATATCTTAATTATAAAATATCAAGAGTTGGATTATATACATAGACTAGGGTGGCAATCACAAGGCGATGCACTAGCTGAGTTGGTGCTTCCCTTTTGCCCCCTCCAAAGAACTAGATACCATGTTGGATTTGAACCAAACTTGGAACATATATGAGGAGAAGTGGGGTAGGAGAAAATTCGTGTGTAGGTTTTGCACCATGATGATCCAATTCTATGAATTTACCATGTCCCGCAATGTGTATGATGTTCTTGGAGTGCCGGTTGGGTCTATGACAAGACACTAGAGCAATCTTCTCCTTCACCTGGTATGCGAAAAAACTCACCCCTTCCCTAAAATGACAACGATAGCGTAGACCAACTCCACCCCGCAGTATTGGGAACTTGCTCCATGACATTGCTCCGGTGTTCTCACTCTTGGTTGCTATCCATAAGTTAACGTTTGTTTCGGTTATGTATGTGTAATGAGTAGATAACATACAAAGTTGTTTCCCTTGTCTAGTCACTGATAAAGCCAAATGATAATTATCATCCTTTGGGAGAGACTCCCTTGCAAATCTCTCTGTTGAGAAATCAAAACTTAGTAAGCATTGCTCACTAATATCAAACCAGTAAGTGATTCCGTTTACAGACATGCCACTGATAATATTTGGATTGAACAAGCCGGTGGTCACATCAACACCCCTCCACGAATTAGAGGTAAAGTCATAGATTTCGTACTCGTAAATTTCTTGGCTATTAACATTATTGCTAAGAAGATCCTCCCACAACATTTTGCACTCGTCTTGGCTAGGATCGATAACACGATCCTGCCTCAAGATTTTGTACTTGTTGCAAGAGGATCTACCGAGAGCATAGCAGTCATCGTTCTTGTAAGAATCTCTGGGTTGAATCCACCTAGTTTCACCTGAACATGGATTCCAAACTACCAGTCTATAGTCCTTGGTGGTGCATAGCAATAAGCCATCGCAGTGAAAGACGTCCCGTATATCGACTTCTATTGAAAAATTATTAGAAAGAGGATCTTTTAGGCTAAAATGACATGTTACGTTAACATATGGAGCAACGTTATTGTGAATTCCACGGAGATTGAATCTCACTGAATAAACCCTAGAATCAATCAACACGAGAGCCATAGAGTTCCTTGGAGCATTAGCAGAGTGCTTCTTAGCGAGTTTCCCATCTTTGATCAAAGCGTTCCATTTTTTACATGTTGATCGTACCCGTGTTAGAGATACAGCCGGAACTCTAGAGAGTATCTCCACTACCAAATCCTCCGGAAGGTTGCTGAACGTCATCATCTCTCACACTATTGTGATATTAAACCAATTTTCAAATAAAGCCACAAATGGATCTTTTTTTTTTGACTTACTCTATACATACGGGAAATCATATATAGAGTAGAGCTAGTAAATTTTCTTTCCTTTAACTTTCACTCTAATAAATATGGGAAGATCTTGTCTTTTTGGTCCAACCAGATTTTCTACTTCAATTTCTTTATTTAATTCGTATAAATATAAAATATTTTGTAATAAGCTATTTTCAGATCATTGATTGATTATTTTTTTTTTTGTTGAATATGCATTTAATGTTACAAAATAACACCAAAAAATAAGAAATTAATGATAATAATTAAATGTTGAGAAAAAAAGAAAGTTAGTTTAAGAATTATATTTAGCAAAATATTTAATATTTACGAACTAAATGAAGTAGAAAATCTGTGTAGACCAAAAAGACAAGATCTTCCCATATTTATTAGAGTGTAAAGGATAAAAAAAAAGATTTACTAGCTCTAGTCTTTATCTCTTCTATATGATCTTTCCCATATTTATAAAGTAAGTTAAACAAACAAACAAAAAAAAAAAAAAAAAAAAGATTAACTATCTTGATTCTACCTCTCCATGATCAGTGGCTTTCTTAGAAAGTTGGTTTAATAAGAGTCTTTTGTGAAAGAGTACTTGCTAAGAAGCACTCTGCTAATGCTCTGATGCACTCCTCCTCTCTGGCTCTTGTGTTGAGTGATTATAGGCTTTATGTAGTGAGATTCAATCTCCACGGAATTCACAGTAACGTTGCTCCATCTGTTAATTTTGCAAAGGAGAGAATACTAGTAGAGAAATAAAGGGTTTTTAGTAAGTTGATCAAATATATTATTTAAAATCCAATATTCACATTAAACAAAACGTTAATCTTAGGCCTTTTCAGCCTAATGTGTATACTCGATTGGGGCGTAACAGAATTGTACCTCATAGCTTTGAGCGTAAACCCTAATCGACCGAAAGCAGAGAGCGAGCCTTGTCAACTGTAACATATTCGCAGGGTTGTGCCTATGGATTAAATAAATGGCATTTGTTTCAGGCCCCCAAAATATATAGCTATTTAGAGGCCCCCAAATCATGAAAGATATGTTGTATGTTTTACGATCTTTGTATTTTATGAATAGGTACGGTAATCGAGGTTCCAAAATTCTATTTCCTCTGTTTCTTTTCATAGTTTCACAGATGATTTTTTATCCTTTACAAAAAAGTGACGAACTTGTTTTTGTTTTTAATTTTCTTGTTTATATTCACTTTGTTCGTTTTCCAATTGTGGATCATGTTCCAATGCTTTTAAATCTTTGTTTACTCAAGTTCTATGTTCAAGACAAGATGATATGTTTGTGATTTTGTTTCAAAACTATTTTTACATGTAGTTTTTTTGTCACAATATATGTATTTATTTGATTTAAAGAAAAAGTATATTAGAAATGTCCCAAAATTCAACCTCGCCTTAAGCCCCGGTAAACTTGGGCACGGCACTACATACTCGTTCCTCCAAGTCTTTAGATCATTTAGAAACCTAAGTGTCAACACTGGTCGTGCTGCTCAAATTAAAAAAATTTGATGATCAAGACAATATATGCTCGTTTAACAAAAGACACCTAACATTATTCCACTTGCAAACAGAATAACAAGTCATAAATTAGCAATGCATATATCTTAATTATAAAATATCAAGAGTTGGATTATTATTTTCTTATTATATAATGCATAGACTAGTACTGTGACAATTACAAGGCCAT